CAACCCATCGCTGCTCCGCGTGGGGCAGGAGGTTGCAAACCACGGCCGTAATCTCTGGGAATACCGTCATCAACCTATGCAAGCCAACTTTTCCTGCGGAATAAGTGGCCAAGACGATACGTTCCAGTGCAACGCCGTGGTCGACAAGAACTTGAACTGCCATTAGAGCTGCCCCTCCGCTGGCCATTTGCGTGTCTAGTAGTAGCACACTCTCATGCTTGTGGATATCTTCAGGTAGGCGTAGGTAATGAAGTTCTGGTTCTCCAGTTGAATAGCTGGACTGGATCAGGAGCCGGCCTGTTCTACAGTCCGGGATTGTTTTTCTGAGGGCTGGCTCAAATGCCGATCCTCCTCGGAGCACAATCACGGCGCTAACCTCGCCCTTGGGCCGTAATCCGTTGTACGTATAACCCGGTGGCGTCTCGATGGACGCTTCTTCAAACTGGACGTTGTTCAGAGCCCTGTAGTCAAGTCAGTATACATCGCACTTTAGGCCAATCATGCCTCGTAAGACCTACTGCTCAATAATCAATGCGGCAAGACGATCGAAGTAAAAGATGAAATCTTCGGCCGACGTGTCTATATCCTGAAGAATTGTGTTCATGAATTTGATTTGTGGCCCCTCACTCATGACTACGACACGGTCGGAGAGAGGTTCATCTCTGTCTCTGACCTCAAGTCTTGCCAAAGCCTCTCGATGATGGGTTGACTTTTCAAATAACTTCTTTTCGATGAATTGAACCATCATGTCTTACGTCGTTACTCAGTATAACTGTTCAAGAAGAATACGCGAATAAAGAGATTTTGGCAAGAACCGGCTCTAACTCACCAAGTGCTACTCGATTCTCGATTCCTCTCGGTACGATTAAATCTGCCACCTTGCGTTGTGGCTCGACGAACTGATTCACAAGGTAAGCGAGGATTCCACCTCACAGGCAAACTTCAGCTTAACTTGAAAATCTCACCTTTTCAAAGTTGGGCTTCACGAAAGCGAACCACTGCTTTATGCAGCCCTCGACATCTCGACCCCGCTCCCGAACATCTCGAACAACTAACGCAAATGGTGAGCGCTTGCACCTCCGGCGGTAACTCTACGGGCAAGGGAGATGGCCTACTTCTCCGCGACAGACAGGTATCCGCATCAGCATCACAGTAGATCTAAAACCAAGTCAGATTCTGTCCAATGGCATCGTTGGCGAGGCTGGCGTACTCCCATATCACACAGCTCACGAACGCGCGGGTCGTAGAGGGCAAAAATGCCTTCCAAAACGAGTACGTGCGGGGAATAGATGGATGTGGTGTGTTCTAGTCGTGCATGTTTGGCGAAGGAGTATACGGGAACCTCTGCTCGCTTTCTGGAGAGGCCAGGTTAATGAGTGTGTCCAAAACTTGTCTCATTGGCAGCAGGTCATGGTTACCCAGCTTTCAGATCCCGCAGAGTGTTGATCAGGGCATCGAAATCAATAGCCTACGTAAGTGGTCTAAGCGTCTGATCCTTGGAGATGCATCGGATCCAGGGACGTACCTCTGGTGAGTCGAAGTCGTACTCATTGGCAAATGCCAGTTTGGATTGGGCAGGGGTCAATGTCTTATAGAATGAGTCCTGATTTGTCGTTAGTCACGACATTTCATATCCCCTTGCTTCTCCTAGAGTGTTCATGCCATGGATAAAATGACAACCCAAGGCAGGTTGAGCTTCTTCACTATCGTCTGAGATAGCGTCGACTTGCCGGAGCCCGAGCTGCCAGCGACGGCAATGATGCTAACATCTGCCCATGGCGGAGAGTAGTAAGCTCGCTTCTGAACCGTGACATGGCTCTCGAGCTGCGACATTTCTACCGCCAGGACGTGGTTTGGGCTATTGGCCGACAGGTCGTCGTTACGAGCAAGATCAAGCACAGGGTTACGCTTTTGCTTTTATCCTAGGTAGGGTACAAAGTAGATGAAGTGGGAAGTGGCTCGCGTGATCCACTCAGTAGTCGCCAAAGCGAGTTTTTGCTGGCGCCAGTACGAGGGCCGTGGGTTGCTGCTGAGAAGAGAAAGCTGAGAGCGGTTGCGAGAACAAAGGTGAGGAGGCCGTGGATAAGGCAGAGGAAAACAGAGGCTAGCCGCAGCTAAGCAAACGTCGATCGATAGATGGCGGAACAAGATCAAGTGTAAACTGACGGTCAGGGTGCAGGACTGGACAAAATCTTATCGGAATCGAGGCTTCGAGGGCGTGGCACGGAGATGGCCGCTTCTACAGCTGGCCCGCTAACGTAACGGCGGAAGACCCCATCAAGCGAAGCTTAAGCCGCCCTGATAGGTCTGATAGGGCTTGGTGAGGCACAAGTACATAAGCATGTGCTGGTCAACTAACGCTCACATGGCCGGCGGCGTCTAGGCAGAGACCGCTAGGGCTTCTGGTAGCCTGGGAGGATGGAAGCTCAGAAGTGAGGCTGCTGGCGGCTCGAATTGCCTAGTGTGCAGAGCTGAACATGGTGGTTGTTGGCTTTTGATCAGCCAGCCTTGTCTCGTGCTCCCTTTGCTCTGTACCTCGCCTCGCCTCGCCTGGCTGGCCGAGACCTTCGCTGTGGCTGCCAAATAGGAGGCGAGGGACATGCACCCAAAGTACGAGGTATCGATAGGTGCCCAAAAGCTACAGCACGACGTGCAGAGCACCTTTGATTATTTTAAGCCTTAGCTTTACCAAGTCTGCGTGCTGCTGCCAGCACCTCGGGTTGACATCTGACGAAATCCAGCGGGTAGATACGAGCCTGTACTTGTACGAGTACTTGTACATGCACACATACAGGGACCAGGTGCCTTAGTACAGGTACTCGCCGCGGCTATCTGCACTAACTGAAGCACTCCTGGACCTGTCTCCCTTCAGCAACACCCGCTGTGCATTGACACACGATGGCCCGATATTATACCCATTCTTTTGATGAATTTTTCGGTTGAAAATTTTTTCCCTCTCTGGTTTTTGCTTCACTCTCTCGTTATCATCGTGACGGGTTACGTTACTGATGGAACCCCCCCCAGTTATCAGTTTCATACGCCCCGTTCTACCATGCTCTTCTCATGTTAGTTGCCAAGGTCCCCCACTAGAGAGGGCAAACGCAGCCGCCAAAAGCTTCTGTGGAGCGCTTGTCTGCGTCAGCGTCAGCCATTGGTCCGCCTGGATTACTGGAAACGGGGCCCAGGCCACCTCCAAAAAGGGCAGTCCTGCTCTTCCGCCTCTGCGCAAATTCGCTTCTCTTCCACATACCAAACTTTCCCCATCTCTCACCACCGTCGCCCAGCTCGCGAGCCTACGGTTCCACGACTCGGCTTGCCAATGCGCTGAAACGGTGGCATCCTCGGCTTCCTCCTTGGCTGCCTGCGCACGCCATGAGCCTCCCCATTCTCGCAAAACCGCTGCTGTCGTACCGTAACTAGAGCTGCTGCCGGCTTCCTGCGGGAGGACCGTTGATCGGATCCATGGTACGATGCCGTGACGTCTCTGGACCTTGCACCCCGCTCCATGTCCTGACTCTCTGCGCAGATGTCGTCGGCTTCTACAGCTACTCCGGCTAAACATGCCTTTGAGAGGCGTGTCGAGGGGGTCAAGTCTCCCAAAAAGTATGTATGATATGCTCCCAACCCTCACTTCTCCTCCTCGCACAATGCCATCTATATGATGAACACTATATCAATGGGAATCTCTCCGAGACAAATTTGTGCGGAAATCCGATATAATCTTCTTCTTTCCTGAACACTTCAAAAGCATTTTTGTCATTCTTCTCTCTTCTCCCGTGCTGAAGCTGGTACGGATTGTTGACAAGCTTTTAGCGATATTAATGCCTTGATTTTGGATTATTTGACCATGGAGGGCTACCCAAATGCGGCCGCAAGGTTCTCGAAAGAGGCAAACTTGCAGCCACAGCAGGACACCTCCGCCATCCGCGCCAGGCAGCAGATTCAGAACTGCATCCACAGCGGGAATATTCAGACTGCCATCGAGACTCTTAATGAACTTGATCCTGAGGTATGTTGCATCAATGCCTGCCCTGGCTTCCTTACCCATGCATTTCATGATTAAAACAAGAGTTTACACATGCACCACGCATATGGCTGGTTTACTGGCCCGTGATGAGAAACACCACTTTTTTATGATTTACCCCCTTTTCAATCCTGTGTTTAAAATCGCATTCTGGCCTCAATTTCCAGCCCATCGATTCTAACCTGAGATGTAGATTCTTGACGAAGACACCGCATTGCACTTTTCTCTGCTGCGGCTTCAGCTCGTCGAGCTAATCCGAGTGTGTACTGCATCGGGAGGAGATATCAGCCCTGCCCTGAAATTTGCAACGGAACAACTCGGTCCGCGTGCTTCCACGAACCCTGCATTCTTGGAAGATCTAGAAACAACAATGGCTCTGTTGTTATTTAATCCCGATGTCCTGGAACCGCAATTAGCCGCCCTTCTCGACCCCGGTCTGCGTCGTGACGCGGCAGACAAGGTGAACCGGGCCATTTTGGAACGGCAGTCAACAAGACGTGAGGCCGCCATTCGCCAGCTTGTTAAAATGCGAGCCTGGGCAGAAGGTGCAGCGCGGGAGAAGGGGACTAGCCTTCCGGACCGTCTCGATATTGGATTGAGAGGTGAAGAGCCCCCAAACCAAACCTGGCGAGGGTCTAATTCAGAGAATGGCCATGATTCCATGGTGACGACCTAGACAATTAAATGACGCTTATGAATACCACGACTCCTACTAAATTGCCATTGCCAATTCTACTATAATAACAATTAATTCACATGATGTCACACAATCGTTCGTACATTCTTGCACGCGCCTTACGTGAAGCCGAATGGTAGCTACGCCTCCCATCGAAGGAGTTTAGAGAAGACCAAGGTAGAATGAACAAAACAATTGACTACTTGGAAAGGTAGTAAGGAACAGGTTTCTTCTTACCTCCCAAGTAGAATTGGAGGGTTCAAATGTACAAGACAAGTCAGAATAGCAACGCCACTGCTTGGCTCTTAACAGGCGCATTCGTGAATCAAAATTTTAATATACTGTTTCTTATCTAATATTCATGTACAGCACCCATTTTTGGTGCCCTATTTTGTTCGGATATGCTTCAACTTCTTCGGCGAGTATAGGAAGTTGTTGGCGTATGCCTTGGGTGTAATCTTCCGCGAGTTGGGCTCCTGGACGAAGTACTCGTAGCCCTGCTTCTCTGCGAAATGAATGGCGTCTTCCTTGGACTTAAAGTTGATGTGGGTTCCCTGCACGAAATCTCCCGAGGATTGCCATCCCATCAATGGGTTCTCCCATCGGTGTCCCTTGGGCAGAATATCCCAATCCATTCGCCAGCGCTCACCCCTGAAGTCGCCGGATTGTGTAGCTGGCTTTGCCTCCTTGTAGATGCTATATGATTATATTAGAGGGATAAATCTTTGAGACAAGCAGGCCGGAGAACAAACTAACCGGACTGTCCTTGCCTGGAGTTCGATAGGAGCACCCGAAATTGTGGCGGCTGCGAGAACGTCCTCGGTGGCATCCTGCACACGCTTGGGGACCGGAGTAAATGTGCTGCACACCGTTAGCCTCCGATATCAGCAACAGAGGGGAGAGAATAGCTTCCGTACGAGGTGGCCTTGTCGACAGGTGCGTCGTAGTCGGGCTGGTTGGCGCTGGGCACTGCGGGAACAACGTCGGCAGGCTTGCTCACAGAGCTTTCAAAGCGGCGGGGCATGGAGGCCAAAGCCAGCCGCGGGCGCACGGCATTGCGCAGCAGGCGGGCAGCCGACTGGGTTCTGAGAGACGCCATGGCAAAGAAACTGTGCCTCTCAATTGAAGGAAATTGGTGGTTCGTGACGGCGATGATGGTGGTTTGCGGCCAATGTTCAACTGGCTGCTCAGACGGAGAGCGCTGATTGGTTGGTGCGGAGCGATGTTTTGCCGAGACGAGTGCTTTTCGGCAAGAACCTCTCGGCTGCGAATATGCAAATCCAGCGATTTATCGACGACCTTGCCATTGAGCGCCCATTTGACATTTGACGGCCAGACGCTGTTCATCGCCATCTTTTCGAGTGCCTTTCCTCGCCATCCGACATCATGAGCTTCGTCACTCGCCGAGCGCTTTCCACGCTCATTCCCCCCAAGGTGAGTCTCTTTGGTGGCATGCCAATTTGCCAATGTCCGGTTGCTAATAAAACATGAATAGATTGCCTCCCCCAAGGTATGAGATTACCCCTAATGATATAAAACAACGCCGGATCACGAATGTCGATATTACTCGAAGAGGACGCAATTCAGACGGACAGAAATTTGTGGTTGTGCGAGCAAAGCCTCTGATCAGACGGCGTGCGGGACAATGGAACATTTGGCTAACGAAGGATTCTTGATGCTAGGCAATTGGTGCTGCTCCTGACGCTCTGCGCATGCAGCGTGTCGTGAGCTTCTACGAGAAGCTTCCCCGGGGTGCCGCCCCCGAGATCAAGGGCAAGGGTCTTCTCGGACGCTACCAGGCCAAGTACTTCGGCAAGAACGCCTCTGCTCAGCGTACGATATGACCCAAATCAACGTCTCAGATGTGGAATACATGCTAACTCACCTCGGTCTTGTAGCTATCGTTCACGCCCTGCTCTTCCTCATCGGCATCGGTTACGCTCAGAACTACTACTTCCACCTGCGTACGTATCTCTGGCTGTTTGCTGCACTCAATATTCATTGGCTAACGCCCTGTACAGGTCACCACAAGAACAATGCCCACTAAAGTACTATGGATGGTTTGTTGATGCCACTCTCCAAAATGAAGAGTGGCTATGTAAATAGACTCTAGAACGGTGCTGTGTTATACCCACGCCCGGACTTCCTTATGTACTATCAGACACGCATTGAAATATCTGTTCCTCTCCTACCTGATGATGTTGAAGTGATGCATAATATCTTTTTCATCTTCCTGAGCGGTTCATATATTCTCTTGCCTCTTATCCTGTTACTGGACCAAGGTACAAGGGGCGCTTTGGGAGGTTATGGAAGATGCATAAGTATGCGGAAAGATGATTCTCTAATGAAAACTAACCACTTCTAATTAATATCTAACCTTGTAATATACTGCCAACAACTACAAGTCTCTAGCAAGTGTGACTAGTGCTTTAAACCCATTCTCAGCCAGCGGGATCGAATCATCCTGAGCCTGATCGGCCGTCCCATGAGTCACTTCATAGGAGACCTGCTGACGCTGACTGCCTAGCTGACAGCAGCATGAATAAACGGCGATTGGAAATAGGATATCCTTGCTTCGCTTTGGCTGGCAAGATGCCACGACACTCGCCTAGAACTCGACAGCAATTGGTGCTTCCAATCCGTTGCATGGATGTTATTCAGCCCTGATGTACCTATTAGCAATAGACTGACCTTAGCCATCGATCGCCTTGTTTCTGGGGCATGCGTGCAAAAGTCACAGACACTGTGCAAAGGTCTAAACGCCCCCAAAAGCAGCTGCCACAGCCCCCAATAGGCGCCTAAACAATAGGCGGGCTTAGCCCGTTGTGGTTGCGTGCGGCTGTTCACAGTGGCAGTGACGCACGGGCCCCTAATCAGGCGGAACTTTCCCACTCAGCGCTAGGCCATAACCAAGTGTGCAGCTTCGAAAATCAGTCGCTTCCACCTCACCAGCACGATTGCAGACACATCGCAGCCTCTCTCAATCCCGGCGACTGATCTGACGACTCCTTCCATCGACACCGACCCTCATTGCGAGGCCCTGGAAGAGAGGATTTTACCCCGAAGCCTCCGCTGCACCCCGCGCCATCTTCGCCTATTCTCCGATATTGCCAGCTTGTTGCATCTCGCGATTCCATCTCCCCCTCCTCCTCTTCTCCTCCACCCGTGTCGACACCACGCTGCAGGCTTGCTTTTGAGTGTTGCTTAAGGCAAACAAGCGCACTGTCAAGCCCCCTCCCTAGACGAACATCTCGAGAGGCGATTTGGTTTTGGATTTGGTTTCTGGCGAGAGTTCGCATCTTACGGCTCCCACCGGCGCACACCTGCCACCACGACGGATGATGGCCACTGAGCCCTCCACCGACAACTCAGCTGATGTGTTTGCCTCGACTGAACCGCAATCTGTGAGGCGCCTCCTCTCCTGTTCTCCTGCAAGCCGCACGACGTCTCTGCAGTGGCGTCAGTGCGGGCATGCTTCTCAGCCCCCCCCCCCCCCCCATGGGTGTAACTTGACCTTGTGTGCTCTGAGATGTGCTAACGTGATGCTCTCTTTGAGTCGCAGGCGTCCGACTCTCAACATGGCGAATTAGTTCCCCCAGCTGTAAACGGCGGCTCCCCACTCCCTGAAGACATCGCAAACAAGCGCATCTTGAGTGTCGAGGACCAGATCAATTCCGCCGATGTTAGTGTGAGCGGGGGGTCAGATACTGAGGCCTCGCGCGCAAAAGATGGCGACAAGGGACAGGGCCGCGCTGGATCCTCAGCAAAGAAGCCTGCAACGTTCAAGGCCGTTTCTGTCAATAAGACATTTCTAGCTTCCAAGGCGAACCCCAGCGTCTCGTCCAAGACAACCGACAAGCCAGCTACGGGCTCGAGTACCCCGCCGACCGGCTCCGCCACCTTGTCCATATCACGACCGCGTTTGGTTGCAAAGTCTGGGAGCGGTACTGGCACCTCGTCTCCGCGGTTCTCGTCACTAGCAAATGGTGGCAAACCTGCTGCTGCACCCGATCCGAATGCTGTGTGGAATAAGAATAGGCGTAGGTGAACCGATGTTGTTTGAGGAGGCTTTCTTTGAACTAACTTCATACTTGTTTCTTATAGCTACGCCTGTCCCAGAACCCAAGAAATTTACGGACGAAGAGCTCAAAAAGTATGGAATTCATATGGCTAGTCGCCTGAACGAAGACGATACTCAAGGGCAGAATAAGTGGGCGGACATCGACGACGATGACGATGACTGGGCACCCGAGGCCATCACCTGGGGAGATGGCACCAAGACAACTCTTCCTCACCCCGATGAGACGTCAGCACGAGCAGCAGATCGTACGCCAGATGTTATCAAAAGTGCCACCCAAGACAAGCCATCTTCTCCCGCACCACCAGGCGCAACGAGCACACCAGTGCCGAAATCGGGTGGCCTTCCGTCTGGGAAAGGGTTGGTTCTCAAGAGCGCTGCCCAAGAGAAGCCAGTTCTCGTTGCCAAACCTCCAGCACCACCTGCGCCTGCTAAGTCACCATGGGCTACTTTACCGCCTGTTGCAAAAACATCACCTGGAGCCATAGAGTCTTCATATCCGCCTCGCGGCGCTCTAAGAGAGTCATCGTTCGCCAGCAACATGGGCCCTCCGCCGCCCCGAGACATGGCAGTGGATGATTATTCACGCTCGACTTGGAGAGATAGGTCATCTTACGGAAATAAGGAGCTCTTCAACTCTCGGTCCGGGCGATATGAGCCAGTTCCCGATCGACGGCCGTCAATGCGATCTGATTCTCAGACTAGGTATCCAGCCTTACTACAGCGTGCACCTCCACAAGACCACCCAGCCGAACCTTCTGCCGCGTTTCAAACTAGTCGTACCGCCCAGGAAGGGCCATTCGGGCGCCGTCGCGGCTCTTCAAACGTCAGCGGCGGCAGTGGATCATATTTACAGCGTTTGAACAAGGGAAGCGATGGCTCTATACCACCACCACCGCCGGAGTTTCTCAATATCCGGAGAGGTTCCCTAACAGGTTCCGTCCTAGAAAGTCCAGTTTCTCCCGTGGCAGGGTCTGTGATGAGTCAGGGACAATCGAGACACCAGCCGTTGCCCTCTCCTGGAACCACTTATGCCGCTCCTCATCATGGAAACTCACATCTTGAGCACAATCCAGCTCCTCCCTCTCATCAGCTTGAGGATGACCTTGAATACCAGAAAAAACTGATGCGTGAAGGTATCGAATCAGCTAGAAAACGGAGGCAAGAGGAAGAGGCCCGCGAGGAGGCCGCACGCCGAGAGCGTATACAAAAGAAACTAGAAGCGATGGGACCTCCCCCTGAAAAGAAGAGCGACGCGAAAGAGACATCCAGGGATCACGGAGCGAAGCCAACGCCAAGCCAGCAACCGGCTCTCAGTGAGCAAACAGATGCATCCACTGCAAAGGCAAACCCAAATCAGACAGATTCGGGTAAGGATGACGCAGCCGCTATACCCCATATTGAGAAGCCCGGGTTAAGCCACAAAGATATCCCACCACAGGCAAACATCGCCCCGCCGCCTGGGCCGACAACTAGGCGGCTATCTCACAGTCAAGACGCAGAACCTACCGGCGCCACCTGGGGTAGCCGGCCAGACCGATTCTCTTCGTGGGTTGCTGGGACGCCACGGAATGTTTGGAGCTCGCCAGACAACGACAGCGGACTTGGAAATGGGACGTTCAACCCTCACCTTGGCCGTGTATCTGGCGCGTCCACTCAGCCGACTTCAACCAACAATGCCCCTGCCCCCATTGCCCCCCCAACTACAGCTCAACCTCCTCACAACCGAAACCAAGTCCCCGCTCCCATCGGTTCGCGTGCCACACGATATGGAAACCTGGGAACAGAGCTTGCGAATAAATGGGTGACAGCCGTGGCTGAAAACGACAAGAGGATGAGTGCAGCGAAGTTGGCTGAACGAACAGCGCGTGAACGTCAGCTAGCCGAACGTGGAGTCTCTGTAGAGGATGCCCAGCCAGTAATCAAAGATACATGGCGCCCTGTTCACATCCCTGGTGATGGTACCAGGCGCGCCGTAAGTTCCAGTGAGGTTCCGTCAAATACCACGGACGATTCTATTGCGGGTGGCCAACCTGCAGTTCTTGGAAATGGGGCCAGCAGCTCTGTCTTGCCTCCAAACGGCCCGACAACAACTCCCCAGTCGCGGCCCTCTCGATTCTTCCCCGCTCGAGATGTTCGAACTGAGACAGGCATGGTTGAGCCAATCCGACCCTCTTCACCATCTCCTCCTCCGCCAACCATGGAAGGCCACCCAGCATACGAGGGAGACATTTCACGCCCACATGTCTCATTACCGAAGCCGCAGCCAGTAGTCAAGCTGCCTCCTAATATGGTCGCTGCTCAAGGACTACAACCTAAAGCTAGCAACCCATGGGTTAATCGGGCGTCAGGAAGAGAAATATCACGCGCCCCCGTCCCTCATGCTTATTCCGCGCGGCGTGTCTCCGAGACGTCGCAGGAAAATTGGCAAGATAAAATCAATACTCTTCTCAATAGTGGCAAAGCATCTCCGCCGAAACATATGGGAGTAGATCCTGCCAGTAGGAATGCATTGGATCATACGACCAACCAGCACTCTACAACCGTATCTCTACCTGTTGTGACAGTACAGCACTCTACAGCCGCTTCCCTGCCTGTTGTGACAGCACCACGCTCGGCGGATAGCTCTTTAACACTGATTTCCAAGCCCATGGCGGAAGAATGCTTCGAAGAACAGGAAATGGGCTCTCTGCCACGGATTAGACTTCCGCACAAGGCACCAGAAGCAGCATGGCAACCCGCTTCGAGCATAAAGCCAATGCCTAAGAGGTTCTTCGTACAGCCGTCTGTTGGAGAGCCATACTTTTTCGCGGCGGAAGTCGTTGGCGGCGCCAATGCTGTGAGAATTCACTTTCCAGGGATGAGCGAGCCTAGGATGGCCACCTTCCCCCTTTCTGCAGCAAGAGGCGGACGAGGAACCCATCGGCCGTCGTCGCGACACCGAGGCGGTGGTCACGGACCTCGTGGAGGTGGAGGAGGAAGTGGTAACGGCAATGGCGGCGGCAAAAGGGAATTCTCTAATAGCTACGGAGATGCTGCGAGTCAAAGCAGCACTGGCCGTGGCAGCCGTGGCGGATATCGTGGTCGCGGATCTGACAATTGGAGTCGATTTTCACAGCCTCGTGAGCAGGGTTCATCATCTGCTTAGCTGAGCTCCTCGAAAACACCTTCAACAATCTTGTTGGGATGCCCGGGAAGAAGGGGTCACGGCCGGCTCCTTACGTACCGGCAACATACAAACACCAGGGATTTTTATTTTTGTTTTCCCCCTTTGACCTCAACTCAAAGAGGTATTGATACGATAGCTTCTGATTTCTCGCTATTCTGGAATGGAGATGAGGGTTGACTTGTCCACTGTCTAGTCGTCTCTGCGTACATTGAATCCGATCGTGTCGGATTGCTCAGAGGCTTGTATGTACACCTTAAACGCGTTGTGATAGCACATGGTTTCTTAATGGTACCACCCAGTCAGTGTCCCTAGAGACATTGCAAAAAGGAAAGGGGAAAGGGGAAGGAAAAGGGAAGAAGAAGAAAAGACGACTGTTCCTACTGCGAAGGGTCGCTCGTCTGCAATTTGGCTCATCTATCCGAGTCAGATTCTCATTTTTTGTGTTTGCTGTCTCTGCCTACCTACCTACCTACCACCACCTATCAGTTCCTCCCGATGCAAAAAGGACATTTGTCTGCAGGGGCACAAAGGGATGGGAAATTCTAAAAGAGAAAAACAAAATTCTACTTATATCTTCACGTTCGTAGTGCAGTTCTGCAAATCCCATGATGGCAGCCCTCCCACCCCTGATTTGGTATTTAGTCTCTTGCGCCACTGGCTGGACTTTGAGATAAACAAGCTGTACGAGTACATATATGAATCGTCGGGGTCCTCTAGCTACTTAATGAAGTGATGGACGCGGTCTTGAAAGATTCTGGTATTTGCAGGGCCTGGACACGGGTCCCTTTCAAAAAGGAAAAATGGCTGGGAAACAGGCTACTCGTTTACATATGCCATGAAGTAGTGCAGTAGTATTGTACAGAAACATAACAAATGTTTTGATTTTGCTCATTACAAATACCTCTCCCCCTTTCTCTCTCTCTCTCTCTATGCACTACAGTGCGTGGTTTGATGTTTTCAATGATCCAATATGATCTTTCCAGATATCGTTATTTTAATGCACCCCTTCCAACATCCTTTTGACAAGTGCTTGTTTGTTTTTATATATCCGTTCAACTCCAAACTCCCTTCATGCTCGTTATATCATCGCATTACTATTTCCCGTCCCCTCCTGCCGTAGGTCATATTACCTCCATGTGGTAAGTCTAAACAACTGGTTGAAACGTTATTGTATAAGACAGAAGGAGAGCTGCCATCTTATGGCCAAATAAACAACGGAGATTCTGTCGTCCAGGTTTACATCTCTTCGATGGCACAGTTGGGATGCAGAACGTAGACAACATTCATAGGCGTTGAGGGACCTGCGCCCTCGGTGAGACCTTCGCCCCTGAGCGCCATGAAGATTTTTTCCTATTAGAGAGATTCCCGTTAGATTGCATGCTCATCTCACAAGGGGGTGATATGTAATTGGTAGCCAAATGGGCGACTGAGGAACTTACCTTGACCATCTTTTTCAGAACCATGTTCGCCAGAGTCTTCTCCCTGTGGTAGTCCTCTTCTCCATCCATCTCCGCCTCTTTCTGCTCCAGATACCAGTTGATCAGGACGCTGCCATCGACGCCATCACCGGTGCCAGCCTCATCCTCGCTGATCCTCTGGACAAACATGTTCACCATTTGGATGTACGTGTCGTACGTGATGGTGTGCTTCTTCCTGGGCGCAGCTTGTGATGCTTCATCCTGGCCCTCTGCCATTGCCGCGTCGCCTTCGTGATCCTCTGCAGGGGTAACTCCAAGAGCCGCATCCGCAGCACGGAGTAGCGTTTCGCTGTCTTCCTGAGTATCATCTGTCTCTTCCATCTCAATATCATCGTGCTCAACAGAGATGATACTTTGACGCAGGAGGTTGTAGGCCTCAATGACGAATTCGGGGGAAATTTCTTCAACACAGTTGACTTTGGCAATAGCTTCGGACAGACGAATCATACTCTCTAGTTGACGAACAGTAATTCGGTAAGAGTTCTTTCCGGCGCCACCCTGGGCATCATCGGCTCGGAGCTCCTTGTACTTCTCAACAAGGGTTTCCCTCGCCTCATCCGTGAATTCGGGCCGGAATGTCTTCGCAAAGCGGATATACCGCTGGAGCTGCTCCGTGCTAAATTCTGGAGTAATGGCCTCGTCACGGTGCTGGTGAACCCTGACGATATGCTCGGAAAGGTGGCGATCGAACTGCTCAGAGCACTCATCCAGAACGACAAAGAACAAGTCGAAACGAGACATGATGGGTGCGGACATGTTGATGTTGGCGCGGAGAGTGGTTTTTCGGTTGTAGCGGCCTCCAACTGGATTGGCCGCAGCCAAGATACTTGTGCGCGCATTGAGCGTTGCTTGGATGCCGGCCTTTGCAATCGAGATTGTCTGCTGCTCCATAGCTTCGTGAATAGCAACCTGATCAGCAATATCCATCTTGTCGAACTCGTCAATGGCGCAGATTCCATTGTCAGCAAGCATGAGTGCACCGGCCTCAATGGTAAACTCTCCAGTCTCCTCATCCTTGACTACAGCGGCCGTTAAACCAGCAGCAGACGAAGCTTTGCCACTGGTGTACACTGCACGTGGCGCAAAGGAGCACACATATTTGAGGAACTGAGACTTGGACGTCGAAGGATCTCCAACGACACAAATGTTGATGTCACCTCTCAACTGCATCCCTTCAGCCGTGGTCTTGCTGACACCAGACATGAGCTGTAGGAGGATACCCTTTTTGACCACTTCGTGTCCATATACCGTCGGCGCAATAGAATTGACCAGTCGAGAATAGATATGATCACCGTGGACCATGGCTCGCAAGTCCTCAATCTCGGACCTGTTCATGGATGCCAGGACGGCAGCCTGAGCCTCTTCGACGGATTCAGCACCCTCGGAGACGGTGGCGTGATTCTGAGTAAGAGCATTAACGACGTCGATGGTACCACTAGCAGCAGATTGACCAGTGGCGCTGGTATCTGGCGCAACCATGCACGCAAGGAATGCTAAGCGGTAGGTCAGATCTCGAACTCCGAGAGCCTTGAGACCTGAGATGCCGTTGCCACCAACGTCGGCTCCACGGGGAGCGCCGCGGTCGTCACGAACCGCCGTGGGCCGCAAGCCAGGAAGACCGAGCTGGCTGACATCGGGTACCACAATCAGAGCACCAGTAAAAATGCACTTTTCTCCCGCCTTGGCACGATCGACAATCTCGCCTCTCAGGATGACATCCATGGTACGAGGCATACTGCCCGTGGGAATCTCAGAGCTGTTTTCCTGGATGCGAACCTTTTGCCAGTCGACAAAGGTGCTATGCCGAATATCCAGTTGCCACGAGACACGATTTTGACAAGTCTGGTTGGGGCATTGGGTTGGCTCAGTGTATCGAAAAGTTTGCTCGACATTAGGGACGACGGCACGACAGGCCTCGCAGACAAATGTGGCCAAAGATAACTCAGGCCGAACTTCTGAGGTTCTCGTAACAGTGCCGGAAATCGAGAGCAGCTGACCAATGTTGGCGGCTCTCAGGGCTCGAATACGCGAGACAAGAGGAAGGTTGTAAAACGCAATGGAAAACAGTTTGTCTGTTTGCTGATGTTCGTTCTTCCTCTGGGACAAGTCGCTTTGTGTTCCTGAACCGTACTGGCTGGCCCCAGAAGTGCTCAGCTTGCTGGATGCGGTGGCTTGTCGATGCTCGCGGAAATATTGTGACTCGTATTTCGCAATCATGTTATGTAATGCGGTAGTGAGGAAGGGGAGGAAGCGGTAGTACTGGCGGATGATGCCGTCTGCCAGACTGCCATTCTCCCAAGAGGCCAGATGCTTGTAATCGACGTAGAAGGTTGAGAGCTGGTATGTTTTCATACCCCTGATCTGGGCGATGTAGTACTTGTTCGTTGTGACAGCACTCGAGGGCGGTGCACCCGATGAAAGAGGAGCTTCGGCAAAGCTGAAAAACAACCACATCGGTTAATCAGACATCAATGCATGCATGGGCAGCTCAAAGATGCACTCACTTTTCAATGAAGCCCTCAAAGTGCTCCTGGACTAGCATTCCGATGCGGTCCTCCACCTTGGGAATGCTGGCGGCATCGGGGATGCGCGAGCTGCGAGGAAGCTGGTCGTCGGCAAATCCATCAGCATCGCCATAGTCGTCTCGAGGAGTTCCCATGTTCTCTGATGGGGGACCGCGCGGACGAGCTGATGACGACGAGGGGAAACCTCCAGGCCGCCTCTGCGGGGCCAAGCCGTCCGACATCATGAAGTTGGAATCGCCGGGGGTAGCCATTGGAGCTTATAGCGATGTAATGGCCTAGAGAATCTGCAGTGAGGTCGTGGGGATATGCATCAGCCGGGGCACTGCAAAGCTGAGGCAGCAGAGGTCGCTATGCAGAAAGGATTATCGTACCCAAATTTGGAGTTTGAGGTGGGTTGGGCTTAGAGGGGAACAACGCGTGGGGAGCGCGTTTGGTGGTTTCCATTTTAGGGCTAGCGCGACGCGAGATTTTAATTGATTGCATTATATGGTGTACTTGGTACAGTAAGTACCTGACCCTTCAACTATCTGCTATACTACTAACCTATTAACCTCTATAGACTCCGAGTAGGTATTACATAGTACCGAGATTGCTGTTACTCAATGAGTTTCCTGATTCTCATGTCATCTCCTGGGAGAAAATATCATCCATCATCCATTGTTATTACTGATCCCAAAAAGGACATAATACATTATTCGTCTTTTCTTGTTCTGCCCTTGCATGTGCTCTAAGAGGCGTCTAGGGAATGTAAAGTCGAGTTGTAGGTTGAAATGAGCTTGCTAGGGAAAGTTTGGCGAATGTCGTTTGTGTCAGGAATAGCATTGCCAGCTTGACAATTCTCCTTAAGAGAAAACCCACTCATGATAGTATTAGTATTTTCAAAGTCAATCACGACGATGACGACGTCAGATAGACTATATGGCCCTGAAGAGCAGTCACTGAGACCAAGGGCCTCAAGCAATAGATCAAACCCATGGCTCGAAATAACTGGCGTTTCCAGATACATTGTCTCTGCCATCTCATAGGCTAGTTTGATGGCTGATGTACTGGCCGATGAAGGGCTTAAGGTAGGTGCGCTTGCCCAGGGGAACACCCTCCTTGCCCAGAATGTTGTAGGCGGTGGAGAGGTGGAAGAAGAGGCTAGGCAGAACATAGCCGTTGACGTAGTTAACGCCGGTCATCTTGAAGGTTCCGGCAGAGCCCATTCCGACGCTGACGAGCTCGTTCTGGCGCTGGTTGATGATGTCCTTGTCGGCAGTGGCCAGGATCTCCTGGGCCTTCTCAATGCGAGCGTAGCAGTCGGCAAAGGTTTTAACCTCGCCCTCCCAGACGTGGGGTTCAACACCAGTCAGGCGGGCGACGATTTTAGTTGAAGTATCGGTGACTATTATAACCTGGAAGACCAGAGGAAGCATGTCGGGGTGGATACGGGCGGTGAAGAGGTAAGCTGCGTAGGGCGCAGCCTCAGCCAGCTTGAGGATGTTGGCGAGAGACTTGAGGGCGTTCTCGGCCAGGGGGATGGAGGCGTCGTAGAGAGAGTAGCTCATCTTGGAGGATGTGATTGGTGGTTTAGAATAGTTTAGAAGAGGAGGATGGAGGATAGAGGACGGGACGAGGTAATTGGCAACTTGGATCTCGCTATTTAAGAGAGGGAACGGCCTTGGGTGTCTGTAAGGAAAGCTGCTGTGCTGGCTGATCTCGTTTGACCACCTAGATCGACCAAGATCGGCTAAAGTATATCACGGACCTTATGCCTGCGGCGCTGCGACATGTGGCACTTTAGCTTTTGCTGAAGTTTCTTGAATCCTGCTGGATGTGATAACAGCTTGTAGGCAGATTGATGGCTTGGACATAAAGCCAAAAGCCAGGCCAAAGCAAGCCAAGCAAAGCAAGCTGGAGCGCCTTTGTATTTGATGAGTTGGGCATTTGCGTCGCTTCTCGTTGAAGGCGCCCTCGTCGTAAGCTCCCCCATTTTCCCACTTCTTTTTATCTAATTTCTTTTTTTCTCTCTTCGTCACCTCATACTCCTCTTTCTATGTACTAATATATATGTGTGTATGTATATTGGTGTATCATAAACAGCTGGGATGTCGTCCAACGATCTTCAACTTTTGACTGCCGCACTTGGGAGTTACCATGTACGGAACAGTCTTTAGCTGTTTTTAGTTTAGCGTCATGAAGCGCGCTAGGATCGCAGCTTAAGATCTCTGATTAGATAACGAATTAATTAAGCTATAGCGCGTCCTACTCTCTGGATGACGCGAATAGAGTTACTCATCCAGTTGTTGCAAATTGTTGCTGACAGTGCCTTTTCTTCAACGCGATTCCCATACAAGACTCAATTGACAAATCACAATGGCTCAACCGCCAATGCTCGAAATTCGCAAGGATGAAGCTGCTCCAAGCGAAGGTGTTGTGAACCTGCTTCCCTGCCGCGTCCAGCACACTGGTTCTCTTGGACCATCATCAGCTTACTGGAATCCCAGCACAGACGAGAGTGAGTATGATGAATCTGCAAGCATTAGTTATGACCACGATTCTGATATTTCTCTTGTTTCAAGATGACACTAGGACGGCCTATCTTCGAGGCAGGAGGCTTCAGGGAAAGACCGCGAAATTGCCTGCAAATTATCGAGGCCTTGTTCTTCAGCGAAAGGACGACGAGCAAAACGATACCGAGCAACCGGAAGTCATCGTGATAGGAGAAGGCGGAGATGAAGGCTCGGCTCCCAGACTGGGAGCGATGCACGCCGTGACTGAATTTGATAAAATGGTTGTATGGTCGCATGACGCAGTTACCGATGCTTCGGTCGACCCCTACCTAAGAAGCGTCGAGGAGTGGCTCAAAGTGTCGGATAGTGTAGGTCGGCATGCGATCACACGCAAAGATACAATGGGCTGATGCAGATTTCACAGATACATTCTTATGACTCCGCGGATAACGGAGAGTCGAAATGAAGAGCGAGATGAGATTTGGCGGGAGACGGGCTATTGAATCATGCCAAACGATTATTATATGATACCCACGTTCAAAGCATCACGAGACATCAAGACATGAACTAGAAGCACCCAAGTCTTTTCTTCGTCTTTTCTTTTCTTGTTCTGTCAATAGCTGATCGACGAGTGGTTGCTTATAAGAGTGACTTCCTGATACTTCTCAAAGTATGGCCAGTTGCAATGCAGGATGATTAAGAAGAAAAGGAGCGCTCTCCTTCAGATTGAGATGAATACTACCTGAGATATAGAAAAGGGGAAAGGGAGAGCAGGCAAAGATGAAAGGAGAAGGATCATGATATACTCCGTACACTAGTTGAGATTTATCGCCGAGTTAGAGTCTTCACCTCCAAGTTAATCACGAACGGTGAAACCAACGCGTATGTGTGCGGGGATACTAGAAACTAGAGACGAATGGATGATATCGTGTTGCTACTACTTGCTCTGATTGCTGCACATTTTACTCAGATCCAACGACATACCAAAATAGTTTACTCTATTACTAGGCCGGAAGGGTATTCTAAACATCCAAAGTGTGCATCACTTGAAGTGGTGCGAAAATACGGCCTTCATCAGCCTGATCCCCCCTCGGGAGTTACACTCTATCCATCGCTCTGACTCTAGGTTATCAGCTATCAATATATGAGTTATAAAATATGCAAAAAGTAGAAAATGTTGGTGGCCATTATGCAAACGCCCAGACTCCGAAGGCAAAACTTCTAAGGCAGTTACTGTTCTGTCCGCCTTGATCTACTTATAAAGTATCCCAATAGGACAGAAAAGAAATCCAAGTATTTCGTAGGGATACGAGAGAAGAAGGAGGTATACTACTTCGGATCTTCCGTACCTCTGGTCTAACCAACTGTAGCATTTTTTTTGTCTATACTGCAGAGATGGCTTTTTCATCAAAAAGGTCAGCGGCCCAATCGTCATAGTCGCATAGATCCGATGAATGGAAATGTATTGCAGGGTTCAAATGAGCCTGGTTTTCCATCACGCCTTCTTCTTGCTCTTCTTTTTCGAACGAGACGTGCCGGTGCTTGCAGGCTGCTTTGGAGCGAATCGGTTGACATGATCCATATCAAAACCTGACTTGTGCTTCCGAAATAGAAGCATAGTAGCCCTGGCATCTTCAGTACTCGAGTGTGGTCCACTTTGAATTTCGAGGCCGAGAATTTCCCTGGCGAGATTCTTCAGTGCAGGCTTCCTCCCATGGCCGTACTTTTTGAAGGCCGGGTATTTGGCGGTATCGCGTATATTCCTTGGAGAGTGGCTGAGTTTGAGAGCATCCAAGTCATGCTTGATATCGTGACCAATGAGGATTCTGTCTTTCAAAATGTCGTTGACTTCTTTTTGAACTTCATCGAAATCTCTTGCAAATCTCATTTCTTTTTGAGAGATTCCACTGACTGCTGTTCTCCAATTGGTGACACGCTCTTTCGGCTTCACATATGAATCGTAGACTTGCCGCCCATGAAAGTCGACAATGCTGATTCGAGCCAGTGCTGATTCATGTCCGCCAGGACCAACTCCTACCATCTCGCAGTCGATGGCAACATACTTTCCAATCTCGAGTCCATTCGTAAGACCATGATTCACCTTGTCTCTCTCAGATGCCAGCATCAACGAATTTCCTTTGACACCTAGGCCATAGGCCTCTGCCAAATCCTCCGCAGAGACTCCATGGTCTTCAGCCCAAATCGCCAAGGATGGTGATGGAGTTTGCTTTGGCTTTTCTGTTGCTGCCGAACTTTGAACACCGCCCATTCTACGAACGGGCGGCTTGTCCTTGCGATTTAGCGGCTTAGATGCCTTGCTCTTGGATGGTTCAAAAGATTTTTTCCGTGTCGAGGATTGTAGCTGCTCTTCAGCCTTTCTCTTGGTTGTGGGTTTGGACGCTGCTTCAGCCTTTAGTTGAGCTTGAAGTTTTTTCCAGTTAGAGGAGAGCTCGGCCATCCTTGCGAACAGGGGCCTAAAAAAACGTCTCATAAAAGAACCTGTCCATGAAGCGCATCATGTGTCAATTATACAGAATGTAAAATAACGGCCTTAGCTATAAGAAGTGCTCTGTAAAAAGATATAAAGAACCTGAGTTTTGTATGAAGCTATATTCTTCAAGTCAGTTGTATGCTTATAACGAGGCACTCTATTTTCACCGCCTTCCAATAAGGGATAAAGCGGCGCTAGAAGCATGTGACGCAGCTGGTAAATCGCCATATTCTGCCACCTTCTAAATCGCATTCTTTGATTTCTACAACTTTCTTCCATCCATCTTTCATCCATTCCAGCCTTTCCATCATGGCTGGCGGCACGCCCCATGGCGAGCCATCCGTGGGTTCCGATACGCCCCGCCAAAAAGGCAAAGCGACACCTGAGACGCTGAAAACAGGTTGCATTGCCTGGGTCGAGAAGGATGGCCAGCCGCGACGAGCCGAAATCCTGAGCATAAAGGAAACAAAGTCGGGGAAGCACTATTACTGCAACTTTGACAACTTCAACAAGCGTTTAGATGAGTGGGTACCGGTTGCGCGAATCGATTTCACCCAGGACGTCGAATGGCCGAACCCCGAGAAAGACAAGCCCAAGGACTCGAAAACCAAAAAGGTCCCATCAAATCAGCCCAAGAAGTCGCAAGTATCGAAGAAAGCGCAGAAGCGACCTGGCAAGCGCGAACAGTCAGTGAATAGCGAAGCCACTACACCGCATCCATGGGCGGGTAAGTCTTGGCTATTTCAATCCCCTACTGGGAATGATTTTTGGCGTTTTCATTTAGTAGTTGAAGTCGTTGACCATATGTATCATTAGCAGACTTTGTAGAATCGCAAGGGCAGCGAAAATCTTCATCGGTTGGACCAGAGGCAGAATCACAAGCAGGAGTCACTTTTGAGGCGAGCGCGACACCTGGCGCAGGAGATGACCTGCTTGCCGATGAGAAGGAAGATGAAGGAAAGAAAGACGAACATGGCTTCAGCCGAGAGGAGGAAATCGAGAAACTGAGGACATCAGGTTCGATGACACAAAATCCGGCCGAAATATCACGAATACGAAACATATCAAAGGTCCAGTTTGGGAAAAACGACCTCTTCCCATGGTACTTTTCACCGTACCCAGAGATTTTTGCGCTAGAGGACGTTATATATATCTGCGAATTCTGCCTCAGCTACTATGGGGATGAATTCGCCTTTACGCGACACCGGAAGAAGTGTACGCTGCAGCATCCACCGGGCAATGAGATCTATCGAGATGATTATGTCTCGTTCTTTGAGATTGATGGACGGCGGCAACGGACCTGGTGTCGTAACCTCTGTCTGTTGTCCAAGATGTTTCTGGACCACAAGACACTTTACTACGACGTGGACCCCTTTTTATTCTATGTCATGACGATGCGAACAGACAAGGGATGCCATATTGTGGGATATTTTTCCAAGGAAAAAGAAAGCGCAGATGCATACAACGTGGCTTGTATTCTGACACTTCCGCAATACCAGCGAAAGGGCTATGGCCGTCTCTTGATTCAGTTTTCATATGAGCTGTCCAAGATTGAAGGCAAATTGGGCTCTCCTGAGAAACCTCTATCCGATCTCGGCCTTCTCAGTTACCGTCAGTATTGGTCTGAGAACATTCTCGACCTACTGCTGGGCTACAATGAACGGGATGAAAAGGTGACGATTGAGGCAATCTCATCGGCGCTGGCGATGACCACACAGGATGTGGAACACACGCTACAGGCCATGAAAATGCAAGTGTATCATAAGAGTGATCACAAAATTGTGATACCTGAGAGACTAATTGAGCAGCGGGAAAAGCAAAAGTTAAAGCGGAAGAGGGTTCTCGATCCTCTCAAGATCCAGTGGAAGCCTCCAGTGTTTACAGCGTCGAGCCGGACGTGGGGTTGGTGATGCGAGTCCTGGAGGCTCACTGGAATTGTTGGAGTTTTGGGTCATACAAGCTACTACAGTACCTATTAAGTTGGTTGAGTGCTCTCCCCTGAAACAATGGAACTCATCCCCTCTTCCTTTATTGTGTTTTTGGTTTATGATTACGATTGATAGATTGGCGATACCCCGACGTAGGATGGACCAATGTATGTACAAATTGCCTCCATAGTATTTAGTAAATAAAGTAAGGCAGTTAAAAATTGCCACCTCAATTATTCTCGGAGCCGGCCATTATATTTACACAAGACCTGTTATGTATTTATTGTTAGTTGGAATTTCTTCTTTTGATTAACTGATGATGGCTTCAAGCTGTATGAGTATGACGTAGCCGTACTAATGTCCTTATAGCTAGGGGCAGCTCTGGAGCTCCAGGCTTTCTACAGGTAGCTCCGGATGCAGTAGTAGGGGAATCTATAGCGCATGCAGGGCCCGAATTGCCACATGGATGCTTCAGTTGCTGCCATAGTGCCAGAATACTCTACACCTTCATGTTCTTTTTCATCAATCGCTACACATTCATTTAAATCACTCTCGGGCACATCTAATTCGATCTCTAATTCTCAGGGAGGAACGTCACATTGACTCTCCTCCCAGCCCAACATGCCTCTCCCGCTATTGGCAGCAGCACTGCTGGGCATTGGCGCAGTGACGCCTGTCCGCGGCCGAGGCGATTCGCAAGTTCGGTTGCCCAACTACGCCGACGCATGTCCCGACTATGCGCTTTACGCATCATATCCACAGTTCGTTGGTCCTCACTCGGCAATGATGGCGCTCGAGATCTGACAAGCACAGTCGTCCCTTCAGCTCTGGCCCGCTCGCCTTGCCCTTCCAGCGTCCTAGCCCACAATGTCGGACGTTTCACTCGGACGAGATCGAGAGAGTCATTGAAGAGGTGACTTCGAGGATCAAGGACCCCGACTTGGCACGCCTGTTCGAGAACACCTTCCCCTCTACGACGGACACAACCGTCAAGTTCCATACCAAGGGCGACAAGAGCGCGGGGTTTGTCCCGGTTGATGGGCGTCGTCTGGATGAAGGCGCATGGGAAGGGCCTCAGTCCTTTATCATCACCGGCGATATCATTGCAGAGTGGCTGCGAGACTCGACAAACCAGCTGCGTCCATACCAAGGCCTGGCCAAGAAAGATCCAGCCATCTTCGACCTGATAGCTGGGGCCATCAATACGCAATCCGAGTACGTCATTCAGTCACCGTACTGCAATGCCTTCCAGCCGCCTCCTATCAGCGAATTGTCCGTCTCCGCCAACGGCCAGGATGATCTGGTGCATCCGGCGTACGAGCCAAGTGTTGTGTTCGAGTGCAAGTACGAGCTTGACTCTCTGGCTCACTTCTTGGCGTTGGGAAACGACTTTTACGAGGCCACCGGGGCCACTGACTTTGTGAACAAGCGGTGGCTTCTTGCTGTCGAAACTCTCTTGATAGTGTTGAAGCAGCAGTCGGAGCCGACGTTCAACCCAGAAACGGGCCAGTATGAGAGAAATACCTATTCCTTCCAGCGATGGACCAACGCTGGCACTGAGACTCTCAATCTTCAAGGCGTCGGAAACCCCCTGAATAGCGGAACGGGGTTGGTTCGATCAGCTTTCAGACCAAGCGATGACGCCACTATTCTAGGATTCTTCATCCCAGCGAATGCTATGATGTCTGTGGAGCTTGGTCGGGCTGCCAAGATGCTACAGGCTGCGGGTAAAACGGCTCTGGCCACCAAGTTGAGTAAATGGAGCGAGAAGCTGCGAGCGGGAGTGCTGGAGCATGGCATCGTCAAGCATAAAAAATATGGCGACGTGTTTGCTTACGAGGTTGACGGATATGGCTCTTCTATCTTGATGGATGACGCAAATTATCCTTCTCTGCTTGCGCTCCCAGTGATGGGCTTCTGCGACGTAGATGACCCCGTGTATCAGAATACAAGGAAGATGATACTGGATAAACAAGGCAACCCGTATTACTTGACGGGCAGAGGTTTCCAAGGAATTGGAGGTATGTTTCCCCCCATTGGTGATTGAGCAAATGAGAAGCCAATGGCTCTAACTATTTTCACTTTAGGACCGCACATTGGCTTGAAGAACGCCTGGCCCATGAGTCTGCTGCTCCAGGCCCAAACCTCAAACGACGACAAAGAGATTAAAGAATGCATCGACATGGTGTTGAAGGCATCTCCGCGTGGTCTCATCCACGAGAGTGTCGATGTCAACTTCATAAACCAGTACACGCGGAGCTGGTTTGCTTGGGCGAACGGAGTTTTCGCCGTGACGATTTTGGATTTGGCAAAGAGGAAGCCGCATTTGGTGTTTGGACCAGGAGCAGCGCCTTATGAGATATGAAGAAGCGTAAAAAAAAAAAAACAAAGTGATGAATTTATATATGTTCAAAATTGAAATCTAAATTAGATACCGACTTGTGCGTGAGATGCCTGGAGTAAGTGCCGAGAGCACGACTTAAGTGTTTTCCTTTCCATAATGTATATAAAATCCACCGAAAACTGAGTGATTATTTTTGTTATTGAATAGGTTCTATATATAGTTTTGAGCTTGAAGTAATACTCCCTCATGAATTTGGCTGCGTGCTCGAGTCAAGCCTCTCTTCTCACCCCACATTGACAATAAGGCGTGCAGTGTATTACCGCCTTGACATCACTGCTAAACTCCACACTTGAGCTTCATGTGCCTCATTGCCGCTAATACCCCGTCAAAAACAGCTCTTCGTCTTAGACAGCCAATTGAGCGTGTAGACGTCACTCGTTAATTTGTGAGTCTCATCACCAATCTTTCCTTCAACAAGCTTAGCACTCACCTAACATAGCTATGCGGCCATTGTGCAAGCCTCGGCTCGGACTCTCTCTACTAACACAATTGAAGCCGTATCACTGCCTGCATTCCCACAGCCCCCAGCCGCTCTCATTAAGATTACCAATTCCAAGACACACTCCAGCAATAGCCGCCAGAATGTCCAGCTCAGTCCCAGTAGCAAAGAAGAAGCAAATCAATCTCTTGCGTGGATGGCCCTCGCCTCACCTCCTCCCCGCAGACCTCCTCTCAGCAGCCTGTCAACGCGTCCTGGCAGATCCCGTCGAGAGCGTGCCGATTCTGCAGTACGCCCCTGACGAAGGCTACCAGCCGCTGAGGGAGAGATTGGCCCAGTGGCTCGGCCGGCATTTCGGGGTTGAGCCTGATGCGAATCGGATTTGTATCACGGGCGGCGCGAGTCAGAATCTGGCTTGTGTCCTGCAGAGCTTCACGGATCCGCACTATACCAGGGCCGTGTGGATGGTTGCGCCGTGTTATCATCTGGCGGGTGCTATTTTCGAGGACTCGGGGTTTGCAGGGAGGTTGAGGGCAGCGCCCGAGGATGACGAGGGACTTGATACTGAGGAGCTGGAGAGGAGGATGGAGGCATGGGAGAGTAAAGAGAGAGAGGAGTCTCATCCAGAGGTAAGTTGAAGAACACCGCATTCCCTCATATCAGCATGTATTGCTGCCTGCCCCATACCATTCAGGTCATTCTTTTTGCAAATCTTGCGGTTGAGCTGAGACTTTTGTTTCTTTCCCCCTTTCCCCCGACATAGCCGGGGCCATTCAAAGATCCTGGCCAGTTTAGGAAGCTTTATCGTCATGTCATCTACGTTGTGCCCACATGCTCGAACCCTTCCGGCAAAACCCTGTCTGTCCGACGCCGCGAGAGTCTCGTTAAACTCGCCCGCAAATACGATGCCCTTGTCATCAGCGATGACGTCTACGATTTCCTGCAATGGCCGATTGACGGAGCCGTAAGTCCCCAGTGGCCCCCGAAAATGAGGCTCCCACGGCTATGTGACATCGACATGTCGCTGGGTCGAGCGGAGAACGATCCTCGGGGCTTTGGAAACACGGTGAGCAATGGATCCTTTAGCAAGATTGCTGGGCCGGGTGTTCGGACGGGATGGGCTGAGGGCACGCCGGCTTTTGCTTTGGGGCTGTCCAAGACGGGGTCTACCATGTCTGGCGGTGCGCCGAGCCAGCTCTGCGCTGCAATGCTGGCTGATTTACTTCGAAGTGGCGAGTTGGAGAGCTTTATTGAGAATAAGACTCGACCGGCGTTACAGCGGCGGCATAGGATCATGATGGATGCCGTGAAGGAGCATTTGGAGCCCCTTGGCGTCGTGTCGCGTGAATCGAGCATCTCAGGCGAGGGAATCTACGGCGGTTACTTTGTCTGGCTTATGTTGACTCAGGGACCACCGGCGGTGCTTGTCTCGGATGCCGCTGTGGAAGAGGAGAATATCATTATCGGCAGAGGAAATATGTTTGCAGTTCGCGGAGACGAACAGGGGGCAAAGTTTGATCAGGACATTAGACTGTGCTTCTCCTGGGAACCCGAGGAAGCTCTTGTCGATGGTGTCAAGAGGCTTGGACGGTTGATAAAGAGGATGCAAGGAAACTTGGATCATTACGAGAAGTTGGCAGCTCAAATCAAGGATAGTGACCGCCCAGTGAGCAGCTGGGTGTAAGTCTGACCTCCATGAATTCAAGCAAGTAAAACATGATGGAAAGAAGTCAACTCACCTCTATACTCGCATAAATGTATTGTAAGAGTCACCGGAACGCTGAATAGCCACTCTCCAAGAAGATCATCATATGTTAATGATATGCAAATAAAAGAGCTCTAACTCCGATTATACGCTTGTCTAATATAGTTCCGATATGCTACTATTTTTTCGAAAAGAAAGACATAATGCTGCCTTGACTTCCGCTCTTCCCGGCTGCTGCTTTCTTTGACTTCTGAGTGGATGAAGCGGGAGTTGATGCAGGTGTTGATTTCGTGGCCGCTGGTGGGGGAGCTTCATCTTCTGAGAAAGATTCCCACGCGGCCTCCTGGATAGTTACTGTATATGGAGTTAGCAAATTATCCGCGCAAACATGTCTGAGGAACCTTACCCATATATCCTTGGTCATCCAATATACGCTTCTTTTTCATAACCCGTCGCTTGCCTCTCCGGCGACCATCACCGGAAGTTGATATCACTTCTGTAGGCTCTTTATCCTCTTTAGGTTGCTGTTCGGGCTCCGGTTCGGGCTCAGGCTCCGGTTCCGCCTCAGAGGCCTCTTCCATTTCCTCGTCTGATTGCTCATCCTCCTTCTTAGCTTCCTCCTTTACTTCGTCGTCAGCATCTTCCATCATGCGCATAAGCTCCTCTTCACGTTGTTTTCTTGTTCGTTTCAGAGCCTCCAGATCGACAGATTTAGAAGCGGGAAGGTCCTCGTCCTCGGCTTCGCCATCATCTGATAGAGCCATGCTGGTATCTTCTTCCTTGGCTTTAGGCTCAGGCTTAGGCTTCGGTTTGGAGGGTTTTGCTGCTGCTTTGGCAAAGGATTGCATGATACCCCCAGAGGCACCTCGCTTTAGTGTCGCGGGAGGCTTCTTTCCAGCGCTGGATGAGGGGGTAGACTCGGCAGATGGAGCTTCTTTGGCCTCGTGTTTGACCTTTTCTGGTTGACTGGGCTTTGGAAGCGTCGGTTGCGGCTCCTGCTTGACACTCTTGGGCGCACTCGCACTCGGGGCTGGAACAAATGGACGTCCCTTTCGGTCTTTCTTGCGTGCTTGAGGGTTGGCAATTATTCCATACGTGTCAAGCGTTTTTGCTGAATCTTCGATCTTCCTATAGTCAGACAGTGACTTTGACACATCTGACAGCAATGCTAGATCTCTTTGAGGGAAAGGAGCTAGACTGTAGATGTGGAAAGAAGTGACTTCTTCATATTCAGCCAGCGCATCTATATGAAATATTAGCAAGACTGACTTGGTCATGTATCATCGCCATAGGTCAGACCTTTTAGGTTCTCTTCGGCCACAATAGTAACCGTTTTGGTAGGCGCATAATCAGAAAGAGGCTCATGCTCTGGTGCTGATTTGTCCATGTCAGTATCGCCAGTCTCCGGCTGTCTGTGTTCCGTCTTGGAGCCATAGATCAAGTAGGTGGCATGGATCGAATCCGCTTTGGACGCATTCTGACTCTGGTGAAATTCATAGAGCTTTCTGGATTGATATTAGACAACAGTAGAGTCTAGAATAGGGCGGAAGTCAAATTACTGTTTGGCAGCATTCACCCGAATATTGAGCACCCTGCTTAACAGGCGATATGTCACCTATACCAAGCACCGATTGTTAGATTAGTGGTTCTCAGCGCGTTTTGCAGCAATTGGAAGTGCATCTATACATACCGGTACCTCCTCACTCAAGAGTCGGTCTGAAAGGTACTTTTTGGCGTCATCCATGATTGCTCGCTCCTCAGAACACTCAGTATGGCGGCATATGCAAGCTCACTGTCTCGACTTGATAGCTTGCCTCTGATTTGGTCTCCACGCGTTCAGCACTTAACACGAACTCACGTGCCTGACAATTTGAATTACCCGGTTTGCTGCATATGTACCGTTTTAGTGTAGACGAGCAACAGTCAGAGGTCGCCTCCAAGGCAGGTTCAATATTCATCTAGTCTGCATATTCGTCTAACCGAAAAGATCCCGCCCATCAACGCGTCAGTCGCGACGCTGGCGCATAGTGAAGTAGTTTTATATCCTGGTTGTTAATCATCAACTTCTGTCTGTGTTCAGCGCCACCGCTCCGTGTTCGAGAATAAGCCGTCGCCACTCTTATATGGCATTGTGCCTTGCTAAAAATACTCAACCAAAAGACTTTGCGCTCTTGTTTTGGATAATTGGCTAGAAACTGCTCGCCTGCATGGCCTCCTCCGACGATGTTCCAGATTCGACCGATTGGCTTTCGACGCCGTTGTCTGGCTTCGCAGCTGTCGAGGCCGCCTTGCGTTGCCAAGTATGCAAAGACTTTTACAAGACACCCATGATCACATCATGTTCGCATACATTCTGCTCAATCTGCATCCGGAGAGCCCTCTCTAACGACGGCAAATGCCCAATGTGTCGTGCGACAGACCAAGAGCTCAAGCTTCGAAGTAACTGGTCGATGGAAGAAACAGTAGAAGCATTTTCAAAGGCGCGGACGGCTGCGCTGAACCTTGCGCGGAACCAGGGAACCAGAAGTCAGTCACCAAAAAGGAAGGCTGTCGAGATATCTCCCGATGCGCACGAGTCCCACGAACCCAAACGACTGCGTACATCAGCTAGACTGAGCAAAAGTAGAGGGGAACAATCAGCGGTAGCGACCCCAATTCAGATAGATGAAGAGCAAATCATCCCTGATTCGAATAACGACGACGATGACGAGGAATATGTCCCAGATGCTCGTAAGTCCAGAGACACAGACGTATTTCAACCACCCCACTAACAACACACTTACATAGCGAACGGCCTTGTTCCCTGTCCCTCCTGTAACAAAAAGATGAAAGAGTGGCAGGTATTTGGACATTTGGAATCTTGTCCAGGCCCGTCAGCAGCAAATAGTTCAAATAATACTGTCAGCTCCGATACAACATTTTCCTTTGGGCAGTCTTATCGGAGACAGCAAAAGACGCTAGAAAGGTTACCACCTCTCAATTATTCGATGTTGAAAGAGCAAGCACTGCGAAAGAAAATGTCTGACTTGGGCATCTCTAACCAAGGGCCCCGCATTCTCCTGGAAAGGCGCCATAAAGAGTGGCTGACATTATGGAACGCAAACTGCGATGCAGCCATACCGAAGAAGCGCTCAGAGTTGCTTCACGATTTGGAAGGCTGGGAGCGTACCCAAGGCGGTCGAGCGCCAACCACAGGCCGGGCCATACAGACTGCGGCGGTAATAAAAGACAAGGACTTTGATGGGGCGGCTTGGGCAGCTAGGCATGATATTTCCTTCAAAGACTTGATTGCGAGCGCTCGGAAAAGTCGACTAGAGGCGGAGAAGAAGACGGAAGAGGCGGAGATAGTAGCCGGCGATCAGTCACAGAGTTCAGCAAGTCAGCCTCCCGATTTGATGGTTATTTCGTCCTCTCAGCCACCTGGCGGTACGACTACGGACGACCCGTCGCCTCAGCTAGGCGAAGAAAAATCTGAAGCTGCACCAAGTGTGCAGTTATTGCCTTCCTCTCAGGTTTATCCAATGTCTTTAAACTCAACGCCGCCATCAGAAGCAACAAATACAAGGGGTTAAGCGGAAACAGACAAATGCTAAGCGTGTACATATACTGATATTAACTAATTCCATTACATCTGACTCGAGCATAGCCAGCTGAATATGATGAATATAATGAACCGTTACAGCGTAGTTTCCCCACGAGGGTTACTATTTCACGACGTTGACCAGAGTTTTCTTAATGCTGCGACTGTGAAACAAACATTCAATTGATCCCGCTGTTACCCGATTATGATATGTATGTATCAATGAATACGCTCAATGCCAATAGCTTGCAAACCTCGTAGCGTCCTGCCCTGAAAAAAAAAAAAGAATATTGCCAGCTCATGATATATCCCGAGTATTGATTCCTTCTCATCCATTTTGCCTTTCTTTGCCTCAACTGCCTAGCGTTAGCCTGCCAATGCCCGTTTCTTTGGTTGGTGAACTGGGCTCTACTATCTCAGGAGCATCTCCTGTAGGAACAGATGGAAGTTCATCCAGCTCTTTCATAGCCTTGGCAGCTTCTTTGGCCGCCTCCCTGCGGCGCTGCTTCTCTTCCTCCTTCGCCCTTTCTTCCTCCTCCATAGCTTCAAGCTCCTCGTCTATCTCTCCTTCGTCAACAATCGTGCCCGTGGGCTCTGCCAATATGGCAGTGATTTCATCTGTTGCACTCATTTGTTCTCTGAGAATATCCATGGTGCTTTCAACCCTGTCCACGCCACCAATTTGGGCATTCAAGCTCTTCAGCGCACCAGCAGATGACTCCATAACCTTTACCAACTGGACCTGGTCGGACGCCTGCTGTAGTTTCGAAGCCACCTCCTCTAGCTGATGGAGAGTTGCGTAGCGTGTAGATAAGGAAGATTCGGCCCGCTTCTTCGACTTGAGCGCTGCCAAGGCAGCGACACGGTTTTTGCGCAAGACGGCATTCTTTGCCTCCTGCGCTAGCTCATCAATACGCTCATTGAGAAGGTCAATCTGGTGCTCCAAGCTGCTTGCTAGCTCCTTTATAGATGCGATAGAGGAATCCTCTTCAGTAATCCCTCTTGCTTCACCACTCTCACGGATACGAACGGTGTGACCATCGTATTCTATCATGTCTTTATCTCGAGAGAGGAACTTTAGCAATACGTCAGTATCCGTATCGGACAGCCGCTGTTCCTTAGCCAGAACTGATGTGAATAATGCTTGGAACTGGGCTCTTGTGAAGACTCGGTCGAATCTTGGTGCTTTCTCGGCGATCTTCTCTCCTAGCTCCCGGCTGGCTGTTTCTACATTCTTCATAACAACATAGTTGCCCTTGGGTATCTTGTCTTCACCTCGAGTGGGATCTATGACTCCTAGCTGACGAAAGGTCCATCCCATCACATTCCACGGCACCTGTGACCAGCTCTGCTGGTATATGTTGTGGTTCGATTGCAGGAAGCTCTGAAGTGGAATCAGATCCTTTTGCGCCAGCGCTTCGTTCATCACAGTGCCCAGCGCCATCGGTTGGCCAAACTGCTTGCTATCTAGCGACCGTCGTAGTGATTCGTCAAGATCAAGCACGAGGGCACTAGATTTGGAACCCTGGCGGGATAATAGTCCTTCAGATGCTAGCCGCGCCAGGGCTGCCAGCCAAGCGGAGATGTTTGCATGGTAGCCGTCCGGATTCAACGTCTTTTGCGAGCGGAAGTCGGAGTACAGCGCGGGAAGTCGAGCCCTGCCAGAGCCTGTTAGTGTCCTATATCATCAAACGAGGACAAAGATGCGATGGAATCGCCAATGGGTATCTGCCTACTTGCGGAAGTTGGCGTCGTGCTGGACCAGGTAATCGGAGAGCTCGCCCATTTCGATTTCCAGCGAGAACGGCAACGGCTAATTTGTTTCTTTACGCTTCAAAAAAAAAAAAATATCCCGAGTATATCGCCGCGTATTTATGATAGCATTGACAGCATTGACAAAGGAGCTTCACCTGTGGCGTCCCGCGACTAGACCAAAGAATATTGTTGACGGATATGATTTTGGCGTGATGACAGTCCGGGATTGTTAGTGTGAGACCGCCGCTGATAAGGCACCTGGATTTAGTGCCCGATGATTAGGGGAGCATGTGATTTCCATACCCAGCGAGTAAATGTCCACTTCCATCCATGCTCAGTTGCAGTACAATCGACCGCTATGGTTGATGTTTTTCTTCATTAATTTTACTCTTTACAGTATTTAATATGCCAAGCTGCATTCTAGCACGACCAAGATAAGAGACATGTCTTAGATGGCGGCCTTCATCGATAGTACCAGTCACACGAGAGCAAAACCATCCATACCTCATACAGTGAACAACCGTGAATGATGCATTATTCACAACGTCTAACTATTCATAAACCCAACGAAAGGCCTGCCTTCCATTCATCTACTCGCTGAACTAATAGATACAAGATCGCCAAAGTGAAGGGTTCGATTAGTAGCGATCCACTCCCGCACCGGCCAATCTACAGGCCAGACAAAGACGAAAACACCTCCAAGCCGCTCACATCTTTGCCAAATTCATCCTTCAACGCTGGTTGCTAAACTCTTTGACTTCCCTTCATAACCAATCCATTCCCATTGTCCTATTCAAATCCCTCTTTATCTATTTCGTCATTGGTATCTTTGCTCATTTCCTCATTGTGTAGGGGTGCCGTCTCCAAAGTCCTGTCTCGGGCCAGATTGCTCGCTCTCCTCGAGCGCATATCCGTTAAAGCCTCGCTCTCCTCATCTATGCCATCATCAATCGCATCTTCCGATATACCCCTATCATGCCCGGCCGGGAACTCCAACTTCTCCGTCAGTTCGTGCTGCAGAGAGTCCATGGTTTCCCGGGCGATGGCGAACCGTGATATGCCATGGCCATGTGGCAATGTTTCGTATGTTCTTTTGGCTTCATTGAGGCATCGCTGAGCTGGGATATACTTGGACTGTTGGGCCCAAGCTTTAGCTGCAAAGACACTCCAAGCAGCTGACTTCCGCTGTCGGCTTCCCCAGCTCCAACTGCCAACGCCCTGCTTGGAGGCGTAGCAGATTGCCAGTCGCTCCTTGAGCAGCGCATCCCCAATACTGCCTAGAATCTTTGATTCCAAAAGACGGGTACACCATCGTGCGGCGTCATCAATACTAGATCCTCCCCTTAGCCTCAAGAGCTCTTGAGCTAAGATTAAAGTTCTTGTTGCCCCGTATGGAGAACTGCATCGAGTATTATAAGAATAGAATGCCGACTCTAGCATTTGGTCCACAGTCTCTGCGCGGTTCTTAGAGGTCAACTGCTGTGGCATTAAGAGGAGGCTAAGAGCTGCCATTTCATTAGTCGCGGCGTGGTATTTCCACGCTTTTGATTCGCTAAAGTCGGATCGCAGGAGATCATATGTAGAATGAGCCAATCTCCAGTCGCGCAGCATAAAAGCAAAATCAGCCAGCTTTCGCATGATCGCTTCGGATGTATCGGCCCTGTAGAAGCCCGAGGGATCGTAACCGTCTTTGCTGGTGGTAGTGCCGCTAGACGAAGACCGTGAATTACTACCAAACCCCGTCCATCTCTTTGACAAACTCATAAACCTTCCCGTAATTCCCTTGCGTTTAGAGGCTACTTGGTCATTCCAAATAGTGGCGTGCCGCTCCATGGTGGGGATAATCGACTGCATCACCATTTCGCGGACAAACGTGCGGATAGCAGTCGCATCGGACTCGAAGATGTACCGTGATGGATCCTCAAAGTCTTCGTCATTCTCGCTTCGGCGGATTTCGGCTAACTCTTCGGCTGCAGACATCCAGTCACTTCGGGGAAGAGGGATGCTGTCATCATCGGTTTCAACACTCTGACTACATCGTAGGCGTAACAAATGGCAATGGAGTCCTAGATGTCGCTTCATTTGCTCAAATAATGCCATGGATCTTGCGATATCATCGTTCTCTTCGTCATGAACCAGAACATAGTACCTCAAGTAGTCCCCATCTACCCAGGAAGGCAGCTTCTTCTCTCCCTGGCTGGTTTCGGTGTAGAGTCGCCGCAGCTCTTCGATTGGGGCTGCATTGCGGGAGCTAATAGCTATGATGCAAGCAACAGGATGAGCAAACGTTTCATGCGCTGAGATTGGTAGCCCCGATAAGAGTCGTCGTAAATATAAAGCATAGTATGGAGAAGCTGCCTCAGAATCAGAGCCATTTTTTGTCATGATACTCTGGTGTGGCATTCCGAGGAATGATTCCTCCGCATACGACAGATGGCGTTCAACAACAGCCTCAATATCGTTTATGGCTGACCTGTTTCCGGCATCTCTCTCCTGTGCTCCGCTCTGACTCCGAGGCGACTGGGTTTGCTGAGATCCCGCTGACAAGGCATCTGGGCGCTCTATGTTTCCGCCAAATCGTGTAAATCGTATAGAAAAGTCCTCGACTATTCGTCCAACGCCGTTGCTGTCCCTAATATTGACCTTGCCTTGGATATTCTCGCCAAACGGGCGCAATAGCTCCCACAATCCATGCTGAAAACCCTTCTCGCCAATCAAAGCCTCCGTATCCCGCGAGGCATAGACAGCTACATGAGGCACAAACGACTTTAGGATTAGGTTCAATGGTTCACCTGGGTCGTCTCCGACATTTTCCGGTAGTCCACGGTTCTGACCAATATCAAAAACAGTGCCTGAGAGAACTCGCGAAGGGGACCCTCGTCCTGCAGGTGACATAGATCTTGAGCCTGGTGGCGATAGCGTAGAGGCGTATAAGGAGGCCGCGGTCGATCTTCGATAGACAAGCGTTGATTCGGAAGGGGAAGTCGGGAAAGGCTCGATGGTAGAAGTCGAATGCCTCATATAAGAGAACTTGGCAGCGGAAGCCGCAGCGGGCAACGCTTGAATCGGTTCCGTAGACGATTCATCTTGAGGCCGCGGCATGAAGGCGACGTGGTGCGGTGGTTCCGCTGAGACAATTCAGACACTGGTGGTGACTTCATGCGGAATCAGGGGCTGAAGTGGAATCGCAAACGTCGGATGTCACAATACGGCTCTGCATATTCCTCTTGCGAAACGTGCTGGCGCATATGCGTCGGGAGATGTCACTCACGTATTAAACGCCACGGTCGGTTCTCATGATATCGAGAGCCCCGACTTCTACTACTAGAATTGCCCCACATTTCTGTACCGGGGTGACGGGATTCCGTCTAGCTTCGATATGTGCATAATACCTGCAGAGCGCATGCTATGTACACTGTACCAGGCACTCGCGACCTGGAAACTCATAGCAGCAGCTTTATACTTCAGACCATACTACCTAGTATTTCGTCCTCCTCCATCTTACCCTTTTTATTTTATTTTATTTTTTGTTTCAATTCTTTTGCTTACCATTCTCCCTCGATTTCTTTCATCATCTTTAATACATCATGGCAGATCTATCCAACTATCTCGCATCTAGATATTTGGTTGCCGACCCAAAGCCATCCAAGAAGCGCAAGCGCAAGCAAGCAAATGCGCCTTCAGGTCTTCTAATCACCGACGACGATGACGACTCAGCCTGGAACAAAGGCACCAAACAAGACGCTGAGGACGAGGATGGCCCATTGACGGTCTCAAATATTACAGCTGAATTTCGGAAGTTAAAGAAGAGCAATTGGAAGACAGTAGCAGAGGGTGGAAGCGCTCCAAATCAGGATGACAACGCAGCGGCTGCAGACGCCATCATCGCTTCAGCTGCCGCCGAAAACGATGCAGCAAGGGCCGCCGACGACGAGCTACCAGTCGTTGAAGGAGACGGAAGCGTAGTAAAAATGAGCGACGGAACACATGCCGGCCTGCAAAGCGCTGCAGCAGTCTCGGCACAGTTGAGACGGCGGCAGCAGGAAGAACGCGAGGAATTCGAACGCCACCGGAAGAATGCAAAAGAAGAGGAGACGGTTTATCGAGATGCCACTGGTCGACGAATCGACGTATCTATGAAGAGAGCCGAGGCGAGGCGCGCAGCTGCCGAAGCCGAGGAAAAAGAGCGGCTTGCCAAGGAGTCGCTCAAGGGCGACGTCCAGCTGGAAAATGCGAGACGACGCAAAGAAGAGCTAGAGGATGCCAAGCTCATGACTTTTGCGCGCAAGGCCGACGACGAGGATATGAACCGAGAGATGATGGACCAACAAAGATGGAATGATCCTATGATGCAGTTCATGACTGAGAAGGATACAAACCGTGGAAGCAGAAGCTCAAAGCGTCGCCCCATCTACTCAGGGACGGCAGCTCCTAATCGCTACGGGATCAAACCAGGATACCGATGGGACGGTGTGGATAGAGGTAATGGGCTCGAAGCAGAGCGGTTCAAGGCAATAAATCGGCGTGAACGCAACAAAGGACTGGATTATGCATGGCAAATGGATGAGTAACAACAGTATATATCAATATTTTGAGATACCCTACGAGAACTAGGATTAAATAGCTTGGCGTCAAAATGCTCGGTGCGTCGACGCCGTATTTTCTTCCACTTTTCTTCTTCTTTAAGAAACAATAAAGATGGCATCCCGGCATAGGCTCGTAACTAACTATCTCCTAATTCACTTCTCAACGGCCGTTGACCTAGCATAATAATTATCAGACCTTCCCGTGTTGGTCGAGAGTATCCATATGGGCATTACTTTCTACGACGCAGCCGCTTATCGGGACCATAATCGCACAACTGCTTAACGAGGCCAATCCACTCTTGTCTGGGCATACGACCTGGCCCATCTCCAACACGGCCCTGGAATAAGTTGATGAGATCACCAATGGTTATTCCGTCCACAGGTATCTTCTCCAAGATTTCCCATGATTCAATCAATCCACCAGTTAGGGGAGAAGAAACGCCTGTGATGCCCACTATTAGTTTCGAGAAAGATAAGACGGCATATAACATAGAAGGGGGCATAAGGAGCTTACCAGGTTGGGCGGGATTTGGACTGCCGGCCCTAGATGCAGAAGGTGTTCCCCTTGAGCTGCCAACAAGCTTGATCTTCTTCTTCTGCATCGCCCCGTCTGACATCTCGCCTGCAGTGACCTCTCCATCACTTCCAGAGCCGGCCGTAATCTTAGGACGCCGCACTGTGGTTTGTGACAGCCCAGGAGTGCTGGGTCGGCTTCCGAGAGCCGCGGCAGATGTCTTCTTCTGCTTCTTTCTAGTCGACTCATTGCCGCTTGATTCTGACAAGGCAGGCGAGCCGGCACGTTTCAGTGACTTTCCTTTCTTCACCATCTCAGAGAGCTTCTGTTTGCCTTGGGGGGTAGTAGACCCCTTGGCATTTTGCGACTTAGACTTGTCCTTGGCATCGCCCTGGGCGTCCTTATCGTCTCCGTCCTTCTTTTCGTCTTCTTTTCCAGCTTCCTCCTCGTCGGAGCTATCCTCGTCGCTCTGGAGATGCGTTAGTAATGGGTTACTTTGAGTGTGTCAGGTTAGTGGACACTTACCGAGCTGCTCCACGGATTGGAACCCGAATCATCACTTTCGTATATATCCTCGCGATCTCTCTTAATAAGAGCCTTTTTCGTAGTCTTGCCATATTTTTGTCTCTCCAACTCCTCCCTTAGCTGCTCTTGCAGTTCCTTGTCCACTTCCTGTTCATCTCCTTCGCCAAACAGGTTTGCCCCCAGTTGTTCACGTCGAATACGATCCTTGGACTCTTTGGTATCTTCATCGTCGTTTCGCTCAAAGTGCGGGGCTTCATCGTCATCCTGAAATTCATCACCCGAGATATCGAGCTCATCATGCTCCATCTTCTCCGCGCGTGAAGCTGCCTTGAAGGTATCACTCTCTGATTTGATCATTTGACCCCGTCCGTATAACATCCGCCGTGTGGCCTCGAGATCGTTCAGGCCAGCCTTCTTCTCTTCGTCTTTCATGACCCAACGGCCGACATCAACCTTGCGATTCATGAAAGCCTCGGCCTGATCAATGGTAAAGGGCTGGAATGGCGGCTTGGAGTTGAATTTGTAACATTTTTCCAATGGAATCATGCGGAAAACCGACTTATCAATCATGAATGCAACGCTAGATTCAGAAAGGGCGGCCACATAGCTGCCTACCCACACGTTTCTCCCATCAGCGTCTTCCAAGTGCCACGGGAGAGCTTCTTCATATCTCAAATCGGATTCTTTCTTCGCCGCTGATGTTTTTGGGGCTCGATTGAACATTGTTTTCTCTTCCTTTTGTTTCTTCGGGCGTTTGGCGACCACCTCTTTGGCCACAGGAGCAATTTTGGCTTGATCGATGGCCCTTTGCGCTTCTCTCTCGGCCTTGATCTGCGCCAGTCTTTCCGCCTCTTGCTCATCTACCGGGGGTCGTTCGGGCTCCTCCTCCTTCACAGCTCTTCCCGGAGGAGGTTGGCGGGCATCTCGCCGATGCAACGTAACGGGTCTGGCAAATTCGTCTTGGTCTGTCGGATCAATAGGCTTGTCACCCAATTTGGTCTGGGAGAATCTCATGAGATGATATCGGATTCCATCAAGTAATGCTTTCTTGGTTGTCATGATCGGGATGTCGCTGAAAGCATAGGGAGGGGGTGGTTCGCTCCATCCGCCATATTGCTTCCGTAGCTCCTCGACGTTGGGTTTAGTCCCGTTCGCTGCGGCCTGCGCTGAAGTCGATGGCGTACTGTTCGAAGGCGGCCGATTGGGCTTGGGGGCTGGCTTGCGAGATGATGCGACAAGTGGGTTGACAGGCTTCTTCCGAAGAGGACGCAAGGGATTGGGCTTCTGGCTCCGCGGAGCGCCATTGGGATTTCCAGCGGGGGCGCTCATTTTGATGCTGTGGTGAGCGCTAGGTAGCGATGTTTGGACTGGGCAAAAAAGGCACGCAGCCTCTTTGCACGAGGTTGACGTGCCTCTGCAGCTGAACGAAGAGCTGCAGCTGATCGCGGCAGTGCGTTACCTGAGAAAGAGTCGTGTCAAAGGTCGCAATAGATACGGTTCGCAGCAGCTAATTCAATAGCTGGTTTGAACAAAGGATGCTGCCGCCGCACGGCTGCGAGAGAAATGGCGTTGAGGGTTGACGTGAAGTGCAAGAGGATAGAGGCTGGCAGATCACCGAAAGCTAGGCGGTGCCTACTAGGTCAGTTCTCTAGGGCGGCGGCCGGAGAACTGCCGCTGCCTATGACGCTTGATGACAAAGGGTTGGGAATGATTGTTTGCCTGCACGTCCAATGATAACATTAGTAGAACACAAAGGAATAGCCTAAAAATGAAGAATGATCAATAGAAAAAGTAGATTTTACATCCAATTGTTGCTAACATAGCGCTCTAACTGTATGTGCAAGCTTTCTTCAGCACATTTGGCTCTATCAATTCAAGCCACAGCTACAGAGCATCTTAGGTACTAAGGCATGCCCTCGGCAGAAGCTCACTTTCATTTCACGATGGTGACAGCTCCACCCCAAGAAGGTATTTTAGTACCTCTTAGTACCCAGGCACCATGTTAAGAAATACCAGGCAATAGGGTTCTGCTTCAGTACTATAGTAGGTACCTAGATACTCAGTGATGAGCAGTACAAAGGGTTACAGGGAGAGAGATAAGGTTATCTCAAGGTCGCAGTAGGTTCAATGCCATACAAGTTAGGCTGTGTGTCCATTTTTTTGTACAGCGGTGCTTCGGTACCTTAATAGGGCGAATCAACTTAAGTTCGATCCATGCTAAGCTGTACCTGGGCCTGTGTCATGCAGCAGCTGAGGCCGATCCTCAGGTAGTTGCCGGTACCTGCTAAGGCTAAGCACAGGCGGGCTATGTGGCACTAACAGCTCCCTGGCTCCTCTTATTCTGCTACATCCTCCGCTTCTCCAAAGTAACTTTGCGGTACCATGGTAACTGGCCATCAAACTCGACACATTGCGTTTTGGAAAGCAGAGCCTTGTTTCTACTTGTTCACCATCACTTGAACCTCTGGTATCAACAGAAACATCTAGTCCTCCGCGGCGTGCCATATCCCCTCCTGTTGCAATTACTTACACTCGCTTTTGCACACTACTTTCATACCCTATTTCTTGAATATCCAGCCTCGAAAAAAAAAAAAGCAATACCTTTCGGCACCTCCCCTCTTGTGTACCACTCAGTACGAAAGTGATTGGGTTGTCTGCGCTTCCCCTCTTCCTTATCAGGTGCTGACTTGCGTCTCATAACAGAAGAGTTGTTCTGCAATCTTGAGGATGTCGAAGTTGTAAAGAGAGGACACTAAAGTTTTTAAAGTGCTGAGAGCTACGGCCTGGCCTACGAGAATCGCCACTGCGGCAATCTTCATCATTGACAACAAGATGCTCCCTAATCAACGGAATTCCCGTGGCATCGAAGGTGATGCATCGGCCTCTGGGCTCGAGGGTCATCTGCGGAATCTGATTCTCACCAATGCCAACCAAAGCACCAATCCCGCAGCCTTTCCTCCTACGGATACTCGCTCTCAGGCTTCAGCATCACGCCGGCCTCCATTGTCGGGCACGCAGTCATCAAACTCGTCATTTAACCAGGGGCAGTATCGTGCTAATACCAGCCATGCAAATGATGAATCAAGCTTTGACAACACATCTCAGCATGGCCAGCATTCACCTAAGCCGTCCAGAAGGCGCCCAAATCAGGCTCAGCGGCGACAGATGTCTCAGTTCACAATTGCTCCCGAGCCTCGACAGCAGCTGCCCCCATATAACCATACAACTAGGCCTAATGCCCAATGGACGCCGCCACAGTCTCATCCAATCTCGGCGCCGAGGCCCTCGGAATTTCCTCGTACACGGAATTCATGGAATGGCCCTCCGCAGTCATCTGCAAATAGGCCCCAGTACCAGAACTCACTGTCAATGAGGCAATTCAATGCAGGCCCCTCTCACAGTGTACACCAGAGTACAGGGTCGGTACATCATCAACATCGTTCCCTTATCAAGCCAGAAGAAATCACGAATCAGGCCCGTCTACTAGACATGCTCTGCCACCAGGTCTTGGCTCATTCTGAGATCGACCGGTCCGAAATAGCAGAAAAAGAAGCGTTTCGCCAACGTATAGAGCATATATGCCGCGAAGTCATCAGCCAGTTTGAAGAACAGCAAGATGTGAATAACAGGATCCCCCCATTTTCTGTGGAACTGAAATGTTTTGGCAGCCTGTCGTCTGGTTTTGCTACAAAGGCCTCGGACTTGGATCTCGGCTTGGTATCACCTCTGTCCAAAATCCCACCTGATGCCCCTGGGTCTCCTATACCTCGATTAATTGAAAAGGCATTCCTGCAGGCAGGCATTGGCGCCAGACTTCTAAGCCGCACGAGAGTCCCAATTATCAAGATTTGCGAGCTGCCTCCAGAAACTCTTTTTAAAAATCTGCTGGAAGCACGCGAGAAATGGGAGCGTGGTGTTGATAAGGAGGCTCAATCTGGAGCTGCTGAAACAGAGCTTGAGAATGAAGGCTCTGCTCATGGAGGTGATGACGATGACCACGAACAAAGTGGAGCAGCCGATGCTGGTTCAGATTCACTGGGCGAATTCGAGATACTCTGCAAGGATTCTACTGAACCACAGCGCTTTCGACTTCAACAAGGGCCTAAAAACTCCCTGGATTCCTACTATGGTCTAGCCAAGCGCATTTTGCGGCGAGCTGGTGGCTACGATATCACTGCTTCAAACCACAAAGACTTTACGGCAGCCGACTGGGATATTCTAAACCGTGTCTGTTATGCATTTGTCCAGGGGCTGGCGGACAATTCCTTGCGGGATCATGTTGCCAGACTTCCTTCCATCGCTGCAACGAATAGCCCCTCGAATTCACTTGACCACCGCTCTCTCTTTGGTATATTTATGCAGATAGAGGGAGAGCACATACTACGCCGTTGGAAATCGTGGCGCGAGGGGCTTCCTCTAAGACAACCTGAGGATGACAAATCCATAAGGCAATGGGAATCTCTGCAACTCAGGTCACTGCCAGATATTGAACCTATTACCTACAATAGGGAACTTCAACTGGCCCTCGAGAAGCTGAAGAAAATTCCGTCTGTGCAGCTATTGATATTCGAGCAAGATCAGCAAGAGACACCTTCACAATATTATACAAGGGTAAAAAGCATCGTAAACAATTTAGGAAGCTCTATATCTATACCCCAAAAAGTTATAATCAGTCAATATGTTGCCGGGGTATTCCGCGAAGAGATGCGAGATCAACTGAGCAGCTATCTTGAACAATTCCCGGAACAGGCAACGATCCAAGCGGTAGGATGTCGCCATAAGAGTATCCATCTAGCCAATGAGTTTGAAAAGGCTATTGGAAGCAACTTATACGACGCTGTTTGCGTGCCTTATATCTTGCGCTATATCGAAATATTGCGGCAGCCCCTCGAGAAGAGAATGGTGGCACCAGGGAAACCATACTATATCGTATCAATCCCTGCTGAATTTTCTGCAACTTTTGCCAAGATCAAGGTCCTAACTGATCCCCGTACAATGGCTCCAAATCAGCCGGGTCAGAGACCTCGAGATCCGCTTGAATTTCCCAAATCAGATGTTGGGGTGCAATGCGACATCAACTTTTCTGCTCATCTGGCCCTCCAAAACACCCTTTTGCTGCGTTGCTACTCGCATACTGACCCAAGGGTTCGACCCATGATCCTATTTGTCAAGCACTGGGCCAAAATGCGTGGCATCAACTCTGGATATCGCGGTACTTTGAGTAGCTATGGCTACGTGTTAATGGTACTGCATTATCTCGTCAATGTTGCGCAGCCATTTGTTTGCCCCAATCTCCAACAGCTTGCACCAGCGCCTCCCAACAATTTGACTTCGGCCGAGATACAGTCCACGATAAGCTGCCGAGGCTACAATATCCAGTTCTGGAGAAACGAGGAGGAAATCATCAGGTTGGCATCCCAGAATCAGCTCAATCGAAACACTGAAAGCATAGGGCATTTGCTGAGAGGGTTTTTCGAATACTTTGCCCAAACCGGCATGATGAGCAATGGTCTTAGTAGAGGATTCGATTGGGGCCGCAACGTCATTAGTTTGCGAACCCATGGAGGAATATTGACAAAGCAGGAAAAGGGCTGGACGGGAGCAAAGACCGTATATGAAGTCCAGAAGACGGATGTTGATACAGCCACCCAATCAAACCCTCCCCCGGTGAATACTCAACCACCAGCTTCTCCACAGGTCACCAAGAGCGGAGACGTTAAAGAGATCCGACTTCGATATCTCTTCGCCATCGAGGATCCGTTCGAAATAGACCACAACGTGGCACGAACGGTGACACACAATGGCATCGTTTCCATCCGCAATGAGTTCCGCCGAGCTTGGAGGATACTTCGCGCCGCTGGTAATGGAGACACCCAAGAGAACTTGTTGCAGGACGCTGAGGACGAGAAGGAGGTTCCAGTTGCATTTCTGCATTTACTTGCAGACATACATGAGACTATTCCAGTTTGAATATACCAGATCGGGAGAAGCGTCTATCAGACGTTATTTCAGGATAGAAGAGCTACACTGAGGGATATATTGTGCAACGGCAGATCATTGCTCTTGTCGGTCTTTGATGGAGGCGTGGTACGCGCACTCCCTTGAATAAATGTGGGACCATTCTTGGATAGTATTCATGTATCTATGGAGAGGACATTGAATATGTTTCCTCTGTTTGTACCGGTATTATTTGGCTTCTTGTTTGTCTTTTTGCTGATGCCCTGTGATTTTCCTCCCCGCTTGTTGGATTTTCTATCGTCTGCTTTCGAGCGAGAGTGTTCAAGGGCTTGAGACGGCGCTTGCTCAAAAATGATAAACTCGGACAAAATATGCAGTATCTGAAGTTCTTTTGATGCCTTTAAGAAATCAGATAGCGCACAAACATCCGGAAATTCAGGGAGAGGCGGAAGCTCTGATAACATCTCGCGGATTTGAATGAGGTTGAATGTGAACTCATCCGTGCTGTTGTTTTCAACAATTACGGATGAGAGTACTTGACTCAATATGCGGAGCGAATACAATCCAGCTTGAATGTGTGCGCTAAAGTGGATTACATCCCATGAAATTTTATCCCCAGCAGTGGCCAAGTTGCCACCACTTCGTTGAAGCGTGATTAGTGTATGTGAATTCTTGCCTTGCTGGTTGCATTCCATAACATCCAGTATCAGGCACAGTAGAATCCAGTGATGCTGTTGTGCTAAACTTATTTCTCTTCCTCGTTTCAAAAGGTCCAGTATCTCACTGGCTACTCTATTCGCCTCATCGCCGGACAGTAATGATATTTCTCGTCCCTTTTGATCGATGTTCTGAACTCTTCTGTACTCTTCAACTGACATGGAACAACCGCATTCAAGATAGCGGCACGCCGCCGTGTAGGCCAACGTGCGGACATGCGCGCTGGTATCCCAAGATGTTCCTTTGGTGGGATTCTCGATTAAGGAGGGGAGAAAAATCTTGGCCTTCTCTCGGGCATTCTTGGCTTTGGGTGCCTGCCCAATCTGAAGGAGCAGTTCTGACACTCTAGGATCAAGGGCACTCAATGGGAGTAAGGCACCCCCTATCAAACGCGGTACTGGGGCCTTTTCGTGACGTATATATTGCTGACGAAAATGGTCATAATCCAGAGCATCTGCTATAGGACTTGAGCAGGCCTTTAATAGCATGGGAAGCGTTGCGTTTGGGGAACGCAATCGTTCGTACCCCAAGCGACAGGCTTCTACAGACTTTGACAGTCCCAGCTTTGTGTATATCGCACGAGGAGCATACATTGTGCAGGCTAGCATCGAGCTAGCGTTCTCATGGATATCTCGAAAGAAGATAACTTTGCCATTGCCAAGATCGTGGGCAAGCAGATCGGAGTCGGATGTCAATATTGTTCCGCCATGCTTTGCAATGTCCGAAGCGCAGTAAGCATCTGCCTCTCCGGGAATAATGAAGCATTTTTCTCGGTAGCGAGAACTCTCCCGGATGGCATCAATGATTGCAGGCACAAGAAAGCTCGGATCCAGAGAGTTTTTGTCGGCGAATCTTCCTGGGCGGGCTGTGTCCAGGTATATCTCATCTGTGGGAGCCACATGCTTCTGAGGACAAGCCATAGAATGTGAAGAATAGAACAAATTGAGCCGAGAAGTTACTTTGATCACCCTTTCCATGCGAACAGGCTGCTTAGACTCTGGAAGGTAGCCATCGAAGTATATGGCTCGACTTTTGGAGTGTTAGCCATCATCTTTACTTGCTACATTTTGTGTTTGGGAAGACACTGACATAGTCACTTGCTGATCCTCCAGGCGATCCAACCATTCAATAACGAGTCGATTAAGAAGGCCATATGACGGCTGACTCGCCCCTTGAAATCGGCATAGATGAAGAATATGGTAGGCCAGTGCTGGACCATCGATGACTACCACTTGACGCTGAAGAATCTCGTGGGAGGCATAGTTCTCCAGCGTTGTAATCAGGTGGGGAATTCCCATGCTGGCCAGATCTTACGAGATGAGTTGAAGAATGGCCGGGATCGATATATGAAGATATTGATAGGCCATTGACATGGGATGAGATGCTAGTCGTGTATATCTCTCCAGAAATTACATTGCCGGCGACATGTTTTTGTGGAACGGTCTGCTGGTCCAAGCAACAATCGGCAAGCCCATGCATTCATGATAACGCTCGCGATAATCAAAATTCAGCTGTCGCAGCAAGAATTGCCCCGCCATGGCGATCCGTGTAGTATCCGCACTGTGGTTTCTGCGGGAAACTGCAAGGTCTAAAGGATTTGTGGCCAATCAAAACAGCCACTGATATTAAGAGCAGCACGGAATGGCACCGTAACCTCACGTGCAATCCACACAGTATGACTGCCTAGGGCTCCACGCCTAGAGAAAGAGAAAAAAAAGCTGCTCGTCTCACCCAACTTTTTCTTCAAACTTTTTTTTCCCCTTCTTCCCCAAGGGTCGGTCGCAATGCGCAACACGCTCATTTTCGCTGGTAACTCATGCCCAGCTCTCACAGGCCAAATATGTGAGAACTTGGGCATGACTCCTGCCAAAGCGGAGCTGACCCAATTCTCCAATGTGAGCTTCCTGTAGCTCTTCGTTGCTGTTTTTCGATTCTTGACTGTCGGCCTCGGCAGATACTAACTGGCTCCCAAGGGCGAGACAAGTGTCCGGATCCTAACAAGCGTCCGAGAGAAGGATGTCTTCGTTGTCCAGTCTGGGAGTCCCAGAATCAACGACTCCATCATGGAGTTGCTCATCATGATATCTGCTTGCAAGGGTGGCTCTGCCAACAAGGTCACAGGTTCGCTCAACGGCACCGGCTGTGCTGTGGAACATTGCTGACATTTGTTTCGCAGCTGTGCTCCCGTACTTTCCCTACAGCCGGCAGTCGAAGAAGAAGTCTCCTAGAGGGGCCATTACCGCAAGGATGCTGGCCAACTTACTCGGTGTTGCTGGAGTTAAGCACGTCATCACCGTGGACCTCCACGCTTCGCAAATGCAAGGCTTCTTCAGGTGTCCGGTTGACAACCTCCATGCTGAGCCCATTATTGCCAAATGGATCAAGCGAAATGTGCCAAATTGGCGAGAGGCTGTGGTGGTGTCCAAAAACCCAGGTGGTACAAAGCGCGTTACGTCACTCGCTGATGCTCTCAAGCTGAACTTTGGGCTGGTCACCACCGATAGAAGACGCGGGACAAACATGACGGGCAGCATGATCATGAGCCATCTTGATGGATTCGATCGACGGTTTGACGACTCGACGCAGAGCGACAGTCGGCCAGACAAGCCCGCCCCAACCCACGACAGAGCGAGGACCCCGGTTAGGAGTGCTAGAGTCGTAACCGACTCGCAAGGTTCGCCTATTCGGTCTAGCGATTTGTCGACAAGTGCGACGAATCTTGCTGATCCTGTTCCAGAAGCCCAAGCCGCATCGCGGAGAAAGAGCGCTGTGCAGCTCGACTCTGACTATGATGATCGTCGTGCCCAAGAAGTCATTCATGGCCGACTGATTCAAGGCCACATCGTCGAAGATGACTTCCCATCTCCAGGACGGTCTACGGCCGGGAACAGCGTGCAGGGCGATGATCCGATGACCATGTCTCATGCTTCGTCCTTCTTCGCGCCCGATCGCCAGTCGCTTGCTGGCGGCGCCAACGGTGAAAGCAGCTCTGATGAGGAAGACAACGCTTTCGAGGATCCTACGGCAGAGCACATGATCACACTTGTGGGAGACGTGAAAAACCGCACTGTCTTCATAGTCGATGACATGATTGACAAGCCAGGATCGTGGATTGCTGCGGCCGAAACTGTGGTGAAGAAAGGCCGGGCCAAAAAGGTGTACTGCATTGCTACCCATGGTGTCTTTGGCGGAGACTGTTTGGAGCAGCTGCAAGCATGCGAGTGCATCGACACCATTGTTGTTACAAACAGCTTTCCCATCAACGAGGAACGAGTTAGAAACTCGAGTAAGCTGGTCATCTTGGATCTCTCGTTTCTCCTGGCTGAAGCCATCCGTCGAAACCATTATGGCGAGTCCATTTCCCCCCTGTTTCAGCATATAGGAGATTGAAATACGGAGGTGTGATGATTGCAACGTGTAAGTTGAAGGCGAATTGCCGCCTCTTTTCAAGACTGTTGATGGTCTGGCTGGATGGATCTTTCCAGTTGTTTCATTTTTTAGCGTGGCGTCTTTGGAATGAGGAAAGGACAGAGAAACAAAAAAAAGGCTTGATGATTTATATGAACAAGGTCAGTCAATTGATGAATAACGATGAGTCTCGTGGAAGATTGCCCCTCTCCCGACGTGTGAGTGCCTGGCCCATTATCTCGTGTTGCAATAAACACACCCAGCGGTGCTGTCCTTGTGGCAGCAAGAGTCCGATTCATCTCAGAATGGATTCTTAACGGAACGTTGGAAGATCAAATTTTCGTTCTTAGAAGGCCCCTGATTCTTTCCAGCTTCTGTTGGACGTGGGTTAGGGGCAAGAGAAATTTTCGAACATGCAAGGCAAAGACTTAGAAAGTTGCCATCTACAATTTATAAATCCAATTTATGCATCAGATGTTTAAGATGTTTTATCTTTATCTACTTAAGTGCGTATTTTGCCTATGTTGGTGTGACTATATTTTCATACACTGTCCCTGTTTCATCTATGTTGGTCGACGGTGCATGATGAGAGCAGATGCCTTTTCACCTGTCAGTAACTACGAGGCATGAAGCAATGATAGAGAAAGAAGCACAAACCTGGTGGTTGGGGTAGAGCAGAGACTCAGCAACGACGACATTCTCCCGTCTGGTAGCGGCGAAGACAACGACTTCAGCGATATCATCAGGTGTGAGGGGATCGCAGCCACTGGCGATGGTGTTAGTGCCCGTATAATAAAGCGATGATACAATCCACGCGGCAAAGAAGAACGGGTAAAATCTTACGCATAGACGGCATCGGCCTTGGCCTTGTCACCGTAGAAACGAACGACGGAGAATTCCTAATGGTAGCCGATAAGCAAAGTACACGTTGGATTTGGTGCATCGAGTCGTCTTACCGTTTCAACCTGGCCAGGGTCAATCTCGATGACCCTAATGCGAGTGGCGATGAGCTCCTTTCTCAAGCTTTCAGTGAAGCTTCGGACAGCGGCTTTGCTAGCACAGTAGATTGAGCCTCCGGGGTATGGCTCCCGGCCTGTAAACATACAAGAGGTTAATACTGCGTCAAAGCCAAAAGAGGAGGGGTATCGTGGCGGGGTAAAAAGTGATCAGATACGAAATTCATGGGCAGTTGATGAGAGGACCAGGGGCAAATGGACGTACCGGCAATTGATCCAATGTTGATGATGTCTCCCTGGCCACCGTTTGGTCGCTTCTGGAAAATTGGCAGGATGGCCTGTGTCATGTTGATGAGACCTGTGACGTTGGTGGTGAAGACAATGTTCATGTCCTCCTCATCAATTTCAGGCGCCTTGGCCACACCCTTGACAAGGCCGCTGAATGAGCATTAGTAAAGTTGTTTATAGTAGAGGAAAGAAAGCAACCGCTATCAGCGAATTGTATACAGGGATGAGGAAAACTTACGCGTTGTTCACCAAGACGTGGATATCCCTCCACTCCTCTGGCAAGCCACTCACAAAACCCCGGATCTCATCCGCCTTGCTCACATCAAGCTTCACCGGCAGCACCTTAACTCCATCGTTGGTCTCCTTTCGAATCTGGGCAGCGAGCTCCTCCAGCGAATCAGTACGGCGAGCCGTCACAATGAGTCGCAGGTTGCCATTGGGGTTAGTCCGCGCAAACTCGAGGGCCGTTGATCGTCCGATGCCAGACGACGCTCCGGTAATGAGGACAGTCTTGCCCTCCAGGCGCTTAGCTGCCGCAGATGAAGCCATATTGCGTGTGAAGATGGTGAAACTGTTTCGTGTGGTGGCCGGTTGGAAGACGAGTGGTGGAGAAGCAAGAGTCCGTCTCTGGCTATATCTATATGAGAACCGGTTGTAGCCGCGTTGTAAGAAAGACGGACGAGTCACAGCAGCACGGAAAAGATTGGTGGTGGCTCTGATTTGTACGGAAGGCATCAAGATAAAGGTATGCTTCTCCGATGACTTTTGCACGCTAGCCAATTGCTCGAGGAGAAGAGAGAGAAGATGGAATGTCGTAGAAGGAAAAGTGGGTTTTGCTGTTGACTCCGAATTGGAGATGACAAGATGCTAATCTGCTATCTAAAGGGTAGGTACATATCACCAAGTCACCACGTGTACATGCCATGTATCTATTTCGAGGGCACTTATATTAGCAGCTACAAATGATTCCAAGCACAACACCAAGCGGGAATTAGTACCATTCATCATGCTATACACAAATGACGACAAGTCCCAGGGCGTCTTCAAATTTGCCAATTCCCCCACATTGGTTCCGGGCGTGGGAAAATGACCCCGCGTTGCTATACGTGGGGCAGAAACACATGCAGAATGTCGCATCATATCGAGCAGACGGCAACACTTTTTGCCGGCCACAAGGATGATCTCACGCTTGGCATCAATTTCTATGCGGATTTTTATCCTCGTTTATCCGTTCATGAGTGTTTCCGAGATGCCTAGAGCATGCCCATCACGAACAAAGACGGCCGAAATGGAAGAAGAAATCGGGGAACAATGATACATACATGATAACCCGGGCAATTCATCTGTGTCAATGCCTTGCTTTGGCAAAAAGGAACCGTATGCAAGAAACGAAAGCCATCTCCATCCTCTTCTTCTCCAAGAATGCCAATCAAAAAATGCTCTCCTCTCTGGAGTTCAGATTCTCCATAAACATGGACAGAAACTCGTATTGCGGGCATGAGCGTTACATCAAACAGATGATATAGCTGATTCACTTTCTCAATTCTTCTGCATGAGGAATATCCTACAACGGAATCAAAAGTTCCACTACTCTCCGCTGCCCATCATCTGGCAATGCCGCTTCGCCTTCGTGCTGCTGCTCGACGTCCTTTGGGCGTATATGGCAGCTCATGAAGGCTGTCGATAGCACCGCCAAACAAGCCGCTACCGCCGCCGTCGTGATGCTCTTATGAAACGCAGATACATATGCTTTTTGGACAGCTTCTAAGCTAGGGCCCGTCAGGTTTTTCATGTCGCCCTCCATGAAATCCAGCTCTTCAGGGGGTATAATTTCCGGAAGTCGATTGATTACTTCAGTGTGTAAGAACAACGTAGAAACTGATACACCGAGGCTCCCCCCTAATATTCTCGCTTGCGCCATGATGCCATGAGCAGACGCTAACCAAACGAAAAGGTTAGTTTATTATGCTAACATGACGACACAAAAGGAATAAAGGAGATCAAAGGGATCTTACCCTTTTGCCGTGTCAGAACATCAACACTTATCACGTTGGTTGCTGCCGCCGTGAAAAGACCAAAACCAAACCCCACAAAGGCCAGAAATCCAAATGCTTTTGCGTCATCCTCTGAGCCTCTAATCGTTGTAAGGAGCACGAATCCAAGGCCCATCAGCCAGGAGCCGCAACGCAAGGTCCCTGAAAGGTGGTCTTTGACTGCGTTGACCTTTCCGCTCACCATGCTCCCGATAGCGACTGTTCCTAGCATGGGGAGCAGAGTCAGCCCAGCTAGTAGCGGGCTCTTACCGCTCACGATTTGCATCCTGATTGGAAACGAGAATATCAGGAGTAGATGTGGGTAGCCCAGAAGGAAAGTCGTCAAAGTGCTTCTTGTGTAGCGCCGATTCCGGAAGAGCTCGATAGGAAAGACGGGAACAATAGATTGAGCAAACCGCTTCTCAATGACAACCCCCCAGGCGAACACGGCCAGCCAGCAGACTAGACCAATGATCAACGGTGCGATGAATACTGGGCGACCCCAAGTTCCCGGTTCGGATTCACCGGCATTCTGAAATGCAAAGACAACGAAGACTGAAGCAGCGATGCCCAGTATGGTGCCAACAAAGTCAAACTGTTTCCACGACGTGGTCTTCGAAGGCAGCATCTGCTTTTTCCTGGGCCAGCTAATAAAGAAAATGAGCAGAGAAACAATACCAATGGGTCCGCTGTGTTCCATGTTAGCTGAGCTCTTCCATCGTACACGTCATCGGAGTTGCGCACTTGATCCAAAAAATCCAGCGCCAGCCTGTGTATTCAGCGAAAATACCTCCCAAAACAGGCCCAAGAATGCCTGCACTTGCAACCACAACTCCAATAATGCTACCGATATATTGACGAAGCTGTGGCGGACACTGCTGGGTCAATATAATCATCGATAAAGCATATAGACCTGCGAAGCGCGGTAAGCGTTTTGGTCTCCTTGTGTAAGAGGGAAGATTTTCGCATTCACAAACCAGAACCACCAATCCCCTGGAGTGCCCGGCATACTATCAGACGCTTGACGTGCTGAGAAAACCCACACGCAATGGAGAAGGACACAAAAAGTAGGTAAGAAGCTGCGAAAGCGTTGCGCCGCCCTATAATGTCTGAAAGAGTGCTGCATGATACTGTGAAGCCAGTATATCCTAGAGAATAGGCCAGCACGACCCAGTTGATCAGACTGTGATCTTTAAACTCAACCCCAATGGTGTATAAACTTGTCGCGAGGATGGATGAGTCGATTATCGACAGTAGTAGGCCAGGACAGACTCTATTGAAGTATATCAGCTGGGATTAACTCATACAACCAACCATTGAACTGATGATAACACTCACCCACAACAAAGCAACCAAAACTGCCAAGTAGGTATGGGAGAAAGGCTAGCTTCAGGATTTTGCGCGTCATCCACACTTGGTGTTTCCGTGGCCTGCTGAAGAGTTGTCATATCGAAAGGTTCTCCGGGCCCGTCGCAGCTGGAGCATCTCGAAGGAGATGACATTATCATGATATAGAGACGGGCCTGAAATTTCAGGAATCCCAGTAGGAACAGTTTTGAATGATGAGAAGCGCAAGTTCCGGATTTCGTTGATGCCTTGCGGGATGGCTTCTGAATATCACACAATGTGCCAGCTTGGTAACGTAAACACGGATCTTCAAGTCCAATATCCTTCAGTGTAGTTCCAGAAATATATTCAAAAGCATTCAACTCGTGGCGTGCTTTACAAGATTAACTATTAGAAAAGGTTCCAAAAGAAGGAAGGACTGTTAGGATATTGATGGCAATGAGTAGAAAAAGCGAGAGCGATTGGACAAACGGAAGGTTAAAAAGGCCACCAGGCGCAGCAGGTGGAAAGACAGTCTCATACCTTGATAAGTTAGTCAATGTCAGCAAACAGAATTACCCACCTAGGTACCTTTTTCAAGAGACTTTTGGCAAGTGACTTTCGCTGTCTGCGAACAGTTACATGTTTAGTAGTTTTTGAACATCAGTCAATCACACCCATCCATCACAGCCGCTGCTGATGAGGAACAGGGCGAGAGCGAGGTTTGTGCTGTAGCCACAGCTATGAAGAGTACTTGCTGGAGTATAGTTGGATCAACAAAGAATGCTTGATGCAAAGGTTCTACAATCTGCAGGGAGAGATGGCTGAGAGTCCGGATTTTGGTATACGGAGCCATAGATTGCTGTCGAAGCTGTAAGAAATGATGCCATGAGCTGTGATTATACGGTTTCACTCTGGTAAAAGCTATATATTTGTGTTGTATCTACTTCAGGTGGTGCCGGTGAATGTATTCTGTATAATGGTACTAAGGTAGACAGCATACCGAAATATATCACTAGCACCAAATGTAAAGAAACACGACAAGATTTTTCACCAAGACGTAGTAAATTCATCTATGCTATATATTCCAATAGAGTAAATAAATCCAAATATATCGCCTTTCGTAGTCGCGATACAAATAAAACTGGTATTGAGCAGCACTGCTTGGAAATATACTCATATATAATATTCCAAACATTGCTACCTAATCCGGACTAAGGGAGACTAGCGCTCCATATCTAGTCTGCAGTAGGCAGCAATTGGAGCTTGAATTTGGGCCCCTCGATAGCTACCTAGTACCTAGCTCCCCAGTATGAATGATATCCAACAATTGCATCAATCATTACCTGTTTGTGCCACCAGAAGCTCTGCTTGGCTGGGAATTTGCCAATAATATCACCACCTCAAGATCTGCGCCTTTCCAGTAGCACTCACTCACTCACAGCCTCACAAGAAACGCTGCGGCCCCTTCTGCAACTACCCCGCCAAAGCCCAACAGCCATCTCAACTTCAGCCATACCTACATACAGGCAGTTCAGGCAGCACTCTCACAGTATGACAGAGGCCTTGGAACAAACGCCTCTCATACCTCGTGGCCCTTCGGACAAGGAAAAGAAGTATGATCGCCAGCTCAGGTTGTGGGCTGCTTCGGGCCAGGCAGCGTTGGAATCGGCAAATCTCCTTCTAATCAACTCGGGAGCCGGCACAGCTGGCGTTGAAACGCTGAAGAACCTTGTCTTACCCGGTTTGTTGGTCCTCTCCCCAGCGATCGAGTCTGACTGCGGGTACTTACATTCCATTCCACCCAGGTATTGGTAAATTTACTATTGCCGACGACGCCGTTGTCCAGGATGTGGACTTGGGCGTCAACTTTTTCCTAGACGAATCATGTCTCGGCAAATCGAGAGCTCAGTGCTGCACAGAGCTGCTTCTCGAGCTTAACCCAGAGGTGGATGGAGTATGGAACTCTACCGTGACAGTCCGTTTGTCCTCTGCTCTATCAGCGTGTACAGGGCTAATTGACCCAGGATTCCGCCAGTCTTCAGCAGCTGCTGGACGCATCGGAGGCATTCACCATGATCATATATAGCCTTCCTTTGCAACCGGGAATGCTCGAAGCCATTGAGGCATACGGCCGTCAGCATCGGACGCCACTTGTAGCCATCCACTCAGTGGGTTTCTACTCCTACTTCCGGATCACACTACCCGGCACATTTCCCATCGTGGACACTCACCCCGACGAAACTGCAACGACAGATCTGAGACTCCTAGCCCCTTGGCCAGAGCTATCTGCATTTTCAAATGAAATGACTAAGGACATTGATAATCTGGACCACCACGAACATGGCCATCTTCCCATGGTCGTGATTTTGCTTCACTACCTTGATGTCTGGAAGCAGGAGCACGACGGTGCTTACCCAACTTCATACGAAGAAAAGACGGAATTTCGCCAACTCATATCCAATGCCACAAGGCGAGACAACCCAGAAGGAGGAGAAGAGAACTTTGATGAGGCTTTTGCAGCCGTGATGAAGCATGTTTCTCTGCCACCAGTCCCTTCCTCGCTTAAGCAGGTCTTTGATTACGAGCACAAGGATGAACAAGAGTCCAAGTCCAGTTTCTGGATTATTGCCGAGGCCTTGAAGCAATTTTATACCGAACATCAATGCCTGCCCGTGACTGGTAGCCTGCCTGATATGAAAGCGCAATCTAGTGTCTACATAAAGCTGCAGAACGTCTACAAGGACAAAGCTAGACAAGATGTAAACGACGTCTTGGCCAGAGTCCACAAATTATCGGGAGGTGAAAATATCCGCTTGGCGGAAGTAGAGCTTTTTTGTAAAAACGCTCGCTTCATTAAGCTTATCAATACCACGGGAGATGCACCGCCAAGCATGACGGAGATCATCGGTAAGTGACGAATGGAAGGAAGTTTGTATGAATCAGTCACTGACATGACACCATTTCTCAAATAGAACTAGAGCTAGGAAGGGATGAGATCGCTGCCATTGCCGGACCGGAAGTGCCAACATCGCTGATCCCTATCTACCTTGCCTTGAGCGCGTCATCACATGCATCAGCAGCATCTGCTGATGAGATTATCACTGCAGTCTGTCAAAAAGCACCCGCTCTTGAGGGCAATGAGCGCTTGACTCAAGTGGCTCAGGAATTATCGCGAGCAGCTGGCGGGGAGCTCCACAACATCTCTGCCGTCATTGGGGGGATGGTGGCCCAAGAGGTGATTAAAATCATTACCAACCAATATGTTCCCATTGAGAATACCTGTATATTTGACGGGATTGAGAGTCGATGCCAAGTTTTGCGGTTATAATACTTGCGTTCACCTTGAGACAATACGTTTGAGGTGGATTTGATGGCATAGGTATCAATGTAGGCTAATCGAGATAAACCACATTTGGGGGCAAAGGAAACACTTCATAGGCATTAGCAGCTTTTGTTTTTGAACTATATAAGCATCTGCAAATAGGTACTGGTAGCCACACTACCCCGAGAGATTCCGTGGTGAAGTCATAAAGCTGGATATGCCTAAGAGAGTGGCTTACCTGTTGTATGGTGCGGCGATAGTTATACTTAGTTGCCTGATCCGTCATTGAAATTGACATTTTGGTAGGTGCTTACTTGAATGTTGACGCACAAGAGTTTTATTGGGTGGAAGGCAGAGAGCAAAAATGGTCTACAAACCATAGGTATTCATGATAGCACGGCAAGTGCCAACCCTACAGGATGCCTTATCATGGGGTGTTGCCTTGAAAGTAACTCGGTAATATGAGAGGAAAGTCCGTTCCAGGTGGAAGCACTGATCAGCTGCTACCAAGGTAGAGAGTCTTTTCACCCACCCACAGCATCCTTCATCTCCCCAAAACCTCAATCTCATCTGCAGATGCTTCAATTATTCTCTTCAGCTCATCCCAACACCTCAGAGTCTCCATTTTCTTTGCCGGCTCAGTTACAACAGCTCCTCTCAATTCTTTCCTTGATCCACATTGCAGCCATCGACATCATTTGTCAGAAAACTCTGGCCGCTTCAAATGGAGAACCCACTCGCTTGCAATAACCTCAAGTGCAGAAAGGAGCTTACTGATCGCGCGGCCGTGACGACCTGCAGGCGAGTCTTCTGATGAAACGCCTGTTATTATGGATTATGCATTGACCGTTTGTTTGCAATTCAGTCACATCTTCTGTTTTGAATGCGTTGAGCGGCTTGGCCTCGCAGGGCCAGAAAATCAGAGGCGTAACACTTGCCCCGTATGCAAAGCTCAATTGACCAAACCCGATGACATCGTTTACACCAATTTAAATCCCACCGAGGAATATAAAACTTGCATCCTTAGTGGATTAAGCCCAAATACGGTCATGGAGTGTGCAGGGCGTGCCATCAGCTTTTGGGCTTATCAAACGACCCAAAATCTGTACTATCAACAGCACCTGTACAGATCGCTCTCGGAAAAGTACTCAGAATTGTGGGCTCGATGTGATCAAATAGCCAGAGATGCAGAGGCTAGAATCAATGGGCTGCATGAGAAGCTAGAGAGTTAGTCATCTCAATCATTCCCCTTGTTATCTCACGAACTTATCAAGGCAGGTATGACGAAATCGCGAGATACACTGCAACGGAAGAATGTGGAATTTGCAGAGGCTCTCAGAGACAAAAATCGCAAGCTTTCCCAGACACAAGAGCTTTATAATAAAGTCAAGAGGAAAGCTGAGCTGGGTCAAATTGAGCGAGCAGCGTTCGATGCTGTGGACAGCTCCGTCCGATTGGCACCCCAGCCGGCAATGAATAGCCAGGAACCACACGTTTTTCTTCCTTCCCATCTCCGCGATACAAATGAACGCAGTTACCCTCTCGGCCATGGACTCGGGCTCGATGCTACAGGTTTCACCACGAGCCGGTCTGGGTCGAGTCTGCAGCAGAACGAGCGCGAGGGTCCCTGGCTGAGAAAGCCCACTCCACCTCATGGTAAGGTAACCACTACTGATTGCTAATAGAAATACCTTTAACCCATCATGATTGTAGGCCTCGCACCAGTATTTCAGTCGTACCGCCGCACAGCAAGCGATCAGGGACGGGCCGATAATTTCCATCCCAACATCGCCAGCAACACAGGGCTACCCAGGGCGGATAGCATGAGACAGTCGAGTGTGAACTCTCCAGGAATTTCTCAACGAGGCAACCCTTGGGCTGGCGTTGGCCTCACTTCTGGGCTGAAGGTTGGCCAACCAAGTGGCCTAACTGGAGCAAACGGACCACTGGGGAGTATATAACAAAGATGATTGAGCTTGGTGGCGAGGTATTGGCCCAGAAACAGCATCTCTTTTGTGCAATATTCGTTTTGGCAATCTCTTTGTAATCTTATTGGAGTAAGTTGTAATTCAATCAGTGTGAAAGCAAAGCAAAAGCCAATGTCACAAGGTGGCCTTCTTTCAGCCGAAAACGAGTGTTAAGATCCGATGAATGAACAAAGACCATCTACAGTACTTATAAATACAAGTATTAACATGTTGTTGAACGAAAGTGCTCAGCATCACTCATCCTACAATACATTCTATAAGCATATGCAACTTCAGAGAGGAGACCATCATGCATCAGACCGATTACACGATAACCACCACCAAAATCACCCGATCCAAAATACGACCATTTATTAGAAAAATTGCTCGCCATTTCGGAATACCTATACGTACAGAAAAGTGGACGAGGGTTACGGAAAAAAGGGTACAGACTAGCAGAAGAGCCGTCTCGCAAGAAGAAGAAGAAGAAGAAGAAGAAGAATGGGCAACATATGATGATGGCAAGAAGCGTTCAACAGTGTACATCTCACCGGTGGGGAGGGCACCATCGGCCAAGCCAGTGCAGAGGTGTCCGACCTGTTGCGAGTTGGTACCAGCGCAGTGTCCAATCTGTTGCCAGTTGGTACCAGCGCAGAGATGTTCAATCTGTTGCCAGTTGGTACCAGCGCAGAGATGTTCAATCTGTTGCCAGTTGGTACCAGCGCAGGGGTGTTCAATCTGTTTCCAGGTGGTTCCATGGTGGAAATGGCCCATCTTGTGCCATGAGAGCAGCCCAAGCTGGAGCCTGAGAGCTTGGGGTGACTGGGAGGATGACTGGAAGAACGACTATGGGGTCTATATCAAAGATAACTGAGCTTGATGGCAAGATACTAGCCTCGGGAATGATATCTCCTTTATTCATCAGTACTCATCTTGACGATCTTGTTCGAGCGTGTTGTAATTTGAACAGCCGTGAAATCAAAGCAAAAGCCAGTGTATGAGAAAATGGGCGTTCGTTCAGCTCAAGGGAGATTAAGATCTGATGAGTGAATAATGACCATCTACAGGATTTATACACGCATACGCCTGCACAGGTCGCTGCATGAAAATGTTCTTCCCGCAAGAGATTCTATACCCATTACCTAGCAACTTGCCGAAAGCAGACAGCCATGAAGCGGGCCAACTACACAGAGAACTTTATCAAAAACTCCCACTACAAACTACAACCATGGATGGGAAAACTAGCTCACCGTTTGGGAATACCCGTACATGAGGAACAGTGGATAACGATTAGGGGGAAAAAGACAGTGACCAACGGGGGAAGAATGGTCATCACAATAGAACAAGAACGGACAACACGGGACGGTGACCAGGTGTCGACAGTGCACACCTCATCGGTGAAAGAATACATACACAAGCCACGAAGTTTTCTGACAAGGGTAGGCTGAATTTTCTCGTCATGGGTCCTACAAGTCTTTTACTTACTCTATCACGATCTTAGAAGCCCCAAAAAATTTCCAAAACCATCGTACATGGCCAAGTTCCCATATAACATGGGCATAGGCAATGATCAGAAACACCCGTGGCGCGCGATGGTAGCCATCAGCCTTTTCCCCGTTGGAGCCAGTGCAGATACGTTTGACCGGTTTCCGGTTGGCCCCAGAGCAGATATGTCCGCCGGCAGTCTTATACTATGGGAGCAATCCAAGCCGGAGTCTGGGACGACTGGGAAGAGGAGAGTTGAGATTGGATGGGCGTACCGGGATATGTGAAAGTACGGGTGGGGAGTGGAGAATGGATGGATGGAGGAGGAAATGCTCACGATACAGTACGTGGGATGCCGAGGCCAATACAGCAATGGATGGTTACGAGGGTTGTGCAGCTGTAGCTGTAGCTGTTGCTGGTGTTATCGTGTTATGGTGTTATCATGCTTGTCATGCTATTGGTATCACCTGTGCTAGATTGAGCTACTGTAGACGACTTCGTATTCTATCTTTAGCACCGACGAAACGAGGATAGCGGCCGTTGATAGCGTCGACTTTGCAGATAGGCTGTGATGAAAGTACCGGCAACTAAGAATCACTAGTTTTTTGTATGGGTGCTCGTGTAGAGTTGACTTGAGTGAGATGCTTTCAACCCATGGCGTAATGGTACCGCACTGTGGCGTGGGCTCCCTAGGCGTGAGACATTCAGCGCCTCTCAGTGGCCCGACGGCTGCCAAGTCCACGTAATTGGACGTGCCCGTGCTGGACTTTGACATTTTCTTCGTCTTCCATGTCAATTTTCCGTTTTCCCTTCCACATGTCCGTCGCACCACGATTGTAGCTTTGTCTCTCGTTCAGTCGCCTAGCCTCGATTCCTAATCCCTAATTCTGTGGCACAATCTGCTTCAATTCGCTCGCTAGCCATTGTTTCGATACCCCCTGTACAAAGTAACCTGCCAATCCTACACTACATACATTTCTTATCGCTTAATGATTGCGCCCCCTCGAGAAGCCTCCATTCCCCGATAACCACCAGCCGAGAGACAAAGACTCTGGCCAGCATTCTTTGTCTCGACATTTGCGACCTTGATTCTCATTCTTCCCCCGCACTGACGGATCGGCAGCCGCGCAGGTCGATCCATCTGCTACGCTTTGTTGCCCCGGCACGGCGGCTGTCAGCCCAATAGAAAAGAATAATAACAATCTTGATTCGAATTGATAGGCGCCGCGCGAGACTTGACTTGACTCGACACTCGCAGTCCGCATGCTCTCATGGGTAAGACGCGACACCCGCCCACTCAGAAGCAGGAAGAGGAAGCAGGAAGAGGAAGCAAGAAGAAAGAGACAAAGAAAGAAACAAGAAACTGGTTCCCGCTAATGTGGTATGGTTGCGCAGGTCAATACGGTGTAATTCTCGATGCTGGCTCTTCGGGCACCCGCGTGTACATCTACAAATGGAAAGATCCCAGCAAGGCCCTCAAGCACGCTTCTGCCTCCGATGCCCACGTACTACCAAAGCTGAAGCTCCACAAGAGCAAGAAAATCCATCCGGGAGTCTCTACTTTCGCTGAGAACGTCTCTGCTGTCGGGCCCGATCACTTGAAAGCGCTAATCGACACCGCACTCGACGAGATACCAGCATCCCAGGTCGCCCAGACTCCCGTCTTCCTCCTGGCAACCGCTGGCGTTCGATTCCTGCCCAAACACCAGCAAACTGCGTTGCTACAAGGCATCTGCACATATCTACAGGCCAACACGCAGTTTCTACTCCCCGATTGTGCGAGCCATATTCAGGTCATCTCGGGCGAGACCGAGGGCTTGTACGGTTGGATCGCTGCCAACTACCTCCTTGGCGGCTTCGATAACCCCGATGAACATGCGCATGGAAAAGGCCACCATACCTATGGCTTCTTAGACATGGGCGGTGCGTCGGCACAGATTGCCTTTGCGCCAAACGCAACCGAGACGGCAAAGCACGCGAACGACCTTAAGTTGGTTCGACTGCGACGGCTAGATGGCTCTCCAATGGAGTACAAGGTGTTTACGGCTACGTGGCTCGGTTTTGGGGCCAACAAGGCACGGGAACGATTCGTCGACAGCTTACAAGAGCAATACGGCAAAGCGAAAGGCGACATTCCGGATCCCTGCCTGCCGAAAGGCTTGCGAACCTCTATCAAGGGTGATCCTCTTGGCAGCAAGCAATCATCCGATGTTGCGCTGGTTGGAACTGGCATGTTTGAAGAATGTCTGCGTAAAACCTACCCCTTGTTGGGTAAAGATGTCCCATGCGAGGACGACCCATGTTTGCTCAACGGCCAGCATGTGCCCGCCATTGATTTTGATGTTAACCACTTCATCGGCGTCTCTGAGTACTGGCACACAACACATGGCGTCTTTGGTCAAGAGAGCAAAGTCTACGACTTGATCGCATACGAGCAGGAGGTTAATGCATTCTGCAGCCAGGACTGGTCAGTAATTGAGAATGGGCTTGACAAGAGAAAGAAGACGATGGAAGAGAAGGCAGAGAATGCCAGGGAAGCCTGTTTCAAAGCATCATGGTTGATCAACGTGCTATACGAGGGCATTGGCATCCCGCGGATCAGCCTTGGTGACATTCCCGGCACAAAAGTCAACAAAACTAAAGGGGCTGTGGAAAAGGCGAAAGATAAGGGGTTTTTAGATCCCTTCCAGCCCATTGACACGATTGGGGGCGTTGAGGTCAGCTGGACCCTGGGCAAAATGGTTCTCTACGCCGCCGGACAGATCCCCCCAAAAGACTCAGCACTTCCCGTTGGATTTGGAAGCAATACAGGATCAGAGATGCCCTCCGACTTTGAACTTGCCGGGTCCAAGCCCTTGTTTCCAGGCTCTCATGACCATGACGACGACGATGACGACGACGATGACGACGACGATGTTCTTACAAGTCGGTCTTCGCCTGTCTCTAGTTTGTTAGTGCTAATGTTGGTTCTTCTTTTTATTGGCTATCTCCTAAAGAAAACAGAATGGGGGCCAAGAGTGATGGGCAAGTTCCGCCGTTTCCGGAAGGCCAGGAGCTCGTCCTTTGTGAGGAAGCTTTTTGGCAGAAACCCAACCAGTTATGAACGGATACTAGAGGAAGGCGATGCTGCTGAGTTTGAACTTGGAGGCACAGAATCCGACGAAACCGACGGCTCGGACGGTGGGGAAACATCAAGATCTGCTAGAAGTCATCGCCTGTCGGCATCAAAATTGAGCCTTGAGAGATTCGACGGCATGCGGCCTCCGTCGGTAATGGACAGGCATGGGCTCGTTGTGCGGACGGAAAGCTGTGAACGGCTTGCACCGACTCTTCAAATGCTGAACGCTGGCCGTCGCAGCAGAGCCGGAAGTCCGACGCGGTTGAAGAATTCTATAGTGATGCCGCAGGACAGCTAGCGACGACGCGGCGGAAGCAGTTCCCCCGAGAAGAATGTCATGATTGTATGATAGACATGTCGAAGCTTTTATGGAATCTCACGGTTGTCGGCTTCACTTGTACACGCTCATTTTTTGCTTGTATTTTTCGTCAGTTGCCCCATTAGCGGCCCTTTGTTTTTTGGAAATGGGTAAATAGGGAGTTCTGGTGAAGCAGCGATATCTCCAAGCCGGGCTTGGGAGGGGAGATTCTCTCATTCACCAGGTAGTAGAATCAGTTTTTAGAAGTAGCTCTACGCGAGCCTAGTGTATACACTATATCTGAACCACAGCCTTATTACACGATTACGCCAGTGTTCTTGTTTTTAGTCGTGCCACGATATTAAGATGTTGCCTATCCGTACATGTGTTGCTGATAGATGGATGGATGGGTAGAGGGATGAAATAGCAGATGAGATTCGCTCTACGCTACAAAACCAGACAGGAAGAGTACAGCCGAAGCAGTTAATGATGTACAAGGTGTAGGATTTCAGTCGGCCTGCTTCTCGAGGAAGCTGGGATCAGAACGAACTCGGGATTCGAATTTGCGCCACCAGTCTTCAAAGGCCCGCAGAGGAACGACCTCGACACCGCCGGGACCCGCAGTCCCGCTGAAGCTGGCGAGGAAGTTGAAGGCGTTTTGGATGATGCGCTGGGCGAGGACGGCGGTGGATGTTGTGGAACCAGAAGAGGCTGATGCTGGTGTGTTCGCTTTGTTGGCGGCAAGCTCTTGTAGGCGCTGGCCAACGGCGTCAGCGGGCTCGACCGAGATGCCAATCATGAAGCCGCCGCCATCAGCCTCAGCACCTCCGCCAACCTTGAACATGGCGCTCTCCTTGCCGGGGCCAATTGCGCCTAGGAAGCGGAAGTTTGGCGTCGGGCTGGCGGCGGCCTCACGCGCCGTGGTGAGGTATATGGCGGCGGCTGTGTTGTCGGGCAGGGCGACGCTGGGGAGGAGGAAGACGACGATGTGGGAGAAGGGCTTTGTCGTGGGCAGGGCGTAGAGGAATGAGGCGGGGGAGGGGTTCGAGGTCGGGTCGGTGATGAGAGGCTGGCCGGCGGGGACGATGCCGAAGAGAGGGCCTGACATTGTCGATGATCTGGCGATTGGATGCTGAGAGATGCGAATGGATATGGTGACGTTGATTCCGTGGGGGGGGAGAAAGGACGAAACGAGGTGGTTGGATACTGAATGTTGTTGGCGAGGGATCTTAATTTTGGAGCCGCGGGGTAGGCCGAGGTGGGCTGTTTTAGTTATTGATTGGTGTTTTGTTTGGATGAAAGACAAATTGGTCCTGGAAGCAAAAGTTGAAAGACAAAGAATGGGGCGTATTAAATTAAATTATATTAAATTAGATGCAAACAAATGAATTAAATCATATAGCAGGTAGCCGGTTGCTACTCAACGCAGTTAGCCGCACGACGCAACAGCTGTTTCGGCAACAAGGCGAGGTACCTCTTGTACTCGACAGATCCACCAGAACAACTTGGATCTTCTAGGCTACAAGGTCACTTTTGAGGCATTCTTTTGGTCCTCCAATTGTGCACCAATAAGCAAACATCTTAGCGACGTTACGCTTGCTTTGCTTAGAGACTTCGATTCGGATCCTTCACGGTACGTCCACACATTGATTACTTAATTGGTCGATTACCTCGTTGCCTACAAGCATAGCCATAAAAGGCTCTTTTATCCTCATAATGAGAAATGGACAACTGAGATTGTTATATGCCTTGTGCCGAGTGGTGCCTTTATGGTTCAGCGACTAGAAAATTATATAATTCTCAATGAGAACACGAGAATCTCACTGACTCCCATCACTCACCTTGCTTTTGTGCAGAAGCCCCTAATCACCGCATACAGATAGCAACTATTCTGAGCACCATGTCGAAGTCCAATCTGGAACTGATTGCCGACACGGACAAGTATGTTTCATTCCCTCATGCCACCGCTAATAAACGAAACTCTATAGTCAGGTTATGGTGGTGGTAGAGCTTTCCATAGATGCGTCAGCCACTGATCGAATACTCACGGCAGGTTTCCGTACAGCGATGATGAGACAGTTGAGGCCAACAACTTGCGCAGTAGACTGTTTAAGCTACTGTGGGAAGACGAAGACGGCCAATATGCCATCGGCTACGTACCCGATTGGGTTATCAACGAGCTGTCTGAAGCACCCCAAGACATTCGGGGAGACATGGTTCTAAACACATCTGACCGTACTGTCGTGCTGTTCAAGACGCCACAGACAGAAGAGGAGCGGACCCGTGCCGTGGCGAGATTGACAAGCTATTGGCGTGAAAAGGGCACCTTCAAGACTCTTAAAGGCTGGCGCGATGAGCTGTGGCCCGTGTATGCTCGAAAGGGGGAGCTTCTCTTCAGTGTGGAACGGGCGGCCATGGGCCTCTTTGGCACTGCACGATACGGAGTACATATGGTTGCCTATATCGAGCATCCATCCGCTCCTCATGGCATCAAAATCTGGGTGCCAAAGCGAGCTTCCAACAAGTCAACCTTCCCTGGCATGCTGGACAACACCGTGGCTGGTGGTCTCATGACGGGCGAGGATCCCTTTGAATGCATCATCCGAGAGGCTGATGAAGAGGCTAGCCTCCCCGATCCTTTGGTCCGTGGCACTGCTGAATGGGTTGGAAACGTCACCTACATATACATCACTGAGGCAAAGCACGTTGGAGAGGACGGCTACATTTATCCCGAGTGCCAGTGGGTCTATGATCTCAAGCTACCTGTCGACGTCGTGCCTCGTCCAAAAGACGGCGAAGTTGAAGAATTTCTGCTATGTGATGTGGACGAGATTAAGAGGGATCTGCGGGCCGGGAAATTCAAGCCCAATTGCGCGCTGGTCATGATCGACTTCTTCATTCGCCATGGCATTCTGACCGAGGCCAATGAACCTGATTTGGCCGCCATCAAGGCAAGGATGCACCGAGACCTTCCTTTTCCCGGCCCGCACCAGCAAGATTGGCCCGGCCACGATAGCAAACAGTCGGTTAAAGCAGCGTAGGCTAGTTGTTGACTAATATCTTTCTCTCTCTTTCCTCTTGCTCCCATATTGCATAAAGACAGACGTATGACGTTGGGAATTCCTCCTTTCTCTCTTTGATCTCTTATTATCTCTTTTGCGTTCCATTAAAGCGTCGAATTTTGTGTTTCCTCTATGAGTAAAGTTGCCTGATAATGATGTATTCCTCCCATTCCCTCGATGTTGTTACTTATTGACGAACTGCTGCTTTTTACCGCTTAACTAACAAATAAACGTTGTCGACGCGCAATGGTGTTAGCTTTTTAACCGGACCCTGCAGTTGCATGAGCAATCCGCCGAACGAGACGTAGGCGTTTCTATAGATTGAAAAATCAAAACGTTAGCCAAGGTGTTCTTCGTTCAACAGAGGGAGAATTCTCTGAAGGTTGTTATGGGATCCGCATACATAGTATTGCCATCAAATGTCTCCTCAAACTTGTATATCTTTCCATAGCAGACATAGTCGTAGAGGTCAGCAAGAGTTGCCGGAGCATCACCAGCCTTGCCGACATCTCGCCAGCCCTTGTCGTCCTCCTTGGTGCCGTCTGGTGATAGCGTGGTGGTGAGGACAACGTGTAGCGTATCGGACACAGAGCATGGGAATAGCTCAATGTTGATGTCCAGGGTCATGACGGTCTGGGAGTCGCTAGATGTGCAGGATATGCGAGCGACTCTGTCGTATTTAGACTGATCATATTCCGTCACGGTGAAGCTTTCTTCGAAAAGCGTAGCATCGCCACTTCCTGCTCCTGACATTTTGTAAGATAGTCTTCTTTTTTCTCTTTCCTGGCTTTCGTCTTCCAATTGGTTTATCCAGGGGCAAAAGTGTCTTTGTAGATATGCAGCGAGGGTTCGGGGAATCGGCTTCGTTTGGGTCGGAGTAGGCAATCTTCCGCAATCTGAAATCGCCGTTGAAATTTATTTCTGTTGGAGGGGTGCTACAGGCTTCGAGATGTCGGATATAAGCATATATGTGGCCTACGGCACTGTGGTAGTGCTGAATCGGGGCAATTAGTACTAACCACTGATAAGATAAGGTTTTGTGTGTATGCCTTTTGGTAGAAAGTCGTCATGAATGAACAAAAACACTGAGTATCGGCTACCATTTATTTTTTAAAGCTCTTCCAAAAATATTTTTCTAGAAGTACAGTCGGCTGCGCGAAAGAATTTCTAGACTGAAAAGCTACTATATGTCCAACTATTGCACCGTAACGCGGAACCTATAGGTAGTTGGTGAGCACTGGTTGCAAACTGAAAATATCCAGCATGTCGTTTCGGAAAAGGAATACAGTAATCGGTGTTGCTGGGGCTGCACCACAATTACAGCAAACCAAAGTATTAGTTCCGGGCACTCGACCTTCTCCCCATGATGGGAGACTCACCACCTCTACTGGAACATCATCCTTGGATCAGCTGCTCGCAGGCCATGCTGGGCTGCCTGTGGGAACATGTCTTCTCGTCGAAGAGACTGGAACCACCGATTTTGGCGGGATATTACTTCGCTACTTTGCCGCTGAAGGACTAGTTCAAGGCCATTCTGTACATTTGCTGGGATTTGGAGATCACTGGCGGCGTGAGCTTCCAGGGCTGGCCAGCGAAGGCCGATCTAAAGAAACTAGCAGCTCGAATGCTTCAGACAGCAAGATGAAGATTGCTTGGCGATATGAGGCCCTGAGCAGTAGGGCTGCGCCATCCCGTGGTAAGCAGTCTCCTTAAGTTCATTTGTAGAAGATATACCAATAATGTGCAAAAAAAGGACCATCAATATCAGACTCAGCAGAAGGTATGGCCCCTTTCTGCCATACATTTGATCTCTCTGGGCGTTTGGACGAGAGTGTGGCCCAGGGGCAGTTTTATACCACACGCGGGGGCGGCATAGATTCAAGCCAGTCACTTTTCCGGCGGTTCATTAGCGACATTACCACAAAGATTAAGAGCTCGCCTCCTACCTGCATCCACAGAATTGTTGTTCCCAGCCTACTCTCACCAACTCTATATCCGCCTTCAGCCTGTCATCCGCAAGAGGTGCTGCAGTTCTTACACCAAATCCGAGCCTTACTGCGGCAATTCCCCTCAAGGATTGTTGTTATGATGACGCTTCCCATCTCGTTATATCCCCGGTCAACAGGACTCGTTCGACGAGCAGAACTTATTTGCGACGGTGTGGTAGAGTTGATATCGCTTCAGCAGCAGCCTCAGCACCACATCGACCGAAACTCTGCAAATGATACCAAGGCACAGGGGCTTTTCAGGATTCATTCGCTACCCATCTTCCATGAAAAGGGAGGAGGATTGGAAGGAAGCTGGGTGAAGGAGGACATGTCGTTCAAGCTCAGCGCTTCCAGTGGGCTTGTCATCGCACCTTATAGTCTACCACCATTGGAAGATGATGGGCCTTCAAATGGGCCTTCAAATGAGAATAAGCCAAAGCTTGATTTCTAGCTTGGCTCATTTCTTTGTTCCCACTTTCTCCTCTCGGAATTGACGTAGATTTTGTGTGACATGTATGAAGCGCACCTTATTGAGCTCTACAATGCTTCTTCCAGAGCGTAAAGATATGCATTTAACCAGGGAATACCTCGAACAAAGTATCAGTCGCTAAACTCGTTATGCGATTCTTTTGTGGGTCGAGTATTTCTCTATCGGGGCATATAGCTTCCCCACCACAACAGCTCGATATTTTCATATAAGTTTCAAAAATCTTCTCCTCTGCACAGCGTCTTCTTGTCGCTTTCTCTCTACGTCTTCTCTCTTCAATCTTGGGGAACCTGAGAGTGAGAGACTGACACAAACATGCAAGGTAAGCAATCAATTGCAATGCATTTTTATCGTTTCAAAAATACATATTGGGGATCACCTACATGATTATTACCTTGAATATCTGTCAATCCACTGAACACTGATGACAAAATCAAATTTTTACGAAGACGACTTATGACTTTACTCCCTCTTAAACCCAAAGCAAAGAAATCAATTCATATTTTTGTACGCAGGCACATGAACTAACTCTTCATCGCGTTTGCAGGATTATAGCCACAATGGAACCCCCTCAGCTCATCCGTATTGCCAATATCTCAGGGCGGTATCTCGTGTTTGACCCAGATGCCGTGAGCGCCCTCCGCCGCAAAGCAAACACCAACGGCACCCTGGTGGGGACTACTCCGCAGCAGCCAACTCAAAACATTTTCCTTGGTTTGCCAATCGAACTCCGGCCTGAAGAGGTGGATGCTCTAATCCGTACAAACGTTGCGTACGTCGTAGATGATGTGGCCGCCCACCAGTCGGCTCTGCAGTCCCTTGACCATGACTCACGGAGGGCGTACATCAGCTCGCTGCGACTGCGGAAACAAACAGCGCACAAGGTCTTTGCGGAGATGAACGCCCAGAAAGCCTCCATAGCAGCCAAAAAGGCTGAGAGACAGCGTGATTCCACTTCAACCCCTGCCTCCACCAATCCCGCGACACCTGATGACCTCAAATCAGATGGCAGCCCCTTCTCCCGCAATAGCCAAGTGACTCTGTTGGGCGTCACACCAACATCTAGCGTCAACTATGTCTCTCCAAACGCTCATGCGTTGCCTGTGGAACCCCGTAACTCAGAGCAAGGGTCGCTATGCCAGTTTATGCTCGGGAATGGATATTACATGACCCCCGGGCTACGATTCGGCGCCCGCTACAGCGTCTATCCTGGTGATCCTTTACGTTTCCATGCTCATTTCATGGCAAATGAGTATGGCTGGGAGGAAGAGATACCTATCCTTGATATCGTAGGCGGCGGCAGACTGGCAACAGCTGTAAAGAAAGCATTTCTCATAGGCGGCCGTCCGCCGTCCACAAGTCCAGATACGGCCCTTCCTGCTGTGAGAAGTTTCAGCATAGAATGGGCTGGCATGTAGAGGCTAATTGACGTTATAAACAAAACAAATCGCTATTTGAAAGTAGAAGAAGTATATATTCCGACGTCAGTCTAGAAAAAGATGGACGAAAAAAAAAAACCTCCCAAGCCAGAGGTGAAATAATCAAAGCTGCCCTCCAGTTCCCAACTCCAGGTATGAGTGTGACAAAAAGAAAAGAGGAGAAAAGAAGTAAGACGACACACAGTAGCTCAAGATCGTAACGACTACATCCCACCAAGCCTTGATACTGTGGAACATACAGTTGTTCTTAGGGGACGTAGATCCTGCTGAAGCTCATTACATCCCGACGGCAGCACACGCATTTGTCAAAGTTGTTCATAGCTAGAGACACGCGGCAGTCGTCGCACAAGCTAAGACAGCGACAAGGCCATACGATGACGGTACGTGGTGAGCATTGACACACTACGCAAGGAGGACTCTCGCCCTCAGCCGGCGTCGCAGCTTCACTCGTGCCAGAATCTTGTTCACCATCTTTCCCTGGGGAGGGTTGCCGTTTCGTCCAGATCAGCTGCTCCAGGAGATGCTCTTCTTCGTCTGGGCTGAGCTTTGTGAGGCGGCCCTGGGGGCCGAGCTTGTTCGACTGCTTCCCCTTTGGGCTCTGCACTGTCAGAATTCTCGTCCGTTGAAGCTGCTCCATCCGTCTGAACCCAGATCTGGTCAAGATGCGGTCACTTTGAAGGTGTGCTGCGAGTCTCTCCGCTTCCTGCCGCTCTTCCAAACTAGTAGGATGCAGGAGACGAGCAAGATCGCTCATGGCGAGTGGACTATCAAGGAACGGAGTGCCTTCACGTCCGGGCCGTGGTGAGCGCTGAGTAGGTGTTCTCTGGCCGCTCCCCCCGTCCGATGTCCAGCCATCTTCGTCTTCTTCTTCCGTTTCGCCTCCATTTGTGGTCATGGTAATAACGCTCGTATTATCCCAGTCGTCCTCTTCTTCACCAGGCTGATACGTTCCACTCATATCGTTGGAGCCCCACCATCCACCTTTGAGCCAGTACTTGTAGAGATCTCCATCGAGGGTTTCTTCGTCTTGGCTCGTATCGACTCGTCTAAATTCGGCCTCGATATCCAGAGCATCCATTTTGAGAGATTCTCCATCTAGCGGTTTCACCATTGCATCTTTGCTTCCACTAGAGCCACGGCTCTGTCTCGACGCATTATCTGCCCCGGGCGTCTTAGAACGGCTCGCGAGCCACAGCAGCCAGGAAGGGCGAGTTTGGAGGCGGCAGACACCAAGGATCCACAGAACGGACAAGGCAAACACCCTTGCCAGAAGTTTGTTGATGCCAATGAGGAACTCTAGAGCAAGAAGCCATCTCGAGCTCCTCTCGGAAGCACCAATGCCCACTCTCAACACCTTGTCGCCACGACCGCGGGGAACCTTTTGCGCAGCACGCTCCCGACTATAACCATTAGGGGGCAAAAGAGGTCCATCTTTGACAGGTATTAGGCCGATAGTGCCGATCTGGTCGTAACGCGGGTCAGAGAGGCCCATGCTAATCCATTGCCTCCGCAACTCCTCGGCCTCTCGATAACGGGCCTCTTCGAGCCAGGTCTGGTGTTTCAGGCTAACACCGCGGTCTTCATTCAGGTATACAGCCTCGCTGGCCATGGTTATAGCAGCAAACCCCGTCCTCAGCAGGGCAGTGTAGAAATCCATTTCTCGCGTGATGCGAAGTTCCGATAAGGAGACATTGGCTTGCATATTTTCATGCGCGTGGAGTAGGCGCTGGCGAAAGGTCATCCTGGAATGTTGTTGACTGGCAGGCGGCATCACAGCCGTGAGCAGCAACGCAAGGCCGTAGACAAATAGACACATGACAATGCCAATAAGAATCAATACGTGGGGGACAAATCCAATAATACAGACAGTGGGATACCTAAAAAACCCGTGAGACGCAGGATTATCTGTCTCAAAGGCTAAAAAGCTCCATACGAGACTACCCATGAAGCACAGGCCCCAGAATCCCGTGTTGAGGAGGCGATGTTTAGCTTGGAGATCAAACACACCCAAGAGATGGCTTGTAATATGTGTCATGGAAGATAGGAAGGCGATCCACAAGACTTCAGGGGATGTATTGACACGTCTTAGGATTGCCGCTCGTGTCATAACAACGGTACCTCCTTGGTTAAGCGATGCAGGCACCGGGCTTTGGTATTTGGAAAACGCGCCCCAGCCAAGCTGATTGTTTACGGCAGCATCGGCCTCAGCAAAGGCAAGTGACTGTTCAAACAGAGTCATGCCTGTCTCGGCAGCAACGGGGCGGCCTTGAACAGCACAGGAAATAGTCTCAAGGAATTGGCTGAGGCAGAAAGTGCCGAATAGAGGCCACAACCGTGATAGAGATCCTCGAAGCTCTCGAAGAGCGTCTGGGTCTGATGACGGCACCATGTCGGCAGCAACACAGGATTGCTCGTCTGAAGCTCCGAAAAGTAACGACGAGCTCATGGTGTTTAGAAAAGTATTTGAATGGGAGAACATGAGGTCGGAGCTTCTATTGGCATCGCCCCAACGCAACTGCGAAAAATTTGGCGAGGTCTGGCACTGAATAGACTGCAGAAGAGTTCTGGCCTGCAAGACAAGCACAATAAAAGGAATGATTCGCAACAGGAGTCTGACTTGCCAACGGAGCCGCAACCTCCTCCGTGTGGCAGCAAAGATATGAGTCCGGTTCAGAACAACAGCCATGGCAATGCACGAGAGGGCCCATCTGCTGGTGGCATAGCTGAAGACGCTGCCCAAGCCTCGAACTCCGTCCAGAGACAAGAACGGCGGCTGTGCCGAAGCCGGCTGGGCCTGGGAGCCGGGAGCTGTGGCCACGCTCATAATGTTGCTATAGAGGCTCGAGTCGGTAGTGATGGGACGAAGAATCTCTTGTTCAGGCACAGACGCAGCCGCAGATGAGATGGCATCTTGGGCCGGAAGGGCGAGGGAATCAGGTGCCGCCATGAGAGAGCCAAGCTTCATGACAATGCGCGGACCAACCATGACAAGGTCTTCGAACAGAGGGGCATATCGCGTCACATTGACTGCTCGGGCGAGGGCCGTCAGATTATACCACGCATTCGTCGTCGTCGTCGTCGGGTCGAAATCGGCCACTTGCTGTGTCGCTGCCAAAGGCGGCACTATTGCAATGCCATTCTGCATGACAGAGGCCAGTCAAGCGATGGCCGCGCCGGGGAAGCGATCCGACAGGGCGAGGCCTGATGCGCGGCTCTTGGGTGATTCGAGAGGTGCAGCGAGGGTCGAGACCGACGCAGTCGTGAGGCGATGCGACTGGACGAGGCAGGACGTTGTTGTTTGAAAAGCCTCTTGGAGGGCCGTGGAAGAATCGCGTGCCGGACAGAAACAAGGCCGAGTTGCTTCGCATATACTGTCTGTACCTGAAGAGGTAACTGTAGATTAGTGCAGAGACCTCCGCAACGGCAATATTGCGCACTAAATTAGCAGTCCTGCAGCGCCCGCAGCGTTAACACGGACGGTAGCATTAGAAACTCCGCAGCGGAGGCCCATGGTGGCAGATCTTTGCCAGGAAGTTCCGGCTTGTTTAGGCCTTGCAAGCATGGATGGATATGAGATGGTGGCATGCACGTTGGCACAGACCCTCCGCAGCTATGGCGCACCCCAAAATGCAGTCCATACAACATACTCGGGAAACACCAGGAAACGGCATGTGCTTATCAAATAAAAATTATAATGCCATGTCGTATGTAGTATTTGAAGAGTAACTATCGTGCTTGCACATTTATCATTATTATTATGATACAACCATAGGGCTATCAATATGTAACAGTGCTTGAGAAAAGGGCTCCCACTAACATACACCGTAAGGCAACATTACGTCAAGCGACCTACCTTAGTACTACTCCAATCACTAACCCACAGTCGGGTTGGCATCAAGCTATCCAGTCCCAGAGTGCATCTCGCAACAGCATCTGGACCCAGAAATGCTCGACTCGGTGTCGCCAATGCCTCCAACTTCCTCCAGGCAGCTCTCCAAGAGTCACATGTCAACGGCAGGCCTGTGACAACATCTCTAGGCTCCCAGACACCGCCCTCCTCTAGTAGAACCTCAGTCGCATATGCATAACCGAAGCCTTCATGGATCAGGACGCTCCAGGCCATGACTACAACCCAGCCCAGCCAGTGACTTCAGACGTCAGCATCCCAGCCTCCCTGCTGCAGCAGAGTATCGAAGCTCCCAGCATCGCCTCGCCCAATACTGCCAACGGATGGAGTCGCGAGCCGGAAGAAGACAACGATGAGCCTGCCGTGGCGAAACCCTTGGCTCGCATGTCAAGCCCCGATTCGGCGGCCCGCGCGCAAGGAGCCGCAAATCCTACGGTTGAAGACGACGATGGCGACGATGAAAGTAACCAGAATGACGGACCGTCGTTCTACAAGATGCACAAGTTCAGCCTCTACGAGACCGTCAGTCGCTACTACATGGTGGGGGTGGATGTGAGCGAGAGGCGGTATCGCATCTTGAAAATCGACAGGACTACAGAGGGCGCCGAGCTGAATATCACCGATGATAAGATCATCTACAGCCTTAGGGAAGTGAATCAGCTCCTCGACACCATCGACGATGGCAACCGTGCGTCTGGCGGCATAAAGCTGCGCTGCACCACCTGGGGGCTACTTGGGTTTATCAAGTTCACCGGGCCGTATTACATGCTTCTCATCACCAAGAAGAGCACCGTTGCCATGATCGGTGGCCATTACATCCACCAGGTGGAAGGGACTGAGCTAGTGCCGCTAACGCCGGGACGCTCCAAGGTTGATGTTCGCAACAAGCCAGAGGAACAGCGCTACTTAACCATCTTGAATACGCTGGACCTAACCAAGTCATTCTACTACAGCTATTCGTACGACATTACTCGAACTCTCCAGCACAATATTACACGAGAGAGGGCATCGCTAGCGAATGGCACTGTGCCCTGGCCAAATGAAGATCTCAACTCCATGTTTGTGTGGAATAACTATCTGCTGGAGCCCGCCGTCAACGTGCTTCAAGATCCATACGACTGGTGTCGGCCCATCATACATGGATACATAGACCAAGCCGGCAAGTTTTCCATCGCCAGAAGTTTGCATGAGCTAACAACTGACACAACGCAGCGCTTTCAATATATGGCCGAACTGCTCATATCACCGTGATTGCTAGACGGTCACGGTATTTTGCAGGCGCCCGCTTCCTTAAACGAGGCGCAAACGACCTAGTAAGTTGTCAATGTCTGTTAATGTTGTTGCCACCACCTTCTCACTCAGGAGCAGGGATACGTCGCCAACGATGTCGAGACGGAGCAAATCGTTGCTGAATCTTTGACAACATCCTTCCATGCTCCCGGTCCCAGGCCATACTGCAGTCCTCAGTACACATCATATGTCCAGCACCGTGGAAGTATACCTCTTTACTGGACCCAGGACAGCACCGGGGTGACTCCAAAGCCGCCCATTGAGCTTAATCTAGTAGATCCATTCTACAGCGCCGCCGCTCTCCATTTCGACAATCTATTTGAGCGTTACGGCGCTCCGATATACGTTCTCAACCTTATCAAGTCCAGAGAAAGGACGCCTAGAGAGTCAAAGCTACTGGCAGAGTACACACATGCTATAGACTATCTCAATCAATTTCTACCAGTGGACAAGAAGATCATACATAAGGCGTGGGACATGAGCCGTGCATCCAAGATCCGTGGCGGCGACGTCATTGGGAATCTGGAAACAATCGCCGAATCAGTATTGAAAACAACTGGGTTCTTCCAGAACGGCGACGGACTCACAACTCCTTTAACGGCCCAGAATGGCATTGCTCGAACCAACTGCATCGACTGCTTAGATCGCACAAATGCTGCACAGTTCGTCATCGGCAAACGCGCGCTGGGTCATCAGCTTCACGCCCTTGGTATACTCGAAAATACCTCGGTTGAGTATGATACCGATGCTGTGAATCTTTTCACCCACATGTGGCATGACCATGGAGATACAATTGCGGTACAGTATGGCGGTTCTCAGCTAGTCAACACGATGGAAACGTATCGAAAGATCAATCAATGGACCAGCCACTCCCGAGATATGATTGAGAGCTTCAAACGATACTATAATAATTCATTCCTCGACAGTCAGCGACAGGAGGCATACAATCTCTTTCTTGGCAATTACATCTTCGTACATGGTCAACCCATGCTATGGGATCTGCCAACAGATTACTACCTTCACCACGCAAGCCCGAAAGAATGGACAGAAACGGGAAGGCCTAATTACATCCATTGGTTCACGCCAGCTTATCTCGAGGAACGGAAAATCCCCCCATTTGTTGCACCAACAGCTCTTAGCCGTTGCAAGAATGCAGAATCCTTCGATGATTACTGGCTAGAGTACTACCGACCAGCCACTCTATCATCCTTCCCCAAGATGTTTGCGTACAAGATGAACTCTACTATTAAATATATACCTCTGAAGGCAACTCAGGATGGTAGATATGATCTCAGCCCCTTCCGAGTCCGAACTGATGGTGATGTCGATCTCGAGAAGAGAAAAGTAAAGAAGGAGCCGACGTCACCATCCGAATCGCTAGCCTCGAACCAGGCCTACCGCCAACAGACAGCTTCTCTAGACATGAGAGACAATGCTTCATCCATTCTCTCCGATAGAGGAATAGGAAGGGATGCGTCTCGGAACGTCTGGCTCCGACCGTCGCAGGGCGGATCGCAAAGCACGGAGATTTGGGGCATCTACAGCGGCCCTGGCGCCATATCGCCAGCCAAAGCTTCTCTCTCGGCGGACACGTTGAAGGAAAAGCCGTCGGATCTCGAAAAGTCTAAAACAACGCAATGGACTTTCACCAAGGCGGTAAAGGACGCCCTGAATCCAGTAGTGGAGCCTCACGAAGCTGATGATTATGAACGTTATATTCGTCATCCGCAAAACCTCCCGCTTGTCGTATCAAGCGATACTCCTGTGGATATCGACTCATCGGAGTATAAGGATTATGTCGATGGTACTTGGTTGGGTCAAGGCCTTATGGTGACAGGTATCGACGAGGATGCAGACGTCTACTCGGAGCTGGTAAAGATTGGTGAGAACCCCCTAACTGTTACCGAAGAGGATGCTCCCAAGAAGAGGTATAAGGCCTACGGGAAGTGGCTTCGGGGTAAATCATTCTTCAAACAGCAGCCGCTGGATTGAAAGCTATCCGACGCTCCATAGAGATGCAAACAATATCCCGCACGCCCTGCTACTTCAGAATATCAGGAAGTAATTCGACAAGTCGAGGCTCTTTTTGTAACACGGCGGTCAGCTGCCCAGGGGGTGCAGAGCCTTCTCGATTCCATAGAGACTGCAAGATTGCCGATGTATGAATAAGATGTGTTGATATTTGGTCTATACCTTCAGTCGGTAGCTGTGAAGATTTTAAATTGAGCCAGCACAGCGAAATCATGTGAAGTACTTGATCAGTATGTCCTGGTGAGGAGATTCTTGGCCAGCTGTTTACTAACGTTGCATTCAAAGCTTCCGTAGTTGCACAGACTAATGGCGGGTATGCCATGGCAAAAGGATCAGACAGTGTCGTAGAGAATAAACGAAATAGATTCTACCCAAAAAGTTGTTAGTAACGGTGATATTTAATAGGGCAATGCGGTTTACCTGGAGGTGCTTAGCAGAGAAGATTCCAAGGCAGGAGATGATATCTTTTGTGATGTTCATAAGAACTTCAACAATTCGGGCATGCTGTGAGGCGTGATAATGGCCCACAAAGATCCCGTCTCTCAGGAGCTTGTCGAGAAAACGCCGCCTTCGTAAACTCCTTGTATCTGGATCCAGCTGAGCTATCTGAAGGAGGACTTGGTATGCTGGAAATAGGAGCTCTACAGACTCGCTCTCAGGTGTTGTGGCAGGTAAGAAGAGGAGTGTAGGGAAAACCGCGTCTTGTATGACATTGTCAACGCCGGCAGACAGTATCGTGTCGGGGGAGCATTTGTCTAAAAACAGGCCAAGAATTCGGAGCCCTTTAACCCTAACGGCTGTGTTATGATCTTCAGCTAGTGAGAGCAGAATCGGAAGAAACAATGGCCAATAACGGCCAACCGCAGCTTGCTTAGTATGAGTCAGTATCTCTACGCATATTACTCCTTGAAGTTGTAGCTTACACTACATGACATGACTGCCCAGTTAAAACTCGATGCAGCATGGAGTTTCTCATGCTCCTGAGATAAAGAGTCGAGTGATGTCATAGGCTGCATGTCAGTTGGCTGGTGAGCGACTTGCAGTGGCCGCCCTGAGGCAGTTAACCTGGCAGATGGCTTGGAAAATAGAGGCCGAAGCGTATCGTGGAGCAGGCACTGGGTGATGAATGTATCCAATCTGTCATTGTCCAGGCTGGTTTCCACCAGGCGAGAGGCAAGCCGCAAGGATTCTTCAGTTGTCCATGCGTCTTCTTTATCAGTATACGTTGTTACGTATACTAAGGCTGCGTCATCTAAAGGAGAAGACTCTGGTGATGAACTGCAGAGAATAGAAATGAGAACCAACAGTGCCAGTCCAACTTCGGCAGCCAGAGAACGAATAGTATAGTCGACAGCTAAGTCACGGGTATGCTTTAGTCCGCATTGCTCATCTTGCTTGACCTGAAAATGCCCCTTACCTTGTCCGCCATTGTCCATGTTGCCCATAGGGAGCTTGAGTAGCTTTTCGGCTACAGGGCCAATGAGGCTTTGTACATGCAAAATCTCTTCGTTTGGGGCCGGTGAGGTCTGCGGCTCCTCCTGAATGCTCATGCGAGAGGCCAACAGATCATTAACGCGACTGAATAGCTCCAAACCTATATCGCGAAGTGCCTATACATAGGAGACAATGCAATGTGAGATGACGCGATAGCTTGGCCAGGGTGGGTTGGAAATGTCACCTCTGTATCAACTGCGTCCAGTAGTTTGGACGAGACGTCCTGCAGACTTGATTCATGCTTTTGCTTGGTATCTACAGAAAAATCATCGCTTCAGCCGACCTGCCCAAGGTAGATAGATAGCCATGAACAGAATGCAGACATACCAGATTGAATCGCACTCAGCCTTTCGCGATTTGCATCGCCTAACAAAGACTCATGCATGATGAGAACCCCTGGACAGCGATGCGCAATAGATCAAAATATGAAGTGGTAATTGAATTTTATTTATCTCGTCGACTTCCGCTCGGGTTGCTGGTCTTGAGCAGGTCCTGGGCTGAGACAGATTTGGGAAGCCAAAGTTCAAGGCTTGAATTAGAGGCGCCGTGATTTAAGCATTAATCAGACACTCGCTCTAGCCCACCTCTGTGACCTATGGGTGTCCACGAGAGTGCTTTTTCCTGGTTTTGCTAATTCACATGCTCTACGACTCGTTTGCTGGAACCGAAATGCAAATCATCACAAAGAAATGAAACCAGTCAGAGACATTAATTTTCATATCTTTATTCTCTCTTTTTCTCTTTTTTCTTAAAATATTGAAACCATGACATCCTCAAAGAAGAAGTTCTCCAAGGGGTGCATGGTAATGATGTATTCCAAAAGATTGATCAATACTATGTTTTTGAGCTTCTACGGCTTACCTCTCTACATGGATATGATGGTTGAGCTACAAGGGAAGGGAGTCGTACGCCTATGAAATCTTTCCAGGTGTTAGCATTGCTTCGAAAACCTCCAGCAATGTACACCGAAGAAGCGTCGAGAGGAGCATATCAGAAAGCCGGTTTACTCATTCGTCCAGCCGGCCTTGCCTGCAGAAAACTCAAAACGAGCCCCCCACAGACAAAACAACGAGAGCCGTATGACATCGAGTAGACAACTCCATCTCTGGTAGTATGCGTAAACATGTACCATGAAAGAAGAACGACTTGGCTTAAACGAGATCGTTGAATGGATAGACTTGTTTTCATCACTTTACGTCTCGAGCCGAGTTCGGCAAGCAGAAAAAACTTTTCACATACCAATTTGAGCGTCACTTGTGTGTAGTGGACTGAGTTAAATGAGGCGATAATGGAGGCATCACTACATAGTAGAAGAGAAGCGTTAGCAACCTGAAACAGCGGGCAATAGTATAAACAATGACAGTTGGTATTAGAGTTGGCATCAGAGATCTTGGTTTGGTAATTTAGGAGTCATCAGGGTGTTCAGAAGCAGAACTGAAAAAAAGGTTTCTCATCATCAACGTTGAAGGGGACACAAAAAAAAATCAAGCTTACCATATGAGATTAGTACAGCGTGTATCTCAGTTCCCAGCAGCAATGGCAGCAGGTAGAATACCCTAAAGCAGTCCAGCGTTAGTTGACTGATCTACCATGTGTATAGCATAAAGAGTAGAAGAAGGATTTGGTCAGATGGTGATGCATGTTAGTTCTGCGCTCAGGGTTCGCGGGAACAGAAAAGTGTGTATAAAATCATCATGTAGATGTTTGGGACGGTGAAATGCGATTGTTGGCTGGCGCCGTCGAACGATGAGGCATGTGCAGGATTCGCTTACCTTTTCAACTGCAGCTGCGTCATATACCATTTCCATCTGGCATACGATCGCAGCATTCACCAGCGCAGGCAGGCTTTAGCCATGGCACTGTTGTGCTGAGTGAAGAAGATTGCCGTGATGTAAAGAAAAATTTCAGCGCGCAAGAATTTGTAGTAAGTGGACAGCTGCCATATCGATATGCATATATAGGAGCGCCCCGCCCGCTTACTTAAATAGCGCCTCCAAACCCGGAGCTGCTGCAAGAAAGGTACGTACCTGAGTTATGCCTGATCAAGCAATAGCAGCGCTTCCTCTCAACGACGACAGAGAGCTCTTAGTAAAATACAGTGGGTCCAGCCTCTTGAGCTTCTCACTTGAAGAAAAAAAAAGTTCTTCAGGCTGCTGAAGGACATGCAGCCAGCAAATAAGACATCATGGCAGATCGGAGACGAGTAAATGGACCAGGGGGTTCAAGTTTACCGCCAGTTTATGACGATGGCGAATTAGATGCTGTTTCGCGCCGCCAACGAGCGCCTGATGCCATTCGGCCACTCTGTAAGAGCCCATCTTATCGCATATATTCATCAGAGACTAAGACTTTGTTCACAATATAGATCTCAAGACAGGAGTTACCCCCTCCGCATCTGGCTCGGCGTATCTGGAGATTGAGCCAAGAGAAGGCGAGCATGGATCTGGCATGAAGCTGACATGCACCGTTCATGGGCCCAGGTCTCTCCCACGCTCTGCGCCGTTCTCTCCTTATATGGTGCTCTCAACTCATGTCAAGTTCGCCCCCTTCGCTACGAAACAGCGCCGAGGTTATCTGCGTGACTCAAGCGAAAAGGATCTCAGCACACATCTGGAAACAGCCCTCCGCGGCGCTATGATTGCGGACCGATGGCCCAAGAGCGGCGTCGATGTTGTGGTGACGATTATCGAGGGGGAATCGACCCGCCAGGATGCAGTGGAGCGGCGAGTCGAAGAATGGGACGTGATGAACGTGCTAGGCGGATGCATCACCGTCGCTTCTGCAGCGATTGCTGACGCAGGAATTGATTGCGTAGACACCGTCTCTGGAGGAGTTGCTGCCCTGGTAGCGGGCAAGGATGGCAGCGAAACCTCAATTGTACTTGACCCGGTGGCTTTAGAGCATGAGTCTATTCTCGCCACCTGCTGCGTGGCCTATCTACCAAACAGAGATGAGATCACGAATCTGTGGTTCAAAGGACGGCTGCCCTCAACAGCTTCTTACAATCATCAATCACTGGTCTCAAGGGCCGTGCAGGCAAGTAAAGGAACACATGGGTTGATTTCGGCGTCTCTCAGCGAGGTTATTGGCAATTCTCAAAACTAAAAGTACAAGTCCTGAATAATAATGACGATAATAATGATAATGTGGATAATGCATGTGTACTGCATTCATTCGGCATTCATGTAAGCCATGCGCGTGTGCTCCAAAGGGACACCTCGAACTTCAGAGACTGGCGCCATTCTAAGGGTAGCCTAATCTATATATATCATCAGGAACTCTATTGCTTATCGGTAGAGATGCTCATACTGTCAGGCGGCATCGGTCATTGTAACAAAACACTACCTGTTCCGTTCCGTTCCGTAACCAGTGAAAAGTGAAAGTATACTTATTAAGATCTATCTAAACCCTTTATTCCAATACCACGTTGCAATTCTGAAACTTCCCGCCAAAAGGTGACAAGTCCAACACTTTCTTGACATTCTATCCGTCAACAGTTGGCAAGTCTCCCAGCCCAACCATAGTCAAACAGCCATTAACCCCTATTCCATCGCTATTCGTTTCCTAGTATACCTCTCGGCAGGCCATCCCTGCATTGTCCAGTTCTCTTCCACTACATCGCCGCCCATAATAAGCGTATGCTCTAAGAGACAGCTGTCACTCTTCATTGTAGCGCCGCTAAGTAGTCTGCTACCCGACCGCATCACGCATCTGTCCCCTATGCTCAGTCTATTCAGATCAAACTTGCCTCGAGTGTTGATGTGAGCCACAACACTGGCATCGTCAATGGAAACTCGATCTCCTATTGTAATCAAATCGGGCTCCGTGAACATCAAACTAGGGCTGCCGTTGGCAAAAAGGGCACAGTCTTTGCCAATATTGGCTCCCAATGCTCGAAAGTAGAAGACAATCCAACTGGTCCCCGTGAGAAGCCCCAGGATTCCCTGACTGTGGTAGCAATGGCGCCGAAGTCGTTCGATACTCAAGAAGAGCTGCCACCGCTGGCAATAAGAAGATTTATCCCAGTCGTAGTTACCAGGCACACGGCGCCCTAGCAGAATCCATTTACTAGCAATGACAACAAGGAGTGCCATTACAGCCAGTGCTGTAAATAGAATTGCGATGCCAGCCCAAGACATGAGAAAAAGCACCATAACGTTGAAGGTTATATCAGAATCTCGAGGTACAAATCGCTCCATGAGATAATTAACCAGCTGTACGCAGGCGACTGTAGGTACATTCCAGTAAAACGAAGTGAAGACGACGATGAATGAAGAGTAACAGAAGATGACAAACGGCCCTAGGACATAATAAGGTGCAAGATTTAGATAAAACGCGCGTCCGAATGGGGACATGTGGTCTGCCTCTACTGTTTCCAAACCATTATCATTTATATCGCTTTCAGAAGATGTGAAAGGCTCTTTCAAGCCACCATGGCGTATTTTGCTTTGCTTCACTCTCGAAGTGCGCGATTCGGCCAGCGTATCATCGCTGCCTGAGCGTTGAATCTGAGTTCGTACAGAAGTCTTTTTCGATCCCACATTGATGCCTGTGAGAGTATCATCGCTGCTCATATGCCGCACACGGTGTTGAGTCTGATTCTTTTCATCGTATCCTGTGCTATGGCCGCCAGAGAGATGGATACAATCACGTCCCTTGGAGCCCACAAAGGTGCCACCAGGTACGTATGATTTCCCCCGGCGTGTCAAGGCACCAGAGCCCATTGTGGTATGGTCACCGACTGTCACACCTGGAAGTAGACACACTCTATCTGCTATCATAGCACGGTCTTGGATAGTGATCTTTTCGGATCCAAGACCATCTGAGGTAATAAGATGGGAGCGAGAGCCAAATACAACATCATTTCCAATGTCTAAGAGATGGTAATCACCAATGCTTGGACCCGTGCCTGGCCAGTAGACTCGCTTGCCAACTCGACCGCCAAGCAGTCGTACGGCTACAGATGTTGCTTCATAATGCTGTCCAAACATCGTTGTCACGTCGTGCAGGCGTGAGACTGGTAGCAGCGTCTTCATCAACGCGGCTCGCCAGATGGCGATCGCTCCTCGGCCCCTCGCAGTCTCAAAGGTCATCTTTCCCAGGATGGCATCTAACAGCAATTTCACAAGCACGGCAAACACAAAGAATATGAAGGGGCTGACAGCGCAACGCAGTATCAAGGCAAGGGAGTGGAATCCTACCCGTCTTGCCTGTGAGAACCAATTAAGGATGTCCCTCAACGTAGAAGCATCTGGCAAGGGCATGTCCCCTACCATACCGACGAGACCAGCCATCCAAGGCATTATTGATAAGGCCCATGAGAGGAAAACTAGTGGGACAGTAAGAAAGCAAGTGAGCAGTATATGCGGTTTTGATGCTTGGCTAGGGGAAAGATCTCGGTTCTCTTCGGCAGCATCTTCAAGCTCCCAGCTAGAAGAATTCGGCCCTATGCAGGTATTCGGGGGGACTATCGATCCTGGTGCTACTATTGATGCTACGCCAATAGAGGCGTTTTCTCCAATGACGATCCGTCCCAGATACATGGACGTATTGCCTTCTGCTGCAAATGGACGACATAGACAACGAGTTAGAGTTGCTCCATCTCGGATGTCTAGAAGATCCCATTCACCAAGCGATGTGCCAGTAATCTTAACATTCTTGCCAATTTTCGCTCCCATCAGCCGATAGTACAGCCGTTTCGTGCTGTCACTGGTGTTAAAAAACCCTTTCCCACAGATGCTCACAATCTTCTGGACCATCCACCAGCGCGTGTGGTATGCTCCCCACATGGGATAAAGCCCTTCACGATGGCGGCCAATAATCAGCCACTTAGCAGCAATGCCAAAAAGGGGGGAAACAATTCTGATTATGAATTTTGCGAACATGACCGATACCGCCACGTTTAACAGCCGACCTGCGGTGTGTTGATTCGTTGGCCACCTTTGTACATAACTCATAACAACGATAAAGGCGGTCCATTGAACAGCGCGGCGTAGGGGATATATGACAACAATGGGGATCAGCTGAAGCAACATTAATGCAGCGTTTGTCGAACTGTAGGCTTTTGAACAGCCAACTGTTTTTTCATGAGCGTCATCCACCGGTGTAAACTCCGTCATTTTGTCAATGAATGTGGCGATAATAGAAACAGTTCCTTGGTTGAAAACAAGGCTGATTGGAATTTGAGTATTAAATGCAGATCGCAACGCTGATAGGAGGCGTCCTGCCTTCAGAGAATCTCCCCCAAGGGCAAAGAAGTCAACATCCAGCGCTATATCCGTCGGTGGCTGGCACAAGATATCTGCAAATATTTTCCTAACCCTTCCTTGTGTGGATGCCTCAAGTTCCTGTAAGGAGGCGCTGCCCAGTTCTGCGAGTAGTCTATCCAATGCGCTGCTGTCGACAGCGCCGGAATGATCAAGAGGTAGAGGATCAGGTAACAAGTGTATATGTTCCGGAATCATGTATCCATGGAGGGATTTGGCTAGTTGTGCTTTCAATGCATCTGTCTGGTGATTCAGTGGCCCTAAGCTACTTTCGACTGGGCCGATAAAGGTTTCCAGTGTGCCCCTGAGATGTTGGTGCCTATAATAGTGCCTGTATCCGGCAGAAACCACATTATCTAGGCAAGTTGATAGTGCGTCATAGTCAATAGTACACGGTGACGACTTGATTGGGACTGAAAGGTCAGTGTCTGGAAGAGGGCATATAGCCTGCCAGTGCCTACTCAAGTACGGCATGTCGTCCGTCAATTCTGGTATCCCGCATCGTTGGCTCAATTTAATCCTCAACACTTTGTTGTTTCTCTTTGGGAGGTCATCCATATAGGTGACGAAGACTGGCCACTTAGCCTGCTGCAGTGATGACCGTAACGAAATATGCAATGTTTTCAGGTCGACACGAGGAATATTCAACGGGGTAACCAACGCCACTGCCACCACTTCCTGAAGCACATCATGAGGTACGGAAAAGGCGAGGGCCTGTGTGACTCGACCATATAAGGGCGACTCTGGGGACATGGATGAGCGTATAATTGCATTCTCGACTTCGAACGGCGAGATGAGCTCACCACCCCGATTAATAACCTCTTTGCTCCTACCAGTGATGTAAAGGTATCCATCTTTATCCACATAACCAAGGTCACCCGTATCAAACCAGCCATTTGAATTGAATGGCGATCTATCAAGGGTTCCATCTGGTTTGAGATACCCAGAGAAGACAGGCTCACCGCGAACGCATATTCTCCCCACAGTACCACTTGGAACTGATGCGTCTGACCAGTCTAGAATGGATATCTCTGGGCCAGTGCTTATACCTGACGTACCCTCTCTGTCCAGCTGGTAATTAAGCGGTGGCGTTGATATAGGCATGCATCTAGTCGGTGTGTCAATACATATTCTACTGCAGTGGCGGGGCGTCATATCTCTTACTCGGTCATCCCATAACTTGGAAGAACTGTGCATTTAAACGTGTCTCGGAGTCGGCACGCCAGTGATGGCAAGAGACCTCCTGCGGCATTGCATGCCAGTCTGATGCGATTCTGCTGCAAGGCAGCCTGACGTTCTGAAGCCGCAGCCAAAATAACAGAATGCATTGACGGAGAGGCGTAATACCATGTGACCGGAACCTCCTGGACCACGTCCCAGAATAAATTGGGATCGAATGCTGAACAACACACTGTTGAGCCGCCTGAGAAAATTGGAGCAAAAATGTTCCTTACCAAACCACCGCTGCAACAATAATTAGCCATCAACTTCGCATATGATTTGTCGGCTTCATATACTTACACATGATACAAAGGCATCATATTGAGGCATATGTCCGATGCAGTCAAACCCCATGAGTCCACCACGAAGCTGATGCCGACGATGATGGAATGGATGGTCAGGGGAACGACCTTTTTGGTGCCAGATGTACCGCTTGTGAAAAGTATTAATCCAAAATCATCTGGTCTATTATACCTAGACTTGTGCCGTGGGGGTGGGAGGGCAGCGCCGCCAAGATCTTGGATATCAATCTGATCGTTGTTCCCCCATTTCATCAGAAAGACCTGAATCCCTGCAGCGGCAACCCACGAATCTCTCAATCCGAGCCTATTGCAGTCGTCACTTGTCGTCAGTATGAACTGAGCGCCAGCTTGCTGCACATCGGCGCGAAACTGCTCAGCGCCAGCAGCAGGGTTGATTGGCGCAGAGGTGTAATAGGTAGTAACCGCGATGCAGGCGGCTGCTAATAACGGGCCATTGGGTAAAGCAATTGCGACAACTGGCTTCCGTGAAGACCCGCTGGTTGGAAGATAAAATGTATCAACAAATTTCCGTAGGCCATCTTGTGTCATATAGTCCCCTGGTGTTGATCCTCGCAAAGCCGGCTGCGAGCCGGAGACAACAAAAGATCCGAAAGACTGATAAGACTTTTTGACCAGTTCCGAAGTATCGCGAACCAGCTGTGCTAAGGTCTCGTCTCTATGAGACTTTGCGTCCTCGGGCATCAAATGATACAGCCTGGTGTAGCTTCTGATGAGAGGCAATGTTGGCCATGGTCCCGGCAACTCGATTAACAACAGATGTAGTAAAGAGAGTGGGCGATGGGAGGGGCATGGAGTGTTTGGTATTGCCTCCAGGATTCGTTTCTTGTCAACATCAGAGCGTAAAAGACTTTGAAACCCTTCACTTGTGATGATTTCTGATATTGGCATAGAGTAAAAGCTCTCAAGCAATTCTGGAAGGCCCGAGAGGGATTGTAGAGAATCCATTTCTAGTATGGAACTTTGTCTGACGAAAATATGCCTCTTTTCCACATGCAATAGCGTCGTTCAATTGCTGTGATTGGCTTTTAACGTCTGATCAAAGGGCTGTAGCTCATAGAAGGCATATCAGGGAGACTCTTGAAGCAGCGGGAGCTCCGATATCATATATATGGAAAGCATTGATGATCAACTAGTTGCAATCGAGATGGCCACGCAAAAGGACGGACGATCAATCGAAGATCACAATGGCTATCGTAAAGAACACACATACCAGTTGCAGCATGGGATTTCCCCAGTCTTTTGTAGCCACACGTAATACCATTGCGATGTGGAAGAATGGCATGTAAGACACCACGCCCAAGGCTGCACATCTAGGGGCCGATACCCAGTACTGAGAACTCACAATCGATGAAACCATCATCAATTACCCAAATGGCGTATGCTATTGTCGGCCACGCTCAAGGTTGCACATCTGGACACCGATCATTCAAATCCCGATGATTGTGAATTATAAATTGTTGATAGGGATTCATTCACTTTTGGGTATCACGATATCCTGAATCGTTGCAGTTTCCGATAATTTGAATGCCTGTTTAGGAAGGAGACCTGCATTTGTTGCCATACGGAAGAATGGGATGTGCGATACCACGCTGAGGGCCTCACATCTGGGAGCCGATCGCTTGACAAATGATAGGATAGGTGCCGATCCCCGAAGGCTGGGATTCGTGAATTGATGATGGACTTCATCAACTAACCGGATTCTTGGCCACAAGCAGCCAAACTTCTTGGTATAAGACATGTCTAGCACCAGATAGATAGCGCCTAGACAATCAGGAGCCGCTGTAAATGAGGCCGACAAAACACAGCAGCAACCATCGTCAGTATTGGCCCAATCAGATGAGAGCATTCTTTCCATCTTCTGCCGGGATAGAGATACATGATCGGAGAGCTACTGTGCATGAGACTCCGGCACCTTGAAGCGACTGGAGAAAGAGAGCAAGCATCTGCAATATGTTTTTTGAAGTTAGCAAGATAAGCCGATGAGAATGCTTACAACTCACCTACGGCGGCACAGTCAGGCTAAGGAGGCCGGCTCAGGGAATCGGAACGCAGACCCGCACTCGGCGGCGCTATTTGGTGAAATAGTTTGATACAAAGGAATGTTTGATGCGTGTAGCGTTCCGCGATGGTAGTTTTGGGGTTGGCCTCAATGCTTGAGATGTCGTTGGGTGAGGATCTCGGTAACAATATCTTTCTTGCTCTGCCAGGTTGCTTTCCTTGGCCGCTCTGGCGATCCATGCCAGTTGGAGGAAAGAAGAGAGGAAATGTCAGCTCAGAGCCACGCGCCTCCGATGTGAAATCAACCCATGATCCGGGGTTTGTTCAACACACGAGGACATCCACTCTCGAAGGGAGAGGTGCATTCTCCCTCCATAACTTCGATAACTCTATCAGTACTAGTATCTTACCGAGTGACAGGACCTATGAGGTAATGGATGTTATTTTACTCAAACGCATTCTGGCTTGCCATCTTTTCTTTGATCGGCACAACAGCAAATTTCCTCCCTGGTTCATATGAAGCTGGGGTCGCTGACCTTATGATATGCAGCTCTAGGTTAGTGATCCAGCAAGCAGTGTTTGCTGTGTAAGTCGGTGGACTGGTTGTCTGGTTGTAGCGTACCCGACTACTGCGGGCACTAAGGTACTAAGGTACCTCCTAAACCAACAAACTCGGAGTTCGCAAGACATCAGTACTAGGGAGGTACCGGCAAGAATTTACTACTTCAGGTAGTAGAATAGGTATCTCATAGGTAGTCTCTACGCAAGCCAAGGCTGGTGCGATTACATCTTTACTACTAATTAATTCATATATTTTTCATATGCCAATAAAATTCTATATGTAAAATAAATAAATGAATACATAAATAAACAAGTTAGTGAATAAGTATTTGTTAATTTATTGAATTAAGAAAATTAAAAATAAACATGACAGTTTTGGGAGTACTAAATAAACGTGGCTTGGATAAATTTACCAAAGCGTAACGCTCTAGGTTCACCTGGGCTTCTCGCGCGTGCGGACCCTTGTAAGTTTATGCTACTTGCTTAATGCAACTCAATGTCTCCCATGTTGATGGCTTCATCATCAACACTAAGCTAGGAGGATGGCGTCCGATATGCCTATATCTACGTACGTGTCATTGCACCGCGACGCGTCATACATAGCAGCGAGCTGATATTCTCGCAGTGTCTACGTCCAGAACCTGGAAGAGCGGGTCAAACCTGAAGTGCTTGCGGAAGCATTGAAGACTATCTTTTCCGAGTTCGGCAATGTAGTTGATATCGTGGCCAAGAGAAACCTCAAGGCTAAAGGACAGGCATTTATCGTGTTTGACCAGCCCGGTGCCGCCCACAATGCCATCGAAGAGGTCGAGGGGTTTGAGCTTTTTGGCAAGCCCATGAGGGTTGCCATGGCCCGAATGCAAAGCGACAAAACTGTTGAGATGAATTGCAATACCGACGAGTTCGAAGCTCACAAGCGGCACAGGCAAGCAGAAAAAGGTAAGAGAAGCTCAAATGGCCCAGGCAGCGTCTCCAGTACTCACACTTCACCAGACAAGCGCAAGGCGCTCGAGGCGGCAGACGAACAAAGGCATCTCAAGAGGGCTGCTGGTGGCGCACCCGAGGCTCGTCCATCGAAATCAGCCAAACCACTGGGCTTGAAATCAACGAGTGCTCCAGCTTCAGCCGTTGTACCAGACGAATACCTGCCCCCGAACAAGATCCTCTTCATTCAAAACGTCCCCGACGAGTACGATGTCGATGCTCTTAACGCCGTCTTTGGCCGGTTCGATGGATTTCGGGAAATCAGACTGGTTCCAGGTCGGCGCGGAATTGCTTTTGTTGAATATGAGAATGAACAGGGGGCTATCACGGCCAAGGAAAATACTGCTGGCATGGCTTTGGGGGATAAACCCATCAAAGTTACTTACCAGCGTCAATAATATGTGTAGACTATTAATATACGGGCGTTTGCGTTTGGTATATACTTCTGTGACATGGGGATGTTCATCATCTACGATTACAAATAACAAGGGATAAGAAGAAAACAACTGTCGAGGAGTCCTCGATATAGGATAGCCCATGAGCCCAGCATTTAAAAAATCACATCGTCGTCATCTTCTGCGGCCAAGATGTCTGCCGGACCCGAATCTTGCTTCAGGGCACCTGGATCGTTCTTCTCCAGTGCTTCTCTCCTCGCTTTCATCTCAGCATCGGCGGCAGCATTATCTCGTTGCTTCTTATTAGCCACCTGTGAACGAGACAAATAGTATCAGTAATTGCTCCAGGAGAAGATAACTCTTGTGAACCTGCACCAACCTTCTTCAAGCGGTAAAATTCTTCACGGTCCAACTCGTCTAGTTCGGAGTTAATGTATTTGATGGTGTTTTCCGTCCGGGGAATGATAACGTGCTCAATTGCGTTCACTAGATGGAGTTAGCCAACAAGATACAGTAGACAATATGATGGGAAGCGAACCTCTTCGATTGACGACCTTGATGACTTCGTCTAATATCACAAAGGCGGTTTGTAGGCTTGCTAGCTCAACAAGAGATTCGACGGCACGTGTGTATGTTTCTCTGCATCGCTGAACTTGCTGTCCACCTTTTCCCAAACCGGTAAGCCCAAAGTCGTTGTTGCCCTCTGTCAAGTAGCTCTCAAATGTTGGTAGGAGAACGCCTGAAACGTTTTCTTGCTTCGTACGGATTCGAAATCGAGCTGACTTGACTGATTCCTGGACTTGGTATCCAATATCGCCGCCAACAGCATAGTTGACTTCAGCCAGCGAAAATGCCGCAACTTGCATCACGCGTCCCATTTTGCGCTTGGCCTCGTCGATTCGTCGAGTCATTTCTGAGGTCATGTTAGTTCGCTTAGTAAAAACGCCAGTCGATACGACAATAGCTGACCTCGGAAACGTCTGTGATAGCTCCAGTTAGCTGCAGTAACATAACAACTCATCATATTGGCACTATCTTCTTACTTTGTAAGCGCCTCACTCTTCCTCTTCAACAAACTGTGACCAGTCTCAGCTCCCTTGAGCTTGGCCTTCATGATGCCGAGCGATTGCCGAGTAGGGAAGACGGCTTCGCGATCCTAATGGACATTAGGATATCAACTTAATTGCTGTAGGATAAACAGATGACAGAAGCCAGGACTTACTGCTGCGCCAGACATTTTTGCGGAATTGATTTGCTATTCTGAATGTTTCCTGTCTGATGATTTTCTTTTGTATGTCACTCGGGGATGTTTCGACAAGTTGCGTACTTAGTGCTAGATTATGTAGCTGCCCATGACTGCTGTACCTGCCTAGTCAGGTAGCACGGCTTGCGCAGCGCATGTTCCTCCAAAGTCAATATCACTATAACCGGGTATCTTCCACCTGCCGTTTACGCTAAGCACCAGGTACCTTCTCTATCGTGACAAGCCTAAATATTTCTGTCGCGAGAATCAGATGCAATCGTCGCGTTTTATAAGTTAAGGCCTTCTGCCGCCGGTTTCCTAGCGATACCAAGAATATAACCATGGGCCACACTGCATAATTGCGACAAACATCAGCACCGCAACAATTTCTGCAAGCTCTCGGCAGAGAGAGAGACAGAGGAAAGCGATCATGGCGGACAATCAGCACACACAGTCGGAACTATATCTTGTTGTAAGTCCTCAGGAGGCAATTGTGTTTCTTTCATTCTTCTCTAATGCTGTATACAGTCCAATGAAGATTCCGTTTACGAGCAGGATATTCTCCGCGATCCTACACGTGTGAAACCATGGCTCGAGTATATTGATTTCAAGACTCGCCATGGAAGCGTCCTCGAACGAGCTTTTGTGATGGAGCGTGCCTGTGTTAAGCTGCCACGGTCGTACAAGCTCTGGAAACTTGTAGGTCAAATTGTCAACGTACCGTGGCCTTATTGCTGACTGATTGGCAGTACCTTTCGTTTCGCGTAAAACATATTTCAAAACTCAACCCAGCAACTCATGCCGCCGAATATCGAAAAGTCAACGCTCTCTTCGAGAAGTCGTTGATTCTATTACACAAGATGCCGCTGATATGGGAAATGTATCTCAAGTTTCTTATGAAGCAGCCTGTTGTCACGCTTAGTCGACGTACGTTTGACCGGGCCCTCCGAGCTCTACCAATTACCCAGCACAATCGCATATGGTCACTATATCTTCCCTTTGCCAACGCAGCTTCTGGAGAAACCGCTGTCAAAATATGGCGACGATATATGCAAGTTCATCCGGAAGACGCCGAGGACCTTATCGAGCTGCTTGTTTTACGGGGTGGGTATACTGAAGCAGCAAAACGATACATAGACATTCTCAACGATACGCGATTCTCAAGCAAACGCGGAAAGGGCCACTACGAGCTCTGGAGTGAAATGGTCGAAATGCTCGTGGAACACGCACCTGAGGTCGAAACAAGCTATGAAAATGGGGTCGACGTAGAGGGTATCATCAGGTCTGGTATCGTGCGGTTTGGTGACCAAAGGGGAAAGCTTTGGGTCGGGCTTGCTACGTATTGGATTAGGAGGGGAAGCTTTGAGCGAGCCCGTGACGTTTTTGAAGAGGGCATTACGACTGTCATGACAGTCCGAGACTTTACTCTCATCTTTGACGCCTATGCCGAATTTGAGGAGTCTATTATTGGCGCCTTGATGGATGCCTCGGCATCCCGGGCTGGAAAAGGTATTGAGAATGAAGAGTCAGACTTGGAGCTTGACATACGAATGATGCGGTTCGAGAATCTAATGGACCGTCGTCCATTTCTCCTCAACGACGTCCTGCTCCGACAGAACCCCAACAATGTACCCGAATGGGAGAAACGAGTTGCTCTCTGGGGCGATAAGAAAGTTGAGGTTGTGCAGACCTACACCGATGCGATTACAACGATCAATCCGAAGAGGGCTGTAGGTCCATTTCACCAGCTGTGGGCTAACTATGCCAAGTTTTACGAGCGTGGTGGGGATATTAGAAATGCTCGTATCATCATGGAAAAAGCCGTCAAAGTTCCGTTTAAATCAGTAGCAGAGCTAGCTGATATGTGGATCGAATGGGCTGAATTGGAACTCCGGAACGAGAATTTTGATGATGCTGTTCGAGTCATGGCCAAGGCTATTCAGGCACCGAAAAGGTCCAACGTCGATTACTTCGATGAGGCTTTGTCTCCTCAACAGCGAGTACACAAAAGTTGGAAACTCTGGAGTTTCTACGTGGATCTGGTGGAAAGCGTTTCAACTTTGGACGAAGTTAAAAAGGTATATGAGCGTATCTTCGAGCTCAGGATCGCAACTCCCCAGACCGTTGTGAATTATGCAAACCTCCTAGAGGAGCATAAGTATTATGAAGAATCATTCAAGATTTTCGAGCGTGGTCTGGATCTCTTCAGTTATCCCGTGGCTTTTGAATTATGGAACCTATATCTCACCAAGGCCGTCGACAGGAAGATCGGGATTGAGAGATTGCGGGACCTTTTCGAGCAGGCGGTAGAGGATTGTCCGCCCAAATTTGCCAAGACTATTTATCTGATGTATGGAAATTTGGAGGAGGAGCGTGGCCTCGCGCGCCATGCAATGCGGATCTACGAGAGAGCAACGCGTGCAGTTTCTGATGAAGACCGGGCTGACATGTTCAATTTCTACATAACCAAATCGGCTTCGAATTTTGGTCTTCCATCCACAAGACCTATTTACGAACGAGCTATTACAGCTCTCCCCGACAGCGAAGCGAAAGAAATGTGTCTCAAATTCGCGGACATGGAGAAACGATTGGGTGAAATTGACCGGGCAAGAGCCATATATGGACATGCGTCGCAGTTCTGCGACCCTCGAACAAATGTCGACTTCTGGACTAAGTGGGAACAGTTCGAAGTCCAGCATGGCAACGAAGACACATTCAAAGAGATGTTACGAATCAAGCGAAGTGTCCAGGCAAAATACAACACTGATGTGAACTTTATCGCGTCACAAGCTCTGGCACGCAGCCTACAAAAACCAGAAGGCTCCTCAGTTGCGGAGACTACAGACCCCATCGAAGCTTTAGAAAAGCAGTCTGCAACGCTACAAGGCTTCGTGTCTGCTAGCACAGGGCCCAAGGAAGTGCATACGAGACAAGAGGCTCTGGCAACAAATCCAGATGCTATTGATATTGACAATCTCGATGACTAAGTGTACAAAAAATAGAGCTATAATCAGGAAGGTGTTTTGCTGGGCTGTTTACACCAAACACATATCAAGTTTGCTTCCAAAATTCCACGGCTTCATCTCGTTGCCTGATATGATATGAGGGCCCTCTCGTCACTTGCAAGGCAGATTATTTGCCGCCTTTCATCTCAGCAATCTTGGCATGATATTTTTCGGCATAGTTCTTATCGACGTGGCCATCGCGAGAGCCAGGCGTGGCATATATTGATCCTTTGCGCTTCTGAAAGCGACTGGGGGGCACTTTTGCAGCATCTGGGATCTCGTCAGCAGCGTGATCACGCGACTCTTCTCAACTCCTTGCCCTGCGACGACAAAATCTATCCACCCGATGATCCTGGTGCTGGAGGGCATTAGAAACGAACCCCATTCATCACTGAGCCTACGATCTTTGCTGCCTCCTGGCACAGGTTGCTCGCCCGCTTCCACAGCTGTGGCAGTGTCCATATGTTGCTTCTGTCCTGGGTTTGTTGCGTTCTCCATGACGCGGTTTTATATCAGCTTGATATCTTCGTTTGTTGGATGTGAAGATGGATCCAGGATGATGGTGACGCCGACTATTTCAACACGCACTTGGCTTGATGGGACGGTCCTTTATATACACCTGGCGGGGGATCTACGGTTTCAATTACACTGCATGGTGGTGTGCTAGAATATCTATCGTCAGTGAATCCTCCTCTTCTCCCCCTGGATTGGATAGCGCCTCCAGCGACGTTCCATGCTCTAGATTACCCCGCAAGATAGCCTTCTTGGACGGTAGCTGGTGGGTTGTTCAGATCGAGCACTGCCACACCATTTCCTGCTTATTGACGTCACTGTTCAACCCTTTCAAAGCTACGAAGGGAATATACAGGGATAAATTACTTGCTTTGAATATTACATTTAATATAAAATAGAAGAAATTTAGTGTGTTCACAGGACTTATATCTATTGCCTAGATGGCAACAATATATCGTATCGCCTAGGCAGTGATACCTTACTTCAAAGAAATCGTGTGAGGCAGTGAGGACCAATTGTCTTACTCTTCGTACACGAATCAGTACAAGGTAGGCAAGCTTATTGCAGCGGACTTATTGAAAATCAGGTCGGGTTGTTGTATCTAACGCCTCCGAAGGGCTGGATAGTCTCACAACTGAGGCAACCCTTCGTCAGTTATTTCATTATATTGAAACATAGTAGATATTGTGTAGTCGTGGCTCGAGTTGTGAAGCGCAGACACCTTTACGGGCGGATCTAATATGTCGGCTCGCCATGTCTCTTCAAGCCAGCCGATTCGAGTTTCGAAGTCTGTTTCATAGCAGGCAGCCTAATTTCCTTCCACCAAAGGAAATAGATCCATTTCCTCTCGCGATTGCGGACCTTTCCCTTCCAACCTTGTATTTCTTGCAAATTCAACTGCACACTCTCAAGCCTAGCTTTACATCCAAATATGCATTACAATCCACGGCCATCTTTCAAAACAAAGCACTGGCGGCAGCTCTACGAATCCCGCATCTCGAATATAAAAACCCTCAAGGAATCCGCGAATGGCGCTGCCTTTGTCATCATATATGCCGAGCCATGAGGCAGAGATAACTCAGAGCCGGCTGAGATTGGCCTTTCTCTCCTCCCGCCTGCCCACGTGAATCTTAATTACGAAACTATGGACACACTTCCCGACACATTAGATGCAGCCAGTAACTTAATAGGATTAGAGACACACTGGATACGCTTAATCGATAGAGAAAGGCGAGAGAAGGGTCGTGAACCACATCGATACGGGACGCAACAGTGTATCTCAGGCAACAAGGTAGAAGAGACAATTAAAGGCATCATAGAGTCATTCCGTGACCAGCTATCGGGCGACACACCTCTTATTCTAACGGGATTTGCTCTCATTTTCGAGTTACAAGTGCTATCAAACATATACCCAAACTTATTAAGCTATTTTACATGCTGGGTTGATCTCCAAGAAGTGGCAATTGGTATGATTGATGGGATTGAACCTCCTGGCCTGCGTAAAACCTTGATCGCTTGTGGTTCTGAAGGCTACGGGTATTCGCAGAATTCCCAGACCGCCCTATTTCGGCACAACGCTGCTGCGGATACTGTGCGGACAGTGATGCTACTCATTCGGTTTTTGGGGCTTCCTATTGAAAAGAAGCTTTGATATTAGCCGATCATCTCAAAAGACAAAACAGTTTGCTAGACGGCGCTCGAATGCCCCTGCAACCCCGGAACAAGTTATTGGAAAGGCTCACGACCTAGACCAAAAGAATTTTACCCATTTATCACAAGAGTATATCGTACGACGGGATTTGAAGATTTTGACGGACGAAGCATGTTCAGTCTCTTTTCAGAACATAGACCAACTGCTGTCGGAATAAGCAACGGAAAACGATACGGATGGGTATGTCTACCCAATCTGGAAACTCTGGAGAACTTTGTGCGTTCTGTACATGGATGGGAAGCTCAAGATGGAAGTGTGTGGGAGGTTGTCTCGGAATATGATCCTTTTGTAGTTCCTGCACGGGACTGGGAAGAGCTGAGACTGCATCAAGAGGAAGAGTTACAGGCGGAGGATGACGAGAAGCGAATGCAAAGACGGCCTAAAACGAGAGCCAGAACGATGGGATATGGCCTGTGAGTTTTGAAGATGATCATTAAAAAAAAAGGTGGTTTTATAAGGCGACACATTGTGTAGCGGGATGTACGGCCAAGGACATATATATATAGCTATCTTAGGCCTCCAATACTGCTAATAACTTTCTTGAGGTCTACTTCGTTGTATTTATTTGTAACAAGGCAAATAGAATAAGTTCATATTAGAATATATTGAGGATTAATTCACTACTAGAGCGAGCACTGTAATATAAGTCTGATGACCGTTAAGACATTCATAGAGGCAAACAAAATTACTGCCTTGATCAAGGTCATACGGTTTATTTAAGGTTTATTTTCCCAAATTAATAACAGCTACTTTAACAAAACAGCTATCCTTACCTAAACTAGGTAAATAAACTTAAAATTACTAAGTAAAGTTAATACTTTAAGTTTTTAATAATACCTTTTATAAAAAAAAAGAGTTTTTACTTTTAACTACTAAAATTAAATTATTTATATAATCTTTTAATTTACTTTATATTTATTAATTATAAATTTTATAATAGTAAAATTAAGTTTTTTTATTATTATATTTTTATTTATATAAATGTTTTTAATACTTTAAATAATTAATATATTTAAATATACTTAATATAGTTAAAAATATAAAATTATTAATAAAATTAATATTTTTTAATTTAAAATTTAATAAAAACTAAATATTTTTAAATATAATAAAAAAAAAATATTTTAATATATTAAATATTATAAAATAAAATATATTAAATTATTAAAATAATATTTATTAAATTATTAAAATAATATTTATTAAATTATTAAAATAATATTTATTAAAATATAATAAGTTTTTAAATTTTCTTATTATAATATAAATATAATTAATATAAATAATTATAATAATAAAACTTATAAAATTATATATATATATAATATATTAATTTTATTAATAAATATAATATTAATAAAAATAATATTAATAAAAATAATATTAATAAAAATAATATTAATAAAAATAATATTAATAAAAATAATATTAATAAAAATAATATTAATAAAAATAATATTAATAAAAATAACTAAATTAATAAAATTAATAAAAATTATAAATTAAATATAAAAACTATAATTTTAAAATAAATTTATTATAAAAATTAATTTATTAAAAATATAAAAATAAATTAATTTAATAAAAAAAATAATAGTAATTATAAAAAAATAATTAAAAAATAATTTAATGAAAAATTAAAAATAAAATATAATATATATTTAAAAGTAAATAAAAAAAAATAGTTATTAATAAAAAAATTTATATATAAATAAATTAATATAAAAAAATATAATAATTAAATTAATTATAAAAGTAATTAATATTTTTATTTTATTATTTTATTA